CTGCTTTGGCCATGTCCTCGCGATTTTGGACGAATGGATCCAACGTTGTTTTAAAATCCGCGAAAATGCAATCCAACTCGGAAATGTCGAACTTTTTGAAGTCGAGAACTTTGCTTAGCTCGTCGTTAGGCTCTACTTTTTTCTTCTCAGGCTTGGTTCCCTTTTCGCCAAAATTAGCAGCCTGCTCGACTGAATTTGTTCTACTTGCGCTCGACCCAGCTTCTGGACGTTTCTTGCGACGGTTTGGTTTGGTTTCAACATCGGGTACGACATTCTCATCTGGTGCACGATCACCTTTCATTCCCTTGACGCTTTGGTTATCGAAGTCGGAATATCCAGTAGGGAGCGTTTCTTGGCCATGGGGTGTGCAGCTTCTCTCGGGACCTTCCAATGGCTTATCATATTTCTGAGTAATACACGGACAAAAACAAAGCAAAACAAAACATTAACAGAAAAAAAAACAACAACAAAAATAATAACAAAAAGTAAAAAAAATGTATGCATCTAAAAGGTGGAGAAAAGTCTGCCAAAATGGTAAGAGTCACACAAAATTAATAGGTCACACAATCCCTTTTTTCGTTCACTGACGGTACCCTAAACTAAATACCTTTACAAGAACCTTCCGTGGTCAAGGTATGGAGGGGATACCCGCACGAAGGATCTGTGTGGGAGATAACTACCTATCTATCTACTACTACCTATCTATATACTAACTATCTCCTCAGAATACCAACATTCCTGAAGAATTTGTAATTATATCAACGTTTCCCATTCAGCGAGGTTGTAAGCGTCAATTTCGAGTTTCCTCAACATATAGTTTACCTTTTTGTCTCCTGAAAGAAGAGGCTCCTTCTCATCGCTAACCTGAAAATAAAAACAAAACCGTTCAATCAGCAGCTAGGAACATGAACAAAAGTAAAAAAGATAAAAAATCTTGTTCCGCAGAGGGTTAATTTATACAATGAAAGTTGACATTTTAAAATCTGGCTCTCTAGCACTCGTTGCGCGCCTACGATTACCACTCGACCATCTAGTTTCCTCAACATATAGTTTACCTTTTTGTCTTGTGAAGGAGGAGGCTCCCCCTGAAAAAAAACAAAACCGTTGAATCAGCAGCAAGGAACATGAACAAAATCAAAAGAGGTCAAAGATCTTGTACTGCAAAGGGTAAATTTATACAATGAAAGCTGACAGTAAAAATCTGGCTCTCTAGCACTCGTTGTGCACTTACGATAACCACTCGACCATCTAGAAACCTGCATGATTTATTGGGATAAATTTTTGGGTGCAATCGAGTTACAGAAACACGATACAGCGTAGTGCAAAGGTACAGTCACACGAAAATTTCGGATAATGGGGCCAAATATTCAACAACTACTCTCATCTCTAGCTTTGTGACAAGAAACCAACTTAACATTCCTAATTTTAAACCGAAAGATTCACAATCAAATGTAAATTCGTGGTTCATAAAACTCTTTCAGATTCTAACAATCTTTCGAACTTACAAGGGCACGTACGGTTTCTTCCTCAAGAACCAGACGAACAAGACGAGCAACAACACATGAACTTTAAGGAGAAAGGAAACGAATTGTAAACATATTTCATCTTATGAGGGAAACGGTTTGCGTCGATGCATTACAAGTACTTCCGCTTAGAGATTGACCCAAAGCGTGTTCCAAATTTTCCTGATTTACAAGACTAAATAGAAGTGAGCAACCACCCAGCTATGAAAAGCGATAATTCTAACATTGTCTACATACCTGGAAACAACAGCGAGAAGATCTCATGATTGAAATTTCGTTCTAATGAGCAGCAAACGGGTTGTGCAAAGAGGCTCACTCTTTTCGACAATTCGCAAACGATACGGTCTACTGCACTTTCCTAGAATCGTGGTATCCGACGTAGTCCTGGGCCGCATGAACGTAGTGTCATACCCCTCCCTCAGAACATTTGGACAAGACGAACATGTACTATCAAAGTGGCCATGGTTTTCGCAAATTTCAATCCTATGCAGGGTATACAGTTTCACCACGAGGTCTTATTGTAATGGTTCGCCTAAGAAGGAAAGGGGCGAGGCGCAGGGCTTGCGCATAAGTAGTCTCCTTAATTGGCTTATCTTATTAATTTCCGATGCTCTGATTGGTGGAAAACGGTATTTTCACGATATTTGCACGAAAAAAACCGATTTGTTACGATGTGTTTTCCTTTTATGGTAGGGTTTCTATTGTTCTGTCTCTCGGTAAAGTTTCGGCTAATTTGCATTTGCTGAACTCGGTTTTCCGAGACTCGTACAATTCAGTCGCCACATTGGCTATTGTGCAGCGTGCGATCCTTCGTCAAAATAGCATCGTTTATGAAGTCTACCTTTTCTGTAAATAGTGTATATAGTGTATATAGTTTTCAATTCATCTATCTCGTTTACGTTTACCTCCTTTTTGGAGCCCTTATGGGGTTCGAAGCGAAGTGTGTTTGTTCGAAACACAGCACGTGGCATCATGGTGATATTTCAGCGGCTAGTTTGCGGATTGCTAGTCCAGAAGAGCTTGAATTTTGTGGTGTGGATACATCGAAAAACAAAACCAGAAAGAGAAAGATTTGCCTTCCATGTCGAGAAAGAATTGCTCTTGAACTCAAGTGCCGGAGATATGAGGTTAGCTTATGTTTACAAGCGTCAAATTTGCCGACTGATTCTCAATGTGTAATTTTCCTTTTGCACTACTGTGCCTCTCATAATTTTCTTTTATTGTGATACGATAGCCATCGAATATACCTTAGAATAATTTTCATCTCCTTCTTTTCTCCAGGAGGTAAATTCCAACCAGCTAGTGCCGTCTTCGGTGCCAACGCTTGAAGAAACGCTCAGGTGTCACGAAGAAAATGTCTCAAGTTAGTGGAATCAGTGGAATATCCTGATCAAGTTGACATTGAAAGCATGGAGAATTGCCCGTTGTCGTCAAAAGCCATCGAGACTTCATCGAAAAGTGTTCAAGTGCCGAAAATTCTGCGCCGGCCATACAAAGAAGCTGAGTTAAGAACCCAACAGACTATGAGACGGCAAGACCATCGATAGCTTGACATCACTGGCTGATAAATATGTCCACTTCAATGAAAGTGATGTTCCCATGTTTATTTGCGTTCTTGTTAGATCTGGAAAGTGGCAGGCTTCATTTGGAACTGAATCTGCTGCTTCCAACAGTGCTATGTCACACGGTGAAAACTCATTTCTCTCCAGACTCGCAGCAGAGTATAAAGCTTGCAAGGACAAAGAGGCAAACAAAGCCATCAGAAAGAATGCTACTAGCCAAAAACAAAAGGTTTTGATCGGGGACACTTTAAGGAAAAGCAGAATTTCTCTCAATGGAAACACTCCAGAAATTTTCAGCTCTCGTGTTGATGCAGCAAAGCAACTTGGCAGACTTCGATGCTATGCTGATGAAAAGCGAAGGCTACTGTCCATCGTTGCCATGGACTACCCATATTCTGTTCTTCAGAAATATTTTCAGTGCTCCTCTAAAACCGTAACAGCTGCAAAGGTACACTGCATACTGTTTGGCCGTGGAGGTGTGCCTGTGGAGAAATTCAAGTTTACCCATCAGTGTGTGAGTCCTCAAGTGCTGGAAGAACTGACTGAGTTTCTACACAGGGATGATGTCTCTAGAGCTTCTTCGTGTAGAAGTGTACTGGTTGATGGAGAGGAGACGGCTGGCAAGACACTGTAAAAGGCCTGATTAACCAGTACTTACTGAGAACCAACGCAGTAGTGAGGTGTTTGACCTGTGGTTTGAGGACACGAAGCAGGAAGCTTTCGTTACTCAGAGTGCACTGGATAACTGCTTTTCCTGGCTGGAAAGGGTCTTTCCTGGATACTCTGTATACCTCTTTTCTGGTATGTGTATGTTTTAAGTTTATTATTTTACAATTTATAGTAAATACCAAACCTGCACTTGTTCACATACATGTATGTCTGTACACGGATGGTCAATAAAAACAATACTGTAAGATACCTTTCATATCCAGATTTTACCAACTGTATTTTTAGGTTTGTTTATGTAACAACTACATACAAGTCAAAATTTTTACTTGTATGTAGTACTGCAAATTTGTTCTGAACTTTCCTGAAATTGTTTCATTTGTAATGTAAAAAATCATGGGATGATTGGTAAACTTACAATAACTTACAATTTTCATAAGAAAGAGTGAGCGAAAAAAAGGCATTTTTTAAAAAAATAACTTAAACCTGTCCGTCTGACTGCGAGTTCAGTGCCTAACCGACTGAGCTAGACAGTTAGCTGAAATAAAACTGCGGTCCTTCACGTTAGCGTTCGACAGGAGCGTTTTCGTATAAACTTTTGGCGATGTCAACGTACCAAACTCTCAAAATGGCTTTGCCTTTTCCGAGTTGAAAAAGAGAAGGACAAAAAATGAGTGAGCGAAAAAAAAAAAACGACATTTGTTCAAAAGAGAACTTTACCGACCGGCTGACGGCGAGTCCAATGCCTAACCAACTGTGCTACGAGAACATTCGTTAACACAACTTATATTTTATCGTATAATAAAGCTGCGGCAGTCCTACATGTTAGCGTTCGAAAGGAACGTTTTCGCATAAACTTTTGGCGATGTCAACGTATCAAACTCTCGAAAATGGCTTTGCCTCTTCCCGAGTTGAAAAAGAGTAGGAAAAAAAAAGGGTGAGCGAAAAAAAGACATTTGTTAAAAAAGAGCCGTACCGACCGTCTGACTGCGAGTCCAATGCCTAACCGACTGTGCTACGAGAACATTCGATTACGCAACTTAAATTTTATCGTTAAATAAAACTGCGGCACTCCTTCGCGTAAGCGTTCGACAGGAGCGTTTTCGTATAAACTTTTGGCTATGTCAACGTATCTTTGGTTTTGTCTTCAATTCTGCCGTAGCGCGAGTTTGTTCAAGGATATTTTACGTTTGCTAAACGGTGTTTTAAACTCAAAACAAAAAACATGCTCTTTCTTTAAGCTGGTTATGAATATGCAAGTTCTCGGGGGCTGTATTGTTTTGATGAAACAAAAGGCTTCTTTTGTTTCGGCTTCATTCAATGAAAGCCGCTACGAAATTCAAGGTTTTTTGCATACGTTATTTCTCGAAAACGAAGCGCAAACCAGCGGAAAAAAAACCAAAACAGTGTATATCGAGTAAAACTAAGTCCACATGCCAAAATTCAACTACTTCTGAACACTTTCAAAATTGGCCGAAAAATCAAGGGGTCGTTCTTGCTCTGAGCCTTTCAATTGGATAAGGTTTTACCCCTTGTTTTACCCCTTGTTTTACCCCTTGTTTTACCCCTTTACTTATTCTGCAGTTAGGGTACATGTATTCCTTGTTGGTGTTGATCTAGTTTTGTTTATCAGCAGCCAAATAAAAAATCTATGAGTAAAAAGCTCTGTTTACCATTCTTTACATATTAATTTTCAGTTCTTTACTGCTTGGCTCTAAAAAACTCAATAATAATTTGCATATAGATTCTGAAAGTGTTAAGCTGTGTTTCTTTTTTGGCAGATATTTATTTTATTAATTTGGATCTTGGATAATTTTGTATTCCTTTTTTTCTACAGACAATGTTCCTCATTACCATAACACTGCAGTGCTGTGCTATCTTTCTGAAGTAAACGAGGTGTTTAATGTGCGACTCCAGCAGTACAACAATTTCGAGGCAGGTGAAGGCAAAACAGCTCTTGACACCCACTTTGCCCACATCAGCCACAAGATTGTGCGCTATGTTCGCTTAGGAAATGATCTGGAGACAGGAGAAGAACTTGGAGATCTTGTGCAGGTAAATATATTTGAAAAATTGTTGTTTTGTTTTCAGTATGAGAAAAGATGGAATAAACTTTTTCCTAAGACCTGTTGATAACAGGCAACGGTCTATTAATTTGCCATTTAGACCACAATAGTGTGTGATATGAAATGGTAAATTTTGATTTTGATTGCCCAAGTATTCAGTCATGAAACAGAAAAAGAACATTACATTATTTTTGAAGTTAATTTTTTTTTACATTACTTTTTTTAGTTCTGCAACTGATTTCAATGCTTTTTTCTTTAGCATGATTTGGTAGACTTTGTTAAAAATTCCTTTTTGTATTTTTTAGATACCTGTGATTTATTCAGATAAAACTAGGCATTTGGTTTTTTTTTACCTTTTCTGTTAGATTTATTTGTTTCCTTTACCTTTTTACAGTTATTGTACCCAGTTATTTTATACCGATTGATTTATTCAGGCAAAGTGCTCTTCCTCTTTTGCTGTCTCTCTATCAAAAAAAGTAGCACATATCTTATCATTCTGTTATTTACTTTTTTTTTTCAGTATATGAAAAATATGTCATGTTTGAAGCTGAACATCAACAGAAGCAAGGCCCCTAAGAAAATGGGAACTTTGAAGGACATTTCTCTGTTTGGCAGTTTTGCATTTCCTATGGATGGAGAGTATGCAAGTGGATTGGTAGCTCAATCACTGGCTGGTGTAGGGAAAATGGTAAAGAAGACCAAGGTGCAAGTAAAAAAGCTGGCTTCAAGAGAATCCTGCTTGGCTGGTGCGACGGGGTCTTCTATTTCATCAGAGCTTCCAGAGCCTCTGGAAAGGCAGTCAGCTGTTTCCATTCAGCCACAAGATGTCTACACCATCCGGTTTATCAATCATGCTCCTGAAACAGTGCTGGCTCCAACCCTGGATAATGTTCCCCAGCCATCCTCTTTCCCTTCACCACCCAGTGGGTTTGCATTAAAGAAAAACTCTGGCAAGAAAACTGTGTTCAGCTTAGCCCAGAAAGAGATTATGATGTTGTTTTACAACAGGCAAGCTACCGGTGGCATGCGGGCTGACCCAAAAGATGTAATTGCATGCATGAGAGAGAGAGGAGTGGAGGTACTTAAGGAGCAACAAATAAGAAGCTGGTGGAGCATGTATCATCAAAAGAGGAAAAGATCCTTAAATGCCTTAACCAATGACGCATGCAATCCGACTTCTCAACAGCACCCTGTTCAACCACCATCAGTATCAGCTCCCACTACGCCTGCATCCCAGCAACCCTCAGGTCACACAACTCAAGGGATGGCCACCACTATGCCTGCATCCCAGCAACCCTCAGGTCATGCAGCTCCAGTGCCAGCTCACACTATGCCTGCATCCCAGCAACCCTCAGCTCACGCAACTCAAGTGATGGCTGCGACTACGCCTGCATCCCTGCCAACCTCAGCTCACGCAACCCCAGTGACGGCTGCCCCCAAGCCTACAAACCAGCAACCCTCAGCTCACGCAATGCCAGTGTTGGTTTCATTTGCACCTGCAGCACCAGTGTATACACTGTAGTACACTATTTTACTTTTTGCTTCATAAAATACTTTCGTGTAATCTTTCCTACAATGGAAAGCAAAACGCACATTAAGAGGAATCAATAATAAAATTAATTTTCGTAAACGAGGCAATATTTCATAATTATTTCTTTACTGCTACGAAACCACTACCAAAGCTATTGAAAATATGCTCTACTTCAGAAATCTTAACCCTTTCACTCTTAATACTTCATTAGTAATTCTCCTAACTGTCTGCCATACAGTTCTTATGATGTTAGTTTGGAGAATTTGGTATGAAATCAACTAATGATCCCCTGATTGATATTTTTCTTCAGTGTCATCTAAGGAGTAATTTTGTCTTGGTTACTCACAGGAGTTCAACCCTTTACACCCTAACATCAGTATTTATATTCTCCCAAATCTTCTCTGTGCATTTCGCTTCGTACTGACAAGGAGAATTTGCTTAACAATCCAAATTCTTTTAGTTGGTGATCATTTCCTTTTTTCTCATAATCTTAATGAACGATTCAGCTGTGTTATTGTTAGGAGAAAATAGATGCTGATCTCTCTTAGGGTTTAAAGGGTTAAAGGGTTCAATTCAGTTGATTTGGTTCAAGATCACATGGTGAAGTGTCTCGTATAGTCGTACTCTATTGTGGGTATCACAGCCTGGACAAATTTGAGAAAGATGAGTAAATACCTGGGGAAAAAAGTCAAGGAAAACGGAAAATCTAAATAGGGCTTCTTCTCGTGTCTTCAACTCATTCCAAAGACAAGGCTGACTGAGTTCGCAGGACGAATTTTGTTTCTTTGAACAGATCACAGATGTTTTCAATTTGCAAAACATGTCTCTGTGGCTCAGTGGTAGAGCATCGGTGCGCGGAATGCAATGGATGGGACTAAGAATTTTTCTTTGTCCCACGCTCGTGACAAGACGAAAAATCACCTTTCCCTGTGTTTAAATCTGTCTCACGTCTCTATCACCTTCTGTTCACTTGGGAAATTTCAGCTCAGTTTCAAATATGATTGTTCTAATCTCGGATTGGTCTAAGAAAGTCACGTTACATGAATAATGCTAGATGATTGGTCATAAACTTATGTCTCTCTCACCACTACAAAGGTAACAGCCACAAATAAAAAAAGTGACATAGAAAAAGTCCATCTCTTTGCTTCTGTGTGCTTGTTTTGCCTAGTTTAGAACATGTATGAGCTTGGTTTGGATCATACCATCTTGTGTGATCACGTACTAAGAAACGAGTGATAACGCTTTAATTCCACAGAATCACGCGCATTACCATGACATTCAAAGGATACATATGAACTCCAAGCTCTCCTCCGCCATCAGCGACTGTCTGTATGATCTTCTTCATTACGTCAGCATGTCTAATGAGTTGAAAAAAAGACCCGTGACTACGGATTTGCACCAACCAGCAGTGTCCTTTTTTTTTTGGCTCAGTGAACTAAAATAACGCGGCGATGTATTTTTAATTCGGCAATTTTCAAACTGGACTCTAGATTAAGTGGTTTACATATGATCTACTAAAGGATCATTGTGCTTTGTTCTTTGAAGTATTAACAAACTTAAAGTAGGTCTCTCAAGGCAGAAATTTCTGATTGTAAGAGACCTTTCTCCAAAATTCAGTACTTGCACTTAGGTATTAGTGTCCATTTTGGATAGGTGTCTGCCTGTCGTTTTTAGGAGTGACCATTAACTACCTTCACCTCATTATGTACATTCTATAACTTAATAAGTTTTAGGAAGAACGTTATGTAAGTGAACGAAAGTGAAAATGCAAAGGAGACTGAAGTTGACGGCAGTTGATACCAAGTATCTATTTTCAGGGTATCCCATCCTTGAAATTCAGATTTTTATCAGATTGTATGTACAGCAGAAAGGGATGAGCAACAAATTGATATAGAGAAAGTGCAAAGTATTTGGGAGAATCAAGGTAAGGATTAGGCGTAGGAAGACAGTTGTAGCAACTCACCTACAAGGATGAACAGATGCCATGGTCATTGGCAAATGAGGATGAGCCTCCAATGTCACTGTTTTTTTTGCATGGTCCTACAATTCAGAGCACACATTATGTTCATGATGCAAAAGTCAACCAACAAAACTCTACTCTGAAAACTACTAAAACTTTACCTGACTCATATCCTCATACATCTCTTCTACTGCAAGGGGTTCTCGGTTCTGTAAAATAAAACATCCAAAAAGCTACATGATTGTCTCAGTAGTGCTCATTCCAAAAATTATGGACTGGTTGGTCGCATTATACTCCCAATACCTGTACCAGACCTTTAAAAAACTGGAAAAATTGATATGCAGTGACCCTTTTTGTTAACAATTTGAGCTGATCCCTAAAATAAAGTATTCTGTTTTTTTCCAGGTCAGTTGAAAGGCAAAACCTTTATACATGTAGCATTAAAATTCATATGGTTAGTTCTAAATGAATATGTACATCAGAAATCTTGGCACCCTGTGGCATGAAGTTTTACACTGACCCATGTCATAATGGAGAGGCACAGTAGATACAGATACCAAAGTCTTGGCTCTCATAACAAAAGAGTACAGAAGAATGTTTTATTTCTTTTCAGATCTGCCTGCAATTCTGGGATTTCAGTCACTCTCAATGTAATGAGATTCAACAAACTCTTATCTCATTGTAACCAAACAGCCACAGTCGTGGCGTCTGATAATATTTGTCATATGTAATGTACATGTCGTAAGTTCTTGTTTGTAGAATTCCACCAGAGGCATTTGCATCTGTGGCTCCCTCCGCCTCTGACTCAGCCTTAGAAGTTGGTTTAATTGACAAGGTAGCCTGCAAAAAGACAAGGTTAAGTTTTTGAAAAAAGCAACAGGCCTGGTGACTTGCTTTATTACTGGATCATGTCTTTGTTTCTGAAGCATGGGGTGATTAACTACAACTGACATATATTGCTACCCATCGTGAATGTTCATCGCTTGCACTTTTTTTGCCATGGAATATACTGTACCTCATCACTTTCAAGCATTCCACTTTCTTCAAAAGCTAAAAATTCAAAACAGACACATTTTCAGTGATGAAATGTACAGTAACAGCAATGAAGTGACAGGTATTTAACATTTGCAAAATTGAGGTCTGCAGGAAAAAAAGGAAATGGGGAATAAAGCATTTGTATCATTGCTGGTGAAGCAGTATTACAAGTAGTACTGCATAGTAGTTGTAATGAAACTGACTAGTAGTGTATCATTTTCAAAGTATAAATTGAAAAGGTGATGTAACTATGAACTGGACAGAATTAAATTATTTTCAGTTCTGTCAATGCACTTAATATCATTTTAATAACCCTTTAACTCCCAAAATCTGATTGCTAATTCTCCCCTGTGGCTGCTACAGATTTCTTTGTCAACTAGTTATAAGAACTTGGTGCTAGATCAAGATAGCAGCTTCTACCTGATAAGTTTGAATATTTTCATTACCTGTTTGCTGAATAATGTATGGATATTATGGGGAGAAGTTTCATGTTCATCATTTCTAGGATTTAAAGGGTTAACTGGTACCATCTGTAGTTTCATAATGTTGCAAGCCTGAACACATCTTTTGTGCCCTAAAAGACAATTTGCTGTTGTTACTGCTTTTAATGGGTCATGGTTTCTCATCACTCCTGTGAGTGCACCCTTAGCATGCCATCAGCACAAACTGATTAGCATATAATTTCATTGGTTTTATCAACTGAGTTGATAATGAACATTGGCCACATAGAGTTGCTAGAGTTGATGCTTCAAGAGGCAGCCCTTTGTCAGAGCAAACACTAAGCCCTTCATTAACTTGTTGCAAACTGTTTGCCCTTTTCTCCAACAAAGGGCTAATGCTTGAAAAGGAAGCTTTAGAAAACCTACAGTGACCAATTTATTGCTTATTTTATTCAACATCAACCCAACTGAGAAAACCAAGTTATTATGTTATACCTCCCAACAATGTACTAGCAACACAGTTTCTTTAGAAAGTAACTTCCTTCATAAATTAACACTTGCCTTGTCAGATTCAAGTGTCATCTCTGCAAACGACTCCTGAGTACCAGTGACAGCTTGCTCCCCACTTGGATCAAGGTGATGGTGGGTGTCTACCCAGCCCCCGTCTTCGTCTGGTTCGACAATTGCTTCATTTTCCTCTTGGTGTTCCATTTCCTTGCATCGCTTGTAGCAAGGAACTAAAGGCAAATCATTTCAGAAATAAAGAATGACTCATGGAATGCAAGCAAGGTGTACTGATTTTACAAATATTGGAAAACATGCTTACCATTCTTTGTATACAAAAACTGCTTGTCTTTTGGAAGGTAGTTCTTTATTTTAGTATCATCAGGTCCTGAATCCCTAGGAAAGAAAAGACAGAATCAATTTGGAATATAAATCATAATTTTGCCAGAGAAATTTACTTAATAACAATAGGAGATTGAACAGGTTGCTGATTCTGCATTAGCCTTTTGAACAGTTGCTACAGTCCAGTCAACTGGGTGTTGATCCCAACAGCATCTCCTACCAATTGATATTTGTCTATACTTTCATCAACTGTTTGCCAGATATTACATTGATATTGTTGAGAGAAGTAACTTCTGTGTCACTCCTTGGAGTGAAAGTGAAAAACCTCTGTAGATCATATAATCTCAACAAAACAAGACAGACACAAACCATTTCCATGTTGGACAGTGATGTACTAAGTGGTCTCCTGCTGCCACAAACTGTAAATCACACATAAAAAAAAAATAAGTAGATATGCAACAAATTTAATTACTTGTATCACTAATAATGATACAGTAAATGGTTTGAACCAAGGGTTTTATTAAAAGCTAGTTATTGGCAGTCTACTGCTGCTTAGAAGACCTCCTATTGCAGTCTGTAGCTTGTGGACAAGCTTGGATTTCACATTGCGGCCCCTTTAATCCTTCTAACTGCCAAGATCTGGTTATTAATTCTCCCCTTAAACTACTTCACATTTCCTTGTGAATAAGTGATGAGAATTTGGTGTTAGATCAAGACAACAACTTCTACCTGATAAGTTTGATTATCCTCATGGACTTTTTGCTAGATAATATATGGATATTTTAGGGAGAAGTTACATGTGCATATCTTTACATGGCGATAACTTTGAAAAGAAGATATCCACATCATCCCACACTGTCCTAAAACAAAGCGTTCCTCTCAAAGGTAAACTATCTTTTTTTGTAATTGTTTTCTTCATTAATGATTGATTGGGATCTACAGTAGACAATTAATTGTTGTTTTGGTTTCCTTCGTATAAGCATCGCTCTAAGCACTCAAAAGTGAAAGACATTGTTCGGTCATGTAATAAAAATTGGTTAGTCTATTTTACTAACGGAGAAGCCTTGACTGTGCTCCGTTCTATTGTAAAGCACGCAGGAAGCGGCTAGAGCATGAAAGAAGTGTAGGTAGAAACACGAGATGTAGTCGAGTGTTCCTCCACACTTGTTGAGTTTCACAATATCTTTCAACTTTAGTGTGGTTTGCCGGCTCGTTTGTTCCGAAATTTCACTTTCAATGAGTGAAAAAAAGCTAGAGAGAAGTCCGGGAAATGGTCGGACAGCGTCTTTAGCGCTCTTGCTCTATGTTCTTTACTCTCATATAGCGCGCTGTTTCAACCAATGACAGCGCGCGCTATATCCGAACTTTACTATAACATTTGGAAGCTCAAATCTAAGCGCAAATGGATTAAACGATCGCTTGTGGTGTACAAATTCCACTATATTTACATGGATTACGCAGCTAAAAAACCTACATACGTACTTCTTCTGGAGTAATAACGCCCGTTTCTTGAAACTTTGACTCCTATATTGACAGAAAAGATGGTTAATTCTCTAAATTGATTGAAAATAAGCGAAAAAAAAACAAAATTGCACAGCTGGATTTTCGATTAAGTAGAAAATTTTGTAACGCACCTTCAAAACAGGCGTCAAGTACTCCGCAACTCCAAGAGCTGTCCCCTTAACCTTATTTATAACGTCCTGCATCGCCATGATGGGATCTGTTGAAAACTATATCGATTTTACCGCCTAGGAACTCGAAAGAAAAGCTTTGAATTAGTGCCCTACCTCGAGTTCGTAACTGCAACGAGCAAAGACACAACAGTATATATGCTCATACGCAACTCCGCTGAATGTTGTCACTGCTGTCTGAGCATCACGCAAGTTACGTATTATGTCACGCAAGGTGATGGCGGATACTCCGTTAAAGTAATAGTGTGTTCATAACTTTTGGCTCCATTGATTGTTTTTGGACTTTTAGTTAAATTTGACGAAATCTTCAACCACTAAGCCCGGGGCAATAAATGAAAAGAAAACATTAGCGTTGTTTTCATATACAGAGCTCATCCTAGGATTTTAACTCCGTTACAATTTCTAGGCGAAAGTCGTAACTATTTGTTTACGATCTGAAAATAGTGGGGTGGAAATGAACAAGTCCTTCTCTCGCCCCAAGAATTGACGGTTCATCCTTTAGACTTGGGTGTGACTAACTGAACTCTCGTACCCAGACATCCACGGCCAAGCAGTTGTGAAACATTTCACTGAGTTACAGTTACCCGGCAGGTTAGGCAAACTGTAACTCCTGCTTCAGCGTAGTATTCAGTCGCATGACTGTGTTTAATCCAATCGCGTACCAAAGCGTAACAAGTTGTTGACGAGCGAAACAGAAAATACCCATTTGATATTTCATTGCTGAAATTCTAACGGGAAGGGATAACGTCCGAAGTAAAAAGTAATGATACACACATTGTAACCCATGATACACATATTGTAACCCTTTAGTCAATTCAAATTTCTAGTAATCAATACAAGGAAATAAATTTGGCTTCTAAACACGAAAGTTAATGAAGAAAAAACTTATTAAAAAAATACGGGGGGAAATTACAACTTTAGGATGCCTCCAAGAAAGAAAAATGAGCAATCCAAATCAAGATCGACCAATGTTATGTTTCGAACATGAAATGATATACCACCAGTCAACATATTTTTTTGAATAAGAAGCCTTATTTTTTCTCGACAACAACCTATTTCTGCTCTATTCTCTCCAAGATACTCAGTGGTCTTTAGTTTCATGATAACACTTGATTCTTTGTTCATCTGTCTCATTTCTTTTAGCTACTCCAGTCTAATTTGCATGGATCACTCTTTGGCTAACTGATTTCGTCCCTCGCCTCATTTCTGACCATCTCCTTCTTCACCGCTGCCATCTTCTTTCTTTGTCGCTGAGTCCTCTTCCCCTGTCAAAGCTTCAAGGATGTCGGTTAGAATGCGCTCCACATACAGGCAGAACTCTTTGACAATACCCGGAATCTCTTGTGCTTTTTTACGATTCTCGTTGAATCTTTTTATCTTCCCTGGAAGAGCAAATACATCAGACTTCTTCTTAAGCAAGCTGTGAAAGTCACGCTGTGGATTGATTTGAGTGATTCTGTGCATGACCTCTTCTATTCCATGCTGCACGTCTGGCTCAAGTTCCACTGCTTCACTTCCGGCTGTTCTGATGTTCTTCAGCGCTTCAACTGCATCACGGTAAGGCTTGGGCGGTTTTACGCCTTCAATTGATTTCACTTTAATCTCGCCATCTGTTTCATCGATGTAGATCGTAATGTTTCCTTCCTTGGCGTCTTTTTTTAACTCTTTGATGTACTCTTTAAGTTCCTTCTTTGCGTCAATGTTAAGGATCTTCTTAACAATATTCTCGAAAGATTCTTTGGCGGCTTGCAGGCTCTCACGCGTTTCCACGAACGGATTGATGGCAGTTGCGAGGGAAGAAAACATATTATCAATGTCATCAAGACCCACTGGATCAAACTTCAACTTCTTGTGAAACTCCTCTTTGTCTTTTTCCTTGTTGGACTTACTTTTGTCAGCTTTACTTCCTTCCTTCTTGTCAGTCTTCTTCTTTGAGGTGCTTCCTCCATTTGCTTCTTCCGTCTTATTGCCTTCGCTTTTATCTTTTTCTTTTGAAGTGTCGTCGCCCTCGTTCAGCTCCCCTTCAATTTTCTTCTTTTCCTCTTCATCGGCAAAAGCATGATTAATTTCAAGGATGATCTTCTTGGCTTGGCTGTAGAAATCGCGCACCATGTCAGGAGCTCTCCTTACTTGTTGGACGTTTTTGCTGAAGGTCTTTTCGAGCCTTGGGATCTTTCCCAAATCCCACACGTTCTTAAACTCTCGTTTCAAGATTTCTTGCAGTTCCATTCCTTCAGCTCTCTCGACTGCATCGTCACTTCCTCTTGCGATAATCATCGGCATAGCTTTTAATTCCTTCGACAGTTTAAGTATGGCATTTACAGCAGCTACTGCGTCAAGAATTCCTTGTACTGTCTTTTTTCCCTCTGTGTAAATGGCCAGAGCTCCCTCTTTTATCTTGACTACGATTCCCTCTGATGTGAGTCGCGTCTTCAGGGCGTGCACATATTCACTGAACTGCGCATGCGGACTGATTTGTTCCAGCGTGGTAACAGCTTTCTTAAAGGATTCCTCTGCTTTGGCCATGTCCTCGCGATTTTGGACGAATGGATCCAACGTTGTTTTAAAATCCGCGAAAATGCAATCCAACTCGGAAATGTCGAACTTTTTGAAGTCGAGAACTTTGCTTAGCTCGTCCTTAGTCTCTACTTTTTTCTTCTCAGGCTTGGTTCCCTTTTCGCCAGAATTAGCAGCCTGCTCGACTGAATTTGTTCCACTTGCGCTCGACCCAGCTTCTGGACGTTCCTTGCGACGGTTTGGTTTGGTTTCAACATCGGGTACGACATTCTCATCTGGTGCACGATCACCTTTCATTCCCTTAACGCTTTGGTTATCGAAGTCGGAATATCCAGTAGGGAGCGTTTCTTGGCCATGGGGTGTGCAGCTGCTCACGGGACCTTCCAATGGCTTATGATGCGACTCGTATTTCTTTGGTTGATTCTCATCTGTCGGACTTTTATCTCCTTCTCCACCGCTGCCCTCTTCTTTCTTTGTCGCTGAGTCCTCTTCCCCTGTCAAAGCTTCAAGGATGTCGGTTAGAATGCGCTCCACATACAGGCAGAACTCTTTGACAATACCCGGAATCTCTTGTGCTTTTTTACGATTCTCGTTGAATCTTTTTATCTTCCCTGGAAGAGCAAATACATCAGACTTCTTCTTAAGCAAGCTGTGAAAGTCACGCTGTGGATTGATTTGAGTGATTCTGTGCATTACCTCTTCTATTCCATGCTGCACATCTGGCTCAAGTTCCACTGCTTCACTTCCGGCTGTTCTGATGTTCTTCAGCGCTTCAACTGCATCACGGTAAGGCTTGGGCGGTTTTACGCCTTCAATTGATTTCACTTTAATCTCGCCATCTGTTTCATCGATGTAGATCGTAATGTTTCCTTCCTTGGCGTCTTTTTTTAACTCTTTGATGTACTCTTTAAGTTCCTTCTTTGCGTCAATGTTAAGGATCTTCTTAGCGATATTCTCGAAAGATTCTTTGGCGGCTTGCAGGCTCTCACGCGTTTCCACGAACGGATTGATGGCAGTTGCGAGGGAAGAAAACGTATCATCAATGTCATCAAGACCCACTGAATCAAACTTCAACTTCTTGTGAAACTCCTCTTTGTCCTTTTCCTTGTTGGACTTACTTTTGTCAGCTTTACTTCCTTCCTTCTTGTCAGTCTTCTTCCTTGAGGTGCTTCCTCCATTTGCTCCTTCCGCCTCATTGCCTTCGCTTTTATCTTTTTCTTTTGAAGTGTCGTCGCCCTCGTTCAGCTCCCCTTCAATTTTCTTCTGTTCCTCTTCATCGGCAAAAGCATGATAAATTTCAAGGATGATCTTCTTGGCTTGGCTGTAGAAATCCCGCACCATGTCAGGAGCTCTCCTCACTTGTTGGACGTTGTTGCTGAAGGCCTTTTTGAGCCTTGGGATCTTTCCCAAATCCCACACGCTCTTAAACTCTCGTTTCAAGATTCCTTGCACATCCATTCCTTCAGCTCTCTCGACTGCATCGTCACTTCCTCTTGCGATAATCATCGGCATAGCTTTTAATTCCTTCGACAGTTTGAGTATGGCATTTACAGCAGCTACTGCGTCAAGAATTTCTTGTACTGTCTTTTTTCCCTCTGTGTAAATGGCCAGAGCTCCTTCTTTTATCTTGACTACGATTCCCTCTGATGTGAGTCGCGTCTTCAGGGCGTGCACATATTCACTGAACTGCGCATGCAGACTGATTTGTTCCAGCGTGGTAACAGCTTTCTTAAAGGATTCCTCTGCTTTAGCCATGTCCTCGCGATTTTGGACGAATGGATCCAACGTTGTTTTAAAATCCGCGAAAATGCAATCCAACTCGGAAATGTCGAACTTTTTGAAGTCGAGAACTTTGCTTAGCTCGTCCTTAGTCTCTACTTTTTTCTTCTCAGGCTTGGTTCCCTTTTCGCCAGAATTAGCAGCCTGCTCGACTGAATTTGTTCCACTTGCGCTCGACCCAGCTTCTGGACGTTTCTTGGGACGGTTTGGTTTGGTTTCAATATCGGGTACGGCATTCTCATCTGCTGCATGATTACTCGTTCCACTGATACTTTGGTTATCGAAGTCGGAATGTCCATCAGGGAGCGCATGTTGGCCATGGAGTGTGCAGCTTCTCACGGGACCTTCCAATGGCTTATGATGCGACTCGTATTTCTTTGGTTGATTCTCATCTGTCGGACTTTTATCTCCTTCTTCACCGCTGCCCTCTTCTTTCTTTGTCGCTGAGTCCTCTTCCCCTGTCAAAGCTTCAAGGATGTCGGTTAGAATGCGCTCCACATACAGGCAGAACTCTTTGACAATACCCGGAATCTCTTGTGCTTTTTTACGATTCTCGTTGAATCTTTTTATCTTCCCTGGAAGAGCGAATACATCAGACTTCTTCTTAAGCATGCTGTGAAAGTCACGCTGTGGATTGATTTGAGTGATTCTGTGCATTACCTCTTCTATTCCATGCTGCACATCTGGCTCAAGTTCCACTGCTTCACTTCCGGCTGTTCTGATGTTCTTCAGCGCTTCAACTGCATCACGGTAAGGCTTGGGCGGTTTTACGCCTTCAATTGATTTCACTTTAATCTCGCCATCTGTTTCATCGATGTAGATCGTAATGTTTCCTTCCCTGGCGTCTTTTTTTAACTCTTTGATGTACTCTTTAAGTTCCTTCTTTGCGTCAATGTTAAGGATCTTCTTAACAATATTCTCGAAAGATTCTTTGGCAGCTTGCAGGCTCTCACGCGTTTCCACGAACGGATTGATGGCAGTTGCGAGGGAAGAAAACATATTATCAATGTCATCAAGACCCACTGAATCAAACTTCAACTTCTTGTGAAACTCCTCTTTGTCCTTTTCCTTGCTGGACTTACTTTTGTCAGCTTTACTTCCTTCCTTCTTGTCAGTCTTCTTCTTTGAGGTGCTTCCTCCATTTTTTCCTTCCGCCTCATTGCCTTCGCTTTTATCTTTTTCTTTTGAAGTGTCGTCGCCCTCGTTCAGCTCCCCTTCAACTTTCTTCTGTTCCTCTTCATCGGCAAAAGCATGATAAATTTCAAGGATGATCTTCTTGGCTTGGCTGTAGAAATCGCGCACCATGTCAGGAGCTCTCCTCACTTGTTGGACGTTGTTGCTGAAGGCCTTTATGAGCCTTGGGATCTTTCCCAAATCCCACACGCTCTTAAACTCTCGTTTCAAGATTCCTTGCACATCCATTCCTTCAGCTCTCTCGACTGCATCGTCACTTCCTCTTGCGATAATCATCGGCATAGCTTTTAATTCCTTCGACAGTTTGAGTATGGCATTTATAGCAGCTACTGCGTCAAGAATTTCTTGTACTGGCTTTTTGCCCTCTGAGTAAAGAGCTCCTTCTTTTATCTTGACTACGATTCCCTCTGATGTGAGTCGCGTCTTCAGGGCGTGCACATATTCACTGAACTGCGCATGCGGACTGATTTGTTCCAGCGTGGTAACAGCTTTCTTAAAGGATTCCTCTGCTTTGGCCATGTCCTCGCGATTTTGGACGAATGGATCCAACGTTGTTTTAAAATCCGCGAAAATGCAATCCAACTCGGAAATGTCGAACTTTTTGAAGTCGAGAACTTTGCTTAGCTCGTCCTTAATCTCTACTTTTTTCTTCTCAGGCTTGGTTCCCTTTTGGCCAGAATTAGCAGCCTGCTCGACTGAATTTGTTCCACTTGCGCTCGACTCAGCTTCTGGACTTTTCTTGCGACGGTTCTGTCTGGTTTCAACATCGGGTATGACATTCTCATCTGGTGCACGATCACCTTTCATTCCCTTGACGCTTTGGTTATCGAAGTTGGAATATCCACGAAGGAGCGTTTCTTGGCCATGGGGTGTGCAGCTTCTCACGGGACTTTCCAATTGCTTATCATATTTCTGAGTAATACACAGACAAAAACAAAGCAAAACAAAACATTAACAGAATAAAAACAAGAACAAAAATAATCACAAAAAGTAAAAAAAAAGTATGCATCTAAAAGGTGGAGAAAAGTCTGCCAAAATGGTAAGAGTCACTCAAAATTAATAGGTCACACAATCCCTTTTTTCGTTCATTGACGGTACTCTAAACTAAATACCTTTACAAGAACCTTCCGTGGTCAAGGTATGGAGGGGATACCCGCACGAAGGATCTGTGTGGGAGATAACTGACTCATCTCCTCAGAATACCAACATTCCTGGAGAATTTGTAATTATATCAACGTTTCCCATTCAGCGAGGTTGTAAGCGTCAATTTCGAGTTTCCTCAACATATAGTTTACCTTTTTGTCTCCTGAAAGAAGAGGCTCCTCCTCATCGCTAACCTGAAAATAAAAACAAAACCGTTCAATCAGCAGCTAGGAACATGAATAAAAGTAAAAAAGATAAAAAATCTTGTACTGCAAAGGGTAAATTTATATAATGAAAGCTGACAGTAAAAATCTGGCTCTCTAGCACTCGTTGCGCGCTTACGATAACCACTCGACCATCTAGAAACCTCCAAGATTTATTGGGATAAATTTTTGGTTTAGACGCGTTATGGAGGGGGGGGGGTTAGGGGGAGTAGAAGTTTGTCTGAGAGAGAGTGCAATCGAGTTACAGAAACACGATACAGCGTAGTGCAAAGGTACAGTCACACGAAAATTTCGGATAATGGGGCCAAATATTCAACAACTACTCTCATCTCTAGCTTTGTGACAAGAAACCAACTTAACATTCCTAATTTTAAACCGAAAGATTCACAATCAAATGTTAATTCGTGGTTCATAAAACTCTTTCAGATTCTAACAATCTTTCGAACTTACAAGGGCACGCACGGTTTCTTCCTCAAGAACCAGACGAACAAGACGAGCAACAACACATGAACTTTAAGTAGAAAGGAAACGAATTGTAAACATATTTCATCTTATGAGGGAAACGGTTTGCGTCGATGCATTACAAGTACTTCCGCTTTGATATTGACCCAAAGCGTGTTCCAAATTTTCCTGATTTACAAGACCAAATAGAAGTGACCAATCACCCAGCTATGAAAAGCGATAATTCTAACATTGTCTACATACCTGGAAACAACAGCAAGAAAATCTCATGATTGAAATTTCGTTCTAATGAGCAGCAAACGGGTTGTGCCTCACTCTTTTCGACAATTCGCAAACGATACGGTCTACTACACTTTCCTAGAATCGTGGTATCCGACGTAGTCCTGGGCCGGATGAACGTAGTGTCATACCCCTCCCTCAGAACATTTAGACAAGACGAGCTTGTACCATCAAAGTGGCCATGGTTTTCGCAAATTTCAATCCTATATAGGGTATACAGTTTGACCATGAGTTCTTATTTAACAAGGCATCTTTCCGAACTCTAAGTCTCGAACGCTGATGTAAATGCTGTCGGTGTGCGCCTGCACGGTCCGCATCTGTTGTATTAAAAAATTTTCAAAATAAAACATTAAATATTTGTCTAAATATGGTGTCGGGAACCGTGAACAATGCCTTAAGTCGTTTTTAGTTTCGCTATAGTTGTTTTTGTCATGACCGGAAATGTCTCCAATCAATCAATTTCCCAGAATGTACTTTGTGCTCCGAGGTATCACGTTTCTTTGTAATTGGTTGAGAAATCCTGCACGCGGTCGAGTTGTTGTTGATGCTTTAGTTATACCTGGATTGTATTCGTCGATTAAAAGAGTTGATTAATCAGGGAACGTGTCTTTGGTGCGTTTTCGACATATGACATATTATCCTAAGCTGAGTGTTGACTGACTCATAACAAAGTTGTTTTTCGAGTTCTCGATCAGGGTAACGAAATCAAAGTATTTTATCGTCTGGTCGTCACACACTATACGCTAAGCCACCGCGGTAGCTAGCTCTCTACGGTCAGCTGATAAGTGATAAATGTACATTGACTCCAAAGCAAGTGACTGAACAGTTCTGTACGAGTTCACCAGGGGTGAAATTCCCGTGTCAGAATTTCGTCATCTCAAACGAGGCGAGTAGTTGCAGCAATATGTCCCCCGCTAGCGTCATTCCGAACTATCACCCCCTATCCCCCCCTCCACTAATTCAAATGAAACTTCCCCTTTTCTTCTAAGAGGCGGAAAATGAAAGATTATTTGTTTGCTTTTCTAAGAAATTGAAAATTACAGAGAGCATTTGGTAATTTAGCAAAGCAATCGAACCTTCCAACAGAAACGATTCAAAACATATCCAATATAATGCAAAGGCTTGAAAACTATAGGTATAGAGTACTTTATTATTGATAAAATGAAGTCTTGATCGCATGCTTTCAAAATACATCGGGTTAATATAGCTGGTTGTATTACAGTTAAATCTTTTCAATTTTTTTCGAAACTTTTCCGGAAAAATTAGAAAGTAACAAATTATCGCATCAACAATATTCATTATGATAAAAATAGTAATATATTAATAAGTTAAAGGGGCAAGCTCAAAAGCTTAACGATTACCCTATCCTCTGGGCTCCAAAACCTAAATTTGCTTGTTAAATCGGACACTAATGTCCAAAATCCAAAAATGGAAGCTAGTGTCAAGAATCCAAAATCGGACCCTAATGTTCAAAATCCAACATCAGACCCTTGTATCCAGGAAATTGGACATAAGTGTCTAAAATCCAAAATCGGACTCTTGTGGCAGTCTAACTAAGAATGCATGTTGCCACTAATGTAGCACAATTTTTGTAGTATTAGGAAGACCTAGAGTTTGTGTAATGATGCTAGAAGACGGTGCTAGAGAAGATTTGTAAAAAAATATTTTGAGATTTTTATCAGCTTTTGTTGTGTCACGGTAAGAACCGAAAAAATTATATCTTTTTATCTGCTGGGAATAATGCGCTGATTCAAAATGTAAAACGCTTTCACTTTAAAGGGCATGTAAACCCAAAAAACATTCATTTTCTTTCCACATGGATGTTTCGTAAATATATCAAGTACACCAAAGGTACCATTCGTTTTTTCTCAAAAGTCCATTTTCACTTTTTAAAAGCTCTTCCAAATTCGAAACATTCGCCATCTTGAATGGCGCCATCTTTCCTGTGACGTCACGAGTGGACCCTTCAAAGTCTCGTTTTATAATCACATGAGGCACGAAGGAGTCTTTTCTACAGCCGTTGTTTGCCAGTCTCGTCATGATTTTTTTACTTACATTTTGCTTCAAAATATTCAATTTTTTCGTAATGGCAAAGCGTTGTGTCGTCCAGTTTTGTACTGATTCAAACAAAACTGGGCATACAATGCAAATATTTCCAAATGACGCAAATTTGAAGCGACAAATTTCGTCGATTTCGTCGAGCCGTTCGAACATTCTGTTGTTTGTAGCAGTCATTTTTCTTCCTGGTGCTGTACCGACGATTCAGGCCTTACCAGAAGCAAATTATTCGGAAGTATAAAAACGACCCATACAGTCGGTAGACGACGAGGATTCGGAAGTGGCCGACCGAACTGAGAAAGAAGTTGAGCTCTTCAAAAGTTAGAGGTCAACGGAGACAGTACAAAATCGATTTACATGAAAACATTTCGTTAATTAAATAATGATAGTTTATTGGTTCTCTAAAAACATCTATTTTCTCATCTAATGAAAGATTATGGGGAAGCCAGTTGTTCGGGAGCCAGCGCTGAGCCCATAAAAGACACTGACCCTTCTGATCCTTTGCCTGAATTCGAAACACGTATCAAAGAAAGAGAATTCGTTGATGTCAGTGTGTAATAACGTGATCTGGAATTTTGTTGGTTCCATGCAAAGAATTCTATACAGGATCCCATAATCAACCCTTATGTTCTATAAGAAAATCTTTGCCAGCCCCACTTGGTGCTTCCTTTGAGAAACCCTACAGAGAAACAGCAGAAGAATTTGTGTCACGATTTTTACAGCAGTGAAAATACATTCAAAGGTCAGTAGGACAATATTCATCATTTTGAGTACAACTTAAAAGATCCTGATTTCAGCTTGCAAAACTATCTTTTCAGTATTTCAAATCGAAGCAAACACAAACAGGATTGGATAATTATGAAGGCCACACAAGGAAATGTAAATGGTACAACTTGTTTATCGATGGAAATGCTTCGGAGATGAAGGAAAGCAATAAATAAATATCTCATAATGAACGGGCACAATCTCCAGTGCTGTAAATAATAAATAACTAAGATCTGCATTAACATATACCTTTGTTTCTCTCAAAGGTTTGGCGGTTTTAATCCAGTGTAAGGCGATCCAAAATCCGCTGGAAAAATGTTTCGGATATTGTTTACCGCACAAGATGGCACAGCGACCCTGAAGTGTTTGCCGAGATATTCCCAACACCAATGAACAAGCTATCTGTAGGCAATTTAGCGAAATTTCCTGCCAGGAAAGAAGCGAAAAACAACTAGCTCTAGTACTGTATTATTAAATCAATGGCAGAAACAACCCAAGCAAATCGATCTCAAAATGTAACAAAACAGATGAAACAGAAAACATTTAGCTTACTCGTTTCCGGTGTGATTATCTGTGCCTTGCTGCTTCCTGTACGCGTAATTGGCCGTCTCCAGCACGCAGAAATCAAGGCGAATTGACTGAAAACCTGGATGTTCAGTGATACAACTTATCTGGGTTTCAGGCCCTTGCTACTCTACTTTTTGCCACAATTGCCCGATTTCCGTACAACAAACACTTTCATGAGTTGTCGGCATTGGTTGACAAGTTCCACGCTCTCACCTTTCATAATTTTATATAAAACACTCTCAGAAGCTCAAGTTTAAAAAATTTCTGTTGCATTCTTTTAGATTGTACCCTCGCTTTATTGGATTTTCATGTCAAATACAAATAAATCACACAGTAAATTAAATACCAGTCTGAGTTTCCGAGGAGGTCGCATGGCTGTCAACATGTTCTGTACTGTCTTCGTGCGGATCGCTTCGGTGAACACTAAGCGGCTCATATTGTTAGGGACGTGTCCCAGACTCTCCTGAAGATTCTGGATTATCCCCATCGCTGTCATATACTAAGCTAAAGGCATTCCAGTTGCTATCTTCTAAAAAACATCTTCCAAACTACCAATTTACAAACAATTTAGTGCCGTAGTTTAACATGGGTAAACAGCTAGGAATCACAAAATTTTTATCATTGTGCTTGTAAAAAGCCTTTTTATCATTTGATCGTTCAGTGCGTTTAAGGGCGGGCTTTCTGCAAGCATTTCACAACTTCAAAAGTATTTTGCCAAGCGTTAAATTGCGAACAAGACGAAACCCATAAGGCTAGAGCTGTCATTGCTGCCTGGACTTGTTTCCCTCTTAAAATTACGCGGGGTTCTTTGATGATCTGCAGACTTTGATTCGCATCCAGAACCACTCTCTGTCTCCTCAAGGCAGCTAAGATCTCTCTTTTCTTGAACTCCACGACCACATTTCTTGGGCATATTATCTCAACATCCACTTTTAAGATCGCAGAAAACAACTTACAAGGGGCACTGAGGGCTGCCTCATTCGGAGCTTTTTCCGGATCGATGACGTCGTCTTCGAACATTTCGTCGTTGCTGACGTCATCCTGAGTCGTAACGTCATCTATGGAGCTCCCGGCTGTGAGCACTTTGAAGATGGCATCGAACGCTTTGACAATTGACGACTTGGTCTGAAGAGGAAGACAACTAAGGGCGGTGTTCAAGGCAAACACGGCTTTGGTCACGGCACCAGGTACCACCAGGGCAAGAGCGGCCGACTTGTGGACTTTGAACTTAATTTTACCTTTCTCCGTGTCTAGAATGAGGCGGCATCGAGCGAATTGCACATGTCCACCAGATGTTCTCACGGTCACTGAATAATCCTTAAAAATCAGCTCTGCCTCTAAACTACAGATAGATGTCGCTTGTTGGAACAGAGTCAACACCTTAGACACCACATTGTCCTCACGGCCTGGTTCTTGTGTGGTTAAATGCGTGGGAACCTTGATAAGCTCTTTCCACTGAAATAAAACGACATGCATATCTAAGATAAGCATTTACATAGAACTACATAAAATACCTGAGGTAAACGAGGCCGAAGTGAAGCAGAACTGCATAAAGAGAATATAAACCGCAGTATCTCGACTGCATGTATTATGTCAGGTGAAAATAATACCAGGAGCCCATTACGGGGCTACTGATAATACATACATACACTGATAATTAATATAATTTCCTTTTTACGTCTTAAGCAGAAATTCACAGAAAAAGAAGTGAGGATGGTTGCAGATGAACACGGATTGAAACTAATTGAACTTGGAAAATTGAGACAAACCAAATATCGCACGGGAACCTAAATCTTGATTAATATCGTCTTTTACTTGAAAATCACCAGAATTAAAATGTACCATCTTCATTTACCTACATCTTAATTACGCAGAGGTATTACATATCGAAACTATCCTGGCAGTAGGAAGGAAGTTTGACACCATGGTCTTAGTTAAACGGCCCATAACTGGCCTGTCACGAGTCTACTTTCGTTCAGTGGTAGAGCACCCGAAGTACAATCGGGAGGTTGTGCATTTGACTCCTCTTAGGAGCACTCGGATAGAGTTCTTTCTCTCCGAGTGTGCTTGTGCCATTCACTAAATAACAACATCTTTCACTTGAAAACCACCGGGCCTAAAATTTACAATCTTCATTCGCATCGTCGTTTCTTAATCTCTCGTGCGGAAATACTGTCTCAAGGTAGAACTTTTATAAATAAAGTTAATACGTGTTTTGGGCTTAGCAAGAGTAAAAGAGACCTCGATCGTGAAGGTGACAAATATTTAAGTTTTCCCATAGTTATCAATTTAGTTTGACTTAAAAACGCGAGCATAGTCATCAAACACAAACAAACCGTGCACTTCATCAAATTTCGTACGAGCACGATACCTGTCTAAACTGCCAGTCGCATTTGGGATGATTTGTTCGTTTGCGAAGGAAGTTAAACTATCTATTTAAAAATTGAAAGGATTCGACACTATTTGATAGAAAAAGGCTTCATTTTTGCTGGAATAATTAACACGAAAATATGTTTCATTTTCACCTCTGGTTTCAATTTCCTTGCGGCTTCCTTTGCTGTATTTTCTTTCCAATGTTTTCCTCTTGTGTTGACCTTACTTCCTTCATTAAGTTTTGCTTTCCACTGCTTTGTCTTTGTGACTTTTTCTGCTAAATTCAAAACAGTATCCTTACCAAGGACCTCCATTGTAAATGAGTAACTATTAAACAACTGCCTTATAACTCTGAGATCTGAAATGTCATTTGGTTTTATCAACCGAATTTGTAATGTAGAACGGCCACCGTATTGTGTATAAGGTTGAAAAATTGTCTCTGGTAGAGGTGTGATTACTGTCTTGGTTAACTTAGTTATGCTTTATTGTACAAAAGAAATGCTTATACTTTATTTATACAACTTCTTTAAGGGCGTTAGAGATAGAACAATCCAAATAAGTCCGTAAACTTCAATATTCATTCGGCGGTTTCCGGTCATAGGAAAGACATTGGGCTTCCGGTCAATCGAATCAAAATGCCATTTAGGGGGAAACTCGTTTAGTTTATGTTTGTTTTTTTCTAAAAAAAAACTTCCTGTTTTACAGGAAGTTCTATAAAATATTGCTTGCTGAACTAAGAAGAAGGAACCATGTGATTATTGAATAATTTTCTCAAAAAGGAGAGGATTTTATACGGATCCACAGCCCCCAATCATAAAGGTTAACTACACTCAAAATAGTCTTTGACAAGTCGTAATTCCTTCTCTGCTGGGTTTGTCGGTTGAGTGGAAAAATATAGAAAATAATAAAATGTAATAATAATTTTGATAACCATAATGTTAATGATAGTAAATATTGAAACGATGAAGTAGGAAAAAAAGAAGATCGTGATCAGTTGTAGTTGCAGTCTCATGGAGAAAGAGTCGCATCAAGCAAAGTGTTTTTGGACGAAAGCTTCGCCTAAGCCGCTCCACATACACCTTTAAGGTTATTTACAAAATTAAACCAGAGAGATACACATTCAAAATATGTTTTAAACACGGAGGTGACTTAATTCACAAGGTGCGCACAAATCGCCTAGTTAACGATGGAAATACGGATTTTAAAACCTTCGCTCACCTGCGAGGAACTTGTATCTAGAACTATTTTACCCTTTTTTGCAATAGATGAAAGTCATCTGCGCTCTTCTCTAAACTTAAATTTCTGAAAAAAGGTGGCCCTCTAAAAAAAATACCGCCAGCCATGTTATAAACACTTTTTTGTGGGTGTGGGGGTTTGCATTGTTATACAGTCCATCAAATACTTCATTGAAAAAACCCTCTTCCCATGGGCTGTGTCCCACTCAGCCGTCTGTGCTGTATCATGTTTGGTAGTTGCAGGAGGCTGTAGAGTTTGAACTTGACCCGATAAATTACGTGCTTTTCATTGTCTTTTTTTAGCTGTTTGACCTTCTTCGATGGGGTCATAGCAACCAGAATTTTTAATATAATTTTTCTTTTTCAGACCTAACTTATTTCCAATAGAATAAATTTGAGTTTAAAGTCAAGTCATGTATCATGAAAAGTTAACCAGAGTATGTAGTACCAAGGACTTATCGGCACAATACAGCCTCCTAATCTTTTAAGAGTGTCGCTCCTGCATTTTCCTTATTCACATGAATTTGAATCACCCAAGATCATTTCGCGAATCACGTTTATAAAATTCACCTCTTCTCTGCGTTCCGACGGATATATTTTTCAAGAATAAATTTTTGAAAATGAGAAATCTGTCTAAATTCTCGTGATCTTGAAATGTTGTTAGAAACAACTTTGTTAAAATTAGAAATATTCGTGACTAGTCTCCGGAAGTCAAGTGACGTCATAGGGTACTATTAGGGTAATTCATTCACCCCCCTATATGCCGGCTCTTAACAATTTTCTTCCTTTTCCCGCTGCTTATCTCATGCGACATGTCTTACGACTCTTACGCTGATACTAGGTTGGTTTTTCGTTATTCTGTGATGGATTTCTCTTCTCAGCCCTTTCATCTGTTGCAGTATAAGTTCAGGCGCAATTTAGCTGCTATAATTTAAATGAAGAAGCTAGCTTAGGATGCATAACGATGAGAGGAAATTGCGTCTTCAAATTGTAATTTTTCGCCACCGACCGCCATTTTGAACCACGTGTTTCAGTCGGCTGGTGAGCATTTTTCTTGCGTAACTCTTATGATTCTTCTCTTATGGTGTCTGAAAATTTTTCATAGAAATCCTGACTCCGACCGGGGTCGTGACGAGCAAAATGGTCCACCAGGAATGGAACAGGACGGAGATATCGAGGTTCGTTCAAAGTCTAACATGTGTGAAACAAAGCTGAATTTTTTTGTCTTTCGTGTTTCATGCTTTTGAGTAAATTTTATTGTCAATTTCTTACAGTTCTATTTTTTTTATACTTCAGACTAACTGGAACGAAGTTGTTGACAAATTTGATAACATGGGCCTGAAAGAAAATTTACTCCGAGGCATCTATGCTTACGGGTGAGTGTCTACTTTGCCAACAACTGCTCGATTCAATTCATTATAGACGAATAGATCTTCGTTGAATTAAATCAAGCATTAGCGTAAACCTAACATCAACGACATTTTTACGATTTCAGGTTTGAAAAACCTTCAGCAATTCAACAGAGAGCTATCATACCTTGTTGTAAAGGTTAGTGTCATACGTTCATCCTGATCAAAGCAGTATTTTATGATCAGTTTTAACTGTAATAAATAACTTATGGAGGATCGGGGTTCACTACTGTCCTTTTGTGCTCAGTATTCCTTGGAGTGAAAAAAATTATGATCAACCATCACTTGCACAGTGTTATCTTTTAAAAATTTATCACACTGAATTGTTAGTGGAAACGCTGTGAAAAGAGAAATCCAATGCTTAGGTAAAGGTAAGTCAGTGGATTAATTTTGAAAAGCGCAATAGTCTTTCTTAGCATTTTGTCGCTTTGTTGTAGAAATCTTTGTCTTGTCGCTGAAAATGTGGAGGTTAATTTTTTTCCAAAAGATGTATATTTAACTAGTACATAGGAGCGCACAAGTGCGCGATGTGATTCGTGAAGTAAAATGTTAAGAATTAAATAATGGGCAATTTCGACTTACAGTCAACTGACTGGTGAAAGTTCTCTGAAAATAAGTTTCGTATTTCAGTAACAATTGAACATCAAGTTTTCAAAAAGACTTTTTGAATTAGTTATTTTGGGGTAAGCCCCAAACCAGATCATTTCTGTAAATCAGCATAGAATACAACTTTGAATTGCTCCTTCTTGATCACGACAGTGACCACTTTTCACCAAACATACGAATGTATGAAGGGGTGATAAATTGCAACATGTTGAAACTCAGATTCTTCTACATTCTATTCTTGGTAGTCAACATGGTGCAGCATTTGGTTAATGATCAAGACTTTGGGTAGAACGTGTAACATTTTGAAACTTGTCTTCTGTCTATATGAATTTGCAAGTTTAAATGTGTATTGCACTGTGAATTGGGAACATTTTTGTTTAAGGGGGAAAAATTTGGAACATGTTTGTAGTCTAGGTGCAAAGCTGTAAGTCTTAATGTGCAGTGATTGGTAGTATGATCAGGTATTTGGGTGGATAGCCTAAACAAATTACAGATGTGAAACTGTGAGTATGTGCAGTGTTCCGCAACATTAGCAGTTTCGTGGTGGATTGTATCTAGTTGTAAAGCATATTTTTAGGCTGGATGTAAACCTTTTGAATCAAAAATTGGGTTTCAGTGAAATGATTGGATTCTTTGGTGGATTTGTAACATTCTGAAACATGTAATTAGTCTAGATGTGATCCTGCTTGTGGAAATGTACAGTGTTCAGTATTGATTCCCTGAAACATGTATAAATCTAGATCTCATGCAACTGATTTTTCAAGTGAAAGTGAAAACAAACCACCTGTTTTGGAAATTTGAAAGATTGCTTACATTAGGCATAAAACTTTCTGTGGCCTTTGTGGTGGAAATGTTATATTGAAACAATCTCAACATTGCAAAGCAAATAGGCTATTAGTAGAGAGGCTGGAAATTCTAATGGTTATTGCAGCCTTAGTGTTACCTGTGTTGAAGTTTCTTGAATGTGCTCTACAATGAATAAGGCATAGAAATCTGAGTTTTCTTTTCAAAGCAAATTATGGGCTTATCTTTATCAGCTGTTAAATGGCCCTATTTTTCAGTATAGACAGTCATGGGACTCTTGCTTACAAAATAATAGTAGGAATCCTTCAAAGAAAGAACCCTATCCAAATATACAAGATAAGGATTATTTTTAACCAGAATTTGGTGTTTGATCAAGATAACAACTTTTACTGGATAAGTTTGTGTATTCTCATTACCTGTTTGCTAGATTGCAAGATAGTGTCTAGAAATTATAGGAAGAAGCTACACGTTAGTTAATTCTGGGAGTAAAAGGGTTAAAAGCAAATTTTCCTTTGATGAAGTGTAGTTTAGTGCTCGTATGAAGCATGAGAAATACTTACAATGCACTAATAGAGAGTCATCAAAACACAAAGGAGTGTCACTTTTTATCAGAGGGTTACCAAAACATTAAGGGGTGTCACTTTTTGCCTATTTTAAATCTGGGCCACCGTTGGCTTTCTCTCATCTTGATGCTAACAAAGGAAGAGTATTGAGGGGGGGCGTTGGTCTTGAGACTTCTCATGAAAGATAAAGTGTACCTTGTTTGTGCATCAGTTAGCTTGCAGAGATAATGTATTCATGGGTTGCATATTGATGTCTTGTTTTCTAGGACTTGATGTTATTGCACAAGCCCAGTCTGGTACTGGAAAAACAGCCACATTCTCCATTTCAATCTTGCAGCAGATTGATGTGTCTTTACTGGAATGTCAGGCTCTTGTGTTGGCACCAACCAGGGAGTTAGCACAGCAGGTATAAAATCAAATCACTGTTACATGATTGTTTATGGTTTTGTGGTTGGGGAAGCACTTTCCTTTTGTAAGAAATTGTTGAAGGGAATGTCACAAACTAAACTTTACATGGAGGTGGTAATATTGTGTCTGTTTTGTTTTTGTTTGTTTTTTAAATTTCAAAATTAGGAACTGACTTTTGCAAATGATCTCTCAAAGGTTCTATTCATTCAACAGAACAATAAAAGTGAACAGCAATTATTCTTGCCTGTTTTTTTAATTGAAGTTATGATTTTTTTTCATGTGTCACTTCAGAAGTTATGTTGTGTTTCTTTTGTACCAACCATTGCTCTCTGCAGCTTGTTTTGGGTATTAAGACATTCATAAACTTCTCCAGATTTAACAGGAAGTTTCTTTTAGGGACATAAAATTCGAGGAACATTTATTTTTTTTCTTTTAGTTGCTGATACAATTGTTGATAAATCAACCCAGCAACAGTAATTTCAGTAATTCATTCATTGTGTTTACAGATTCAAAAGGTTGTAGTTGCCCTTGGTGATTACATGGATGCCAGATGCCATGCCTGTATTGGTGGAACCAGTGTCCATGAAGACATTGTGGCTTTAAAAGATAAAAGCAAAGGTGTGCACTCTGTTGTTGGAACCCCTGGCAGAGTGTTTGACTTGATCAACAGAAGTCACCTGAGTAAGTCCTAAATTGCTAGCATCAAAACTTGGTACCTTTATTCAAATTAGCTGACATTTAGATGGACAATAAATACATGTATTTCTAACCTTATGATTTGAGAAAGTAACTTAAACTAGTACAAACTTTGTTTTGGGCCAAATAACCAAAAAAATGTCCTTGTTATGTGCAAGACTAGTATCTCATTTATGAGAGTAGAACTTGGTCCTTTTCACAGTCTCTTTGGGAAGAAAAGTTTTGTTCAGAGGAAGATGTTTTTTTGTCTTGTTACTCGACAGAAAAAAAACATCTCTCTCTATTTCTTTACCAAGCTCAAAACTTACCCTCTTTCTTATTCTATTTACAAAACATGACATTAGCAACATTGCTGATCCTAGCAGTACTCAGTACATATACCATATTTGAACCTCATCATGGACCTTGCTCATCATAGAGTCTCTGTGGCTCAGTGGTAGAGCATCAGAGTGCAGGATCTGATGGTCTGAGGTTCAATTCCTTATAGGGGCTCAGAATTTTTTCTTTGTCCCATGCTTGTATAAGATGAAAAAAACATCCTTCTCTGTTGCTTTACCAAGCTCAAAAACTTACCATCTTTTTTTTATTCTATTTACAAATCTTTTTTTTTTGGTATGACATAATGGCACGAACCTCCATCAAGTTGGACTTCAAATAATTTGTTGTGATAGAGCAAAATTTTTGTTTTTCAGATACAGACAAAATCAAAATATTTGTCTTAGATGAGGCTGATGAAATGTTGTCAAGAGGATTTAAAGATCAGATATATGATATTTTTAGGAAATTGCCCACTAGTGTGCAGGTATGATAAATGAAAAAAAGTGTCAACATTTGGTCACCTATCTGTAACCATTTCCCTCCACCTTGCTACTTGCTGAATTTGATCTTGGTTGCCCCTAGTTCAACTCTGTGGCTGTGCTTTACATATATCTGACTGGTCTGCTTCCTGCTAGCTAAGAGTTTTTAAAAACTCTGTTAATTCATTGGTATTGGCCTAGAAAAGCCCCATTGGGGGAATGGTCATTTAACCCTTAAACCAGTAAGAGTGACCTCCATTTATTTTTTCCCTGCAATATTGCCTTTGAATCAAACTTTAAAGAAACAAAAGTAAAAGAAATGATCACCAACAAGTTTGAGTATTCTTATCATCTGTTTGCTGGATAATGTATGCAGGGCATGAAATTAACTTTTTTTTCTGATAGCCACTTGGCTCCTAAATTCTTCAAAGTGGTAGCCAATTCAAAAAAAGTTAGTCGCCATTTTCAAAGACAAACAAAATCTTTCTTTACGCTGTCAGCGTTCTAGATAGACCCTCCAAAATTAAGTTAGGAAAGGTCTTTAACATGCTACAAAGTGGACACTAGGATGGATGATATACAACGTTCAGGCTCATCTAAATCCAAGATGGCATCTAGTTATCGATCGAGATGCATGTGCTACGTTTTGGAAACAAACTTAAAGAGGAAGTTTGCCGCGGATTTATCTTTGCAAATCTTTTTAATTCACTATATCTCTTGGTAAGGTTATGATGAAATGTTCTAGTCGCCAATTTGGCGTCTAACTTTCAGGATTTGGTTGCCAAAGTGAAAAATTTAGGTGCATTGGCGCCTGTATTAGGTGCAATTTCACGCCCAGGTATGGATATCATAGGGAGAAGTTACATGTTAATCACCTCTAGGATTCAAAGGGTTAAGTATACATACATACATGTATCAGACACTGTGTCACATTACTGAAGAATCCTATCAACATTATGTACCTTCTTACCTTTGTCCGTGATATCTGAAAGCTAATTGGATAGGGGGATTTTACTTTCTGTCCAAAACTTAAACTTTGTTCTGATTATGCTTTTCAGGTTATTTTGCTATCAGCAACAATGCCCAGAGATGTGTTGGATGTGACTTGTAAATTCATGCGTGATCCAATCAGAATCTTAGTGAAGAAAGAAGAGTTGACCCTTGAAGGTATCAAGCAGTTTTTTGTCCTGGTGGAAAAAGAAGTAAGTTGTCACTGTCTTGGTGTATTGCACAATTGGGAATTCCCTACACCTGCACCCAAGAAATTGTTTTGGTAACACTACCTTTTGGTTGTTTTGTGTTTGCATTGCTTTGTTGCTAGGTCATTTTGAGTGGAAGAAATAAATTTTAAAAATGAAAAGTGCATTGTCTTGTTTGCAAGCACCACTTGTCTTTGTTTTTTTCTTGCATTGTATTTTTTTTCTAGATTCTGTCTTTTTTCCCCTAATTGTTTCTTTCTTTACTTTTCCTTATTAGGAGTGGAAGCTTGAAACACTTTGTGACTTGTATGAGACACTGACAATCACCCAGGCTGTGATTTTCCTCAACACGAGAAGGAAAGTTGATTGGCTGCAACAGAGGATGAGTGAGAAGGATTTTACTGTCTCCTCTATGGTATGTCCTTGGTAATCACTGGGCTTTGTGTTTTGCTCCTTTAGGGTAACAGGTAATTGCATAGTGCTCCTCTGCAGCACAATGATGTGGTGAAGAAAGAGCAGTTGTAGCTTCAGGAAACAGTATAAGCTGAGCTTTGGTGGTCTGAGCCATTTTATTTGTGTAAAGATTTCCACATTGACCTAGTGTCATGCCAATTCTGTTAATAAATTTCTCATGTGTTTGTGTTTAGCATGGTGACATGGACCAGAAGGAGAGAGATGTGATCATGAAGGAGTTCCGTTCTGGTTCTAGTCGAGTGCTTATCACCACAGACTTGTTGGTAAGTACTTACTGATATTGTTTAAAATGAGAATAAAATTTTTTTTCCAAGATTTCACCAGATTCAAGTGCTAATGAAGTGATGTAATTTCATTCTTATCTCAGGCACGCGGTATTGATGTACAGCAAGTCTCATTGGTTATCAACTATGACTTGCCTGGAAACCGTGAGAACTATATTCATAGGTGGGTTACTTTTAGCATAATAGTTGAATTTTTTTGCATTTTTGATTGGTTTGTTAGCTTTGACATGGTGAGTGTTTATGTGAACACCTCTGAACTACTTGATACCTGAAGTTGGTTTTATTAAAAGGGACCATATTATAGTCTGTTATCCATAGATATCCCACCTACATTTTTCAAGTTTGGACTTTGCAATCTATGATAATCCTCTATATCTTTGAGAAACTTGTCTGTGGGGTCAAAGTTGCCTCTTAATTTTGGTGTCCAAACTCGCCTTGAAGATAATTGTTGTATTGTAGGAACTTTTGATAGGAAACAAAAGAGAAAAATGTACCTTGAAATGTTCTCTGTCCCCTTACGAGACATGTTTTTTGGCATATTGGATATTTCTCCTGGCAGAGTCCATGAAGCTCTCACAAAAAGAAGTAGTCTTTTGACACACACAGACCAAGCAAGGGTCTGTGTAACGTTGTTGTCTTAACATATGTTAGTGTGTAACTAAACCCTAAGCGGAAAAACGGCCACCTCAAATGCCTTTTCCATCATTGGGCTCACCACTCAATAGATATATTTTTTCTATCAACGTTTTACTGCATTTCTCACCTTAGCAATCAGAATTCAAATGAAGTTATCTAGTTTTATTACACAATTCTCTTTCAGGATTGGTCGTGGCGGCCGTTTTGGTCGTAAAGGCGTCGCCATCAACTTTGTGACCAATGAAGATATTCGTACATTACGCGATATTGAAACATTCTACAACACACAGATTGAAGAAATGCCAATGAATGTGGCCGATCTTATCTGAGATGCCCAGTCGTCATTTAATGCAACTAACAAATTGAATAACAGCGCTTTGCTCAAACAAAAGAAGGAAAAAAATCGCAAAAGTCTCAAACCAAAAAAAGTAATGATCACCATATCGTACTGACCAGAAAGGTGCGAAACCTCCGGATATGTCATATTAAATAAAACTTATTGGTTTTCAACGAATTTTGAAAAATATATTATTTTTTGTTTGTTTATCCGTGCGTTTGTGTGCAACTTGATAGAATGCAGATGCCGAATCCAACACGCTTATACTAGTTTTGGATTAAAATAGAAAAAAGAGAAAAACTTGTATTTAATTTTTAGACTTGTGGGGTTTGACATCTGCTGTATTTGCTGTCTCTGCCTGTATGGTGTATCAGCTTTGTATGGTTACCTAAATTGGTTCTTACATTTTATGTATAAGGAACAGAATGCAGGATATGCACATATGGTGCTCTTGTTCCTTCCTGGTCAATAAATGTTCCTAAGTTCAGGTAATTTTTGGTGATTTTTGTTTACCACGTCGTTCTTCCAGTTTTGAGACTAATTATCTAAGATTTGAGCTGGTAAATGGTTGCCACATGACTAACCTGTCGTCAAAATGCTGAGCGCTCAGTAAACCTATCTGAGACTATTAAACTACCTATTTCATGTAACAGCCCCCTACCCTCTCTCCCTTAATACAGATCTAGTTCGGTTTGGGAGTTGAAAATTCTCCCATATTTTCAACAGGACATTGGCACGCGCGATGCCTGGTCATTGTCACGAATCACCTCAACTCAGCCATTCTCTTCGAGGGGTTTAAATATTCGAGAACGGGAGTCATGTAGTCATGTCAGAGTTTGTTAGAGTTTGGCGAGTTAGGTCGTTTCGAAACAATAGTTATAAGTGATAGGCGAACAGTGCTCCATCTCTCTAGAGATTTGCCATGAATCCCGAGGGAGCCCCAGCCGGGACTCCGACGTGATGGCGACAATCTAACGGCGTTAAAACCTATACTAATGTCTCGACGAGAAATACTGTTGCACGTCACGATACTGTAGATTAAAGTGAATTTAACACACTGACGAATCTTAGAGTACCCCAGTAAAGGTTAAGGATTCCACTGGAAGTTTCTCAAGTTCCCAGAAAATCTACGCTTAAACATGCCTGCCGTAAAGAGAGTGGTCACCCCAATATTGAACAGGAATTCACTAACTTGGGCTCCGTCTCGCACCACCTTAAATCACTTAAGAAAAAGTATCCTTTAGCGCTAGTCGCTTAAAAAATTGTACTACGTCAATATGCCTACAAAAATAACATCAACCGAAACATTGAATTCAAACATATTGTAATAAGGATATTAAAAATTTTCAAGTGATTCGGCTAATTATGAATTAATCATGTCATTTCTTATCAACTAAGTACTCGTGGACCACCCTGTTTGAATTGGTGTTAGACACGGTAAAAGTTTCAATGGAAACCTTCCCGACCTTTCCCATGGCTCAACCCATACATTCCTTCATTTCATACACCTGTACCCTGAAAGTGCTACCACTTTCGGACAGAGTATTCTTAATTTGGAAGTGCCTCCCCACCCTTAGCACAGCCGACACTCAAGAACAAGAGCTGGGAACAATTCCTCACCAGTCTTCTCATTTGCAACACGATTAAGACAAAGGCGCAAGCATTTGAATTCTGATGTGAACGTGTTTCGCGTTTTCGCACTGTTGTTCGTTCAAGTAGGTTCTCCATTTGGCATACGATGGCCACGTCTTCTGATTCTTTTGACTCAGAGGATGAATTAGACAATGAAATGTGCATCGGTGGTTATAGAGGAGACATTGTTGGAATCCGCTACTATCGTGGTACAGTGAACAACAACGAAATGGTTTCACTTGTGCGCGAACCGCGCAACCCCTATGACAGAAATGCTGTCCGAGTTAACAATGTCTATGGCATACAAGTAGGGCATATAAAGAAAGAGTTAGCTCTAGCTCTGGCTGATGTGATTGATAGCAAATTGGTCAGAGTAGAAGGGTGAGTTTGCACTGTGATCCACAGTACACAAAATTTGACGCATCACTTAACGTCTGCAGTGCGTTTATGTTGGTGTCCACGCCACACTGTTCAAATGCCTTGTTTACAACTGATGCATATTCGTGTAGCTTTACTCGGCGATATCAAACCCTTTTTTTTGTAGGTGTTGTATGGATATTGTGAGGATCTTGCTGAGATCCGCTCTGGGAAATAAATTTTTTCAAAGCGAGACAAAATTAATTTTGTGATCGTATGTGTAGCTCATATTTATATGAAAAGCTGGGTAAAATTTCCGCACAGCCCCATACTACAATATGTATTCAGTTCTTGGATAGAGAAAACAATGACAAAAACAATACATTGCCATGGGAAAACAGATTTGTTTTACAATAGTATGGGGCTGTGCGGAAATTTTACTGAGAAGCTGATTACACGTGCATTTTGATTGGTTCTCTCTAACCCTCTACACCCTAACATCAGTGTGCATATTCTCCATACTGTTCTTTATACATTTCCAAAGGTCTTAATAAAGAGAATATGTGTAAAAATCAACAGCTTTTTTTAGTTGATGATTATTTTTGTTATACTCATGACCTTGATGTGTGATACCGGAGGTGCTATTGTTTGGGGAAATTAGATGCTTGTCACTGTTGGAGGTCAAGGGGGGCATAAGTGAGGTCACTATTGACACTTTTTTGCCTTTTCATCAAGAAAAATGGACAGATTCCATCTGTGCAGTTTTAGATTACAGAAAATGTCAAAAATTGGTAAGAACATCAATGACACACTCAGCTGTGCCTGGTGTACCACTTTGTTGTTCTTGCTGCATTTTGATGTCATCTGTGATCTGTTAGTATGCAGGGAAACATGAAATCTATTTTTTGGTTAGATCCCTTCTTGGTTATAAAGGCTTGAATATTTGTAAGCTTTCTTACAAATAGTTTTAATTTTTGCTGCCAACAGTTGTACATATATGATTTTAAAGTTAACTGATTTTTGATCCCTAAAAACTCCCTAATTTGCCAGTGTTGTTCCCTTTGGAAAAAACAACATTTATACTATGCCTTGTGACATTGCATTTTGGGGGAAACCAGAAAATGAGCAAGAGGTTATCCAGAGAATGCGTCAGCATGGGTACATTTTGAAGACATGTAGAGAGCCAGTACCACAGAGAGGTGGAGTCCCTAGACTTGACCTTCACTCATGGATAGGAACTGGTAGACCTCCTTCTATGAGAATCTCCCAGGATCAGGTGACAAATATCTTAATAAACTTTTAACAATCCTGTGATTGCTTTTGCAATTTTTCTCTTGATTGAGATTATGATTTTGAACACAAGAGAAAAGATATTAAGTAATATCAAACTGGTTTTAAAAAATCCAGACAAAGAAAAAAAGATTGAATTGTAACATATGAATCATTCAGTGCTATTGCTTCTGCTCTTCAACAAGTACAGGGACCCTCTTGTTTTTGTTTAAACATTTTAAGTAAGCTCTTTTCAGTTGAAAAAAGAGTAGAACAGTATAAAGCTCAGGTGTCAAGGGCAACCAACTTTTGTCTTTGGGTGACTAATAGAATTTTGCTAATATGAAAGCTTTTAAGAGCTTGGCACTCCCAATATCTGAGACCATAGTCTTGACACATTCTGAGGTTGCTACATTTGACAACAGAGGCAAATTACAGATTCATTTTCAGAGAAATGACCTTCAACAGAAAAATTTCATGTCAAGCTAACTTTATAAATGGACCAAAGTTTTCAAGTTCATATACAATTATATCATTCCTTTACTTGCCTTTGTATTAGTATTTTAGATGTTAGTAAAAGTGTGTTAAATTTTTTTTTTTTAAGAATTCATAGTGTATAAGACTTAATGGTCTTTGTTGTTGTCTTGGTTTCTTCTAGATGACCAGAGAATTGGACAAGCTATTCGAAAAGCTTGGGAAGGAGGGCAAGCTGGAATCTGTGGAACCTGCTGAGGTATAATAATAGGCCTTACAGTGTTTATAATACAGTAAAAACCTGTATAAAAGAACACAAGTTTTAGACTGGGGTTCAGGGGGTTCAGGCTGATTTTGTTCTTATATATATTATTAGGTTTTTTTCTGCAAAATTAGCCTGAAAATGTTCTTAAGGTGTTCTTAAAAATTGCTTCTTAAAATTAATTACTGCACAGACTACCAACAGATGAAATCAATGTGCAAACGTAACATTTTAATTAATTAATGGATGGAACTAACCTTAACTGCATTAATCAAGGCAATGTAATACATTGAAGGAGGGCTAACAGATCTGATGTTAACCAACTCGAAACTCAGCAATATTCAGGCAAATTCAAAATGCACCAGCTCCCCTTCCCTCTTTCCAGTACTTTACCTTTAAAGTACTGTACCCTTGTACTGTACACTAGTTGATTATCCTAATCTAACTGGCAGCCAATTTTCTTCTACAAGAACAATTTTCATTTTTCAGGTTGAATGTGTTCTTAAGTATATGTTACTTTTTAGACCAAATTTCATCCTGAGTGTTCTTAATCCACTTGTTCTCTTATGTGGGCTTTTACTGTATTACCAGTATTTTGAATTGATTTTTAATTTGTGTAATGGTAAATTGAAGCTTTAGTACCAAATTTAACTTTGTTCTTCTGCCTTATTTGCTAGCACTGCAAATTATTTGATGTACATGTGTACTTAATATTACAATGAACAGAGAATGGTTTTTCCTTCAAAGCTAAACTGGGGAAATTTTTTAGGCCATAAAATCTGTGTTATTCCCGCATCAGAAGCAAGCTCTGGCTTGGATGATTGCTCGAGAGAATTGCAAAGATCTTCTGCCCTTCTGGAAAGAAAGAACTGTTGGGGGCAGGAAAGAATATTTCAATACAGCCACTAACTATGCAACAGGAACACGGCCCAAATGTGTGCTTGGAGGGATTCTAGCTGATGATATGGGACTTGGGAAGACTCTGGAAGTCATTTCACTTATTGTCACAAATTTTTATGATGGAAAACCACTGGTTACTTTGGCAAATAGGAAACCCACTGTGACAAATGCATCCAAGGTGATTATGCGAATATGTCATAATATTAAGAAAATTCAGAGTTTTAGGTTATTGCAACTTTCCTTAGTTGCTACACCTGTGAACTCACTTGAAAAGTGCATTGAAAAGTGCATTGAAAAGTTTCAAACTAAACCTATCAATAGTTTATCACCTAGCAATTTTAACACCTAAGCAATCTTTTCTGGACTTGTACTGAGTTAGTGATAATGAGTTAATTTGTGACTGGCTGCTCGAGGCAAACAGATAGAGGCAATTGGAACTTTGGAAGAGGTGAAGAAAAACTAGATGGCCCCAAATTCAGAAATTCTGCTTCCCCTCCATTGCGACAGGAAGTCTAAAACATGGGCTATTTATATGTGTACCATCTTTTGACAGCAAAGGATACAATTAAAAAAAGGAACAAGGCAAAGGGTAAAGGGAAAGAGGAGGAATGAAGAAGAATTTCTGAAAGATGAGTATGATGAGGAAATTGTTGAGGTCATGGATAAGGATAACGGTGAAATTGCTGAAGAAGATGATAAGGATGATGATGAAGAATACTTAGTTGATGTGCCATTTAACATGGCCAGTAAAGAAGATCCGAACTTCAGTCCTGGTATAGATTCTTTGAAGAAGGCTTGTAGCTCTCAACCAATCAGGAGATCATCAAGGTGAGTACTTTCTTCATATCAACCCCTCCACTCACAAGATCTCAATAGTGATTCTCTCCACTGGCTATAAAATTCTTATGACATTAGTTCAAATAATTTAGTATAGGATCAGCTAATAATCCTCTAGGTGATATTTTCCTTCATTCTCATTACTTGTCCTGCTTGATATTGCATTGATATTGTAAAGAGAATTTCTGTCCTGGTCACTCATAAAAGTTAAACAATTAATCCTTTCACTCCCAAGATCAATCAGAAGTAATACTCCTTACTGTCTGCTATACAATTCTTATGATGTTAGTTTGGAGAATTTGATATTGGATCAGCTAATAACCCCTAATTTATACTTTCCTCTATTCTCATCACTTGTGTGCTTGATATTGTATGAATGATGAAAGGAGAAATTCTGTCTTGGTCACTCATAGAAACAGTTAACCCTTTAACTCCTAAGATTTCATTTAGTAACTCTTTTTACTGTCTGCTTTACAATTCAGGTGATGCTAGTTTGGAGAATTTGGAATTTGATTAACCAATAATCCCCCAATTAATATTTTTTCTTTATTCTCATTATTTGTCTGCTTGATGTCATACTGATAGTGTAAGGTGAAATTCTGCCTAGATCACTAGTGGGACTTAAAGGGTTAATGGATTTTAGTGGCTCCTTCCTATACCTTTCACTACATTGCATAGTAATTTATTATTGTGATAATTTATTAACACGGATGTGGATTGTTGCCGATGGTGTACAGGGTAGTGAGGAATCTGGAAAGATCAGCAGTATTTTAAAATCAGTTTACTGTGAGGATGTTCATTAACTTTAGCTGTAATGTTCTTATTTCCAGCCACTTTGTGAAGATCAATTTGTCATTTGTTATTGCCAAATTTATGTTAAATAAGTAATTTTATTAATATCAAGAACCAACAAGAGACCAGTGCGGTATGTTGAAGCTGAAGTGTCCAGTGAGGAAGAGGACAGTGATGCTTTGCAGGTTGCCCAAGATACAAGCAGTGACATAGACAAGGCTGCACCAATTCCCTCTTCAGGAAAGAAACCAAGAAAAGTTTTAAATGAAGATGAAAAGATGGAATACACTCATACCAAAGAAGATCAAACAATACCAAAAAGCAGCAGGAAAAAAACAGCCGGGAAAGATGCCAAGAAAAAGGTGAAGAGTAACAAGAAAGCAGGGAAAAAAGGTGAATGAGTCAGCAGGAAGGTTAATATTTTATGAAAATGAAATATAAATAATTACAGATAAGATTACAAATGAAAGTGAAATGGAGGTTAAACTATATCACAGGTATTTGAAATGACTTAAAGGAATTGGCTTTTAAAGGTTAATGTACTGTTACTCCTTCATAGAGACTTAAGGCCTGCCAATATTACAAGAGCATATCAGAGAAGGTCAAAGTCTGTTGGAATTTATTTACAATGCAAATTGTTACTGACATCATTTCCTAAACTGACTGGTGTCACTGACAAAATGAATGTATATTCATTTGTCTAATAACCAAGATGACTTGACACACCAACCTCAGAGCCAGACATCATGCATAGACATGCAGTTCCTGTCGGCACTGAAAGAAAATACTGTTCAATGTCAAGATGAGCTACCATGTTATATTTGTGCTTCTGAAATATTTACACTTATTTAGTTCAAAATATGCCAAGAACGGTGACTGATGTGGACCAAACTATTGCTACAATCAACAATCCTCCCCTACCATCTCTTCCACAAGATTTGGCATCAACCTCTAAAGAGAAACCAACAGGTTTGTTTTTAAAGATGTCTACTCTCATTATGAGCTTACAGGATAATGTATTGATATTGTGGGGAGAGGTACCAACAATACTTGTTGATAACTCTAACAGATGGTTGCACTTTTGTCAGCTTTAAGTACATGTAGCAGTGTTGTGCAGCAGTTTCCAGCAGTGTCACCTGATCCTGCTGTGGCAGGGTCGACAAAGTTGAGCAGACAAGAGACTGCAAAGATGGGACCAAGACCAACTTTGGTTATCTGCCCATTGTCTGTGCTAAGCAACTGGCAGGTATTCATACTTTCTGTGCCTTTGCCGCTAAGGGATAATTATGATATGCAGTGAAGCCTTTCATTATCTCAAACCACTGCAATGTAAAATAAGCTGTGATACCTAGACAAAGATGTGGCAGCTTCCCCACTTGGAATCAAAAGCTAGACTAAAATTATTTGAAACGACAGGATTGCATATTATTACTTTGGGCTTATGTTTTTCGAGAGATAATTAACCACAAAAAAAATTTCAATGTTTTCTGAATCAAAATTGGGAACCTCCCCCTTCATGAAAATCTCTGGATCCGCCTCTGTTGCTAAACGTATACTAAAGATGAAGCTTAACAATTGGTGCATTGTTCTATCTTCAGTATCAGTTTGACAATCATGTCCATGTGGGACTGTTGAATGTGTATACTTACTATGGCTCTGAGCGCACAAAGGATCAAAACTTGCTAGCTGAACAAGATGTTGTTCTAACTACCTACCAGACGTTATCTTCTGAATTCTCCAAGGTAACATATTCTTTTCAGTAGCTGCACAATTAGTGCAGTGGGATAAGAGCTTGTGCTCTCATCATCTTCCAGTTACATTTTCAGTTGTGATCCTACCCAGCCTTGTTTGTAAAAACTCACGTATTTTCACTTCATTTCACAGAAAACGTCTGCGCTTATTGACACACTATGGCTCAGAGTTGTTCTCGACGAAGGGCATGTGATCAGGAACCCCAATGCCTTGATGTCAAAAGCAGTCCTTGCCCTGAAGAGTGAACGCCGATGGGTTATAACAGGGACGCCAATCCAGAACTCTGTGAAGGACATGTTCTCAATTATAAGCTTTCTAAAGCTGGAGCCATTCACAGACAGACAGTGGTGGAGACGAACAATGGAGAGACCGATCAGTGAAGGTGATCAGAGTGCGTTGAGGTATTGAAAAAACGCGGAACGTTTTATTGCGACTATTCAATGTTTTTTTGGATGCGAGTTATGTCGAAAATAGGGCGGTGGCTTACTGATGTAGTTCCCGAAAAATGACGTGGTACAGCAAATATCGATCATCAGGCTACTGTTTTGCGAGAGCGCAATCGGATGAAAACAACCGTTTCTCGAGTAAAAGTTGAAAAGAAAACGGAAGCCAAATAGATCAAATCAAACCACGCAAATTTTATTTTGGTTTCTGGGAAGTTTACTTGTATACCTCAATTTCCTGTTCTCGGGGTAGTTTTCTTGACGGGTGTTCAAACATTTGGCATTTGGGCACGTGTGGTTCGGATCTTACGTCGAAGAACCTACACTAAAGCAATCGCGAAAGATCAGTTAGAAACATCGTTCACGTGCTCACTAAAAGACCAGGGTATGGAACTCACGATGATGTGGTGTTGCCTTGTTTCCTAAATCTTGGGCATCTGCAAAAATTTTCTACCCTTTGTAAACTGCTTCTTGAAGTCTAATCAAAGACCTCTGCACAGTGTCTTAGAGCGCATCAGAACATCGGGAAATGCACAATCGAAAATCCATATTTTCAAACTTTTTTGTTTTTTGTTGAAAGCCGGTTGCAGTCACTAATGGGAAGTATTGCACTGAGGCGCACTAAGACACAACAAGTGAATGGAAAACCGCTGGTGGAACTACCAGACAGACAAGTGTTTGTGCAGCCTGTGGAGTTATCACTTGAGGAGAGAAAGCTGTACGATTCCATGGCTAGAGAGGGAAAACTTGTTATTGGCAAGTAAGTGGCTTAAAAATTGTAGACTTTTCGTGGATTACTGTTCATTTGTGAACGTGAATGAACTGTGTACCAGCGCCCTACCATAAGGAGACTGGGTTAAGGTTCGTAATGATTGCGAAGGTTTGTGAGCGAATTAAGAAGAACTGTTAAACTTCCATCTCCTATAGTTATCCAGCAGCGCCATTATAATTTTGTCCCACTGGTGCTCGCAGTTGGAGTTTGAACACAGAACTGATTTCAACCGAAGTCTTTACTATTATTATGTTTTTCTAGATATTTCAGGACTGGAAATGTACTTCAGAATTATGCTGATGTGTTGGCGATTCTTATGCGGCTCAGACAGCTTTGTTGTCACCCTAAGCTTTGCGCTACAGCGCCTGCGCTGACCTCAAAAGAAGGTAAGCACCGTGATTCTCAAGTGTCCTAGAACTTGTATCATGAACTTGAACCTCCGTTTATATTACTGGCAGCATGTAGATTCTGTGAAACATAATCGGTACTTGAGTAGTTATGTGCGTTACTAAGAAGCGCATGAACCATCATTGTTTTCAATGTTTACAGAAGGTCGAGGATTAAGTCTGCATACAACACTGACTCCGGTTTCCTCAAGATTAACAACTTAATCCTGAAGAGTGATTGGGATCTAATTTCTCCTTATAGTATCGCTGCTGCGTCAAACATTATGGTCATGGGAATAAGGAAGATGATCGCAAACTTAAGAAGTTCATGATTGTCAAACAAATTCTCCTTGTCGGTGCCTTAGAAAATGTCTAAAGAGCAGTCTGAAGAATAAACATATTGAGTAAGGGTGAAAGGGTTAAGCGACCAGGAGTGTTGCTACTCCTCGTGGATGAGATGCTAGTTTATTGCGGGATAACCCCCTTTACCCGCCCCCCCCCCCCAGCATTCCGCTTGTTTCCGCTAGTTTCCCTCTGGTGCCCCTTCATAACCCCCGGCAGAGTTATGCACTGCTATAGTTGCGTCTTTTCCAATCACTCTGACCTACTTGTTGCATCCTCAAGGCTGCTCCACACCGGAGGAACTCCGCCAGAAGCTGGTATCCACCCTTGTCACTCTCCTGAGCTCAGGGGCTGATGAGGAGTGTCCCGTGTGTCTGGACTCACTCTCAACCCCAGTGATAACCCACTGTGCCCATGTCTTTTGCCGGCGATGCATAGAAGATGTGATCAAGACGACAGCCGTGAACCCTCGTTGTCCTCTTTGCCGCGGTAACATTAGCCAGGATGTGTTGGTAGAAGTCCCACCCGAGACAGAGGATGCAGATGAAATTGACGGGTCTGAAGAGTGGCACTCCAGTTCAAAGGTTTCATAACGCCTTTGTCATTTGCCAAGCTTATTCGCACAAGATGACGGAAGAAGGGCCATGATATATACGTTTTTCATTTTTCTCGTTTTCACGGGCCTTACCTTTGTCTCTGTTCATAAACTCGACTCTGACAATAATTCGGCCATCTTCATAGAGCAAGTTTATCAGTAAAGGATTTATTATGTGGCCAAAAGATCACACTTAAGTATTTGCTATTTTACTTTTTGCTTTTAACCATTGTTTGGACTCCCCTAAAGACCCAAGTTTTTAGTGTTTTGTGACTCCATTGCTGTATAAACAGCCGGAAAACTTCTCTCTCCTCCAAGAGGGCAAATCGTACAACAGAATTTGATTCATCTTACCCACTCTCGCAGTTTTCTACATGGTATGTGTTTGTTTCATTCAGATTGACACACTGATGTCTCTCCTGACAAAGCTCAGAAAAGAAGATCCCTCAGTGAAAAGTCTGGTCATCTCTCAGTTCACGTCCCTGCTAAACATCGTCGAGACGCCACTGAAAGCAGAAGGGTTTAACTTTGTTCGATTGGATGGCAAGATGTCGCAGAAGAAAAGATCTGAAGTGATAGAATTATTTGATGACCGAGGTCCTGACTCACCTACAGTGATGCTGCTGTCGCTGAAGGCTGGAGGTGTTGGACTGAACCTGACGGCAGCTTCCAGAGTTTTCCTTCTTGACCCTGTATGTTGACCCTTTAAACTCAGTATTTGATCAGTAATTCTCCTTCTCACTGCTGTGAAGTTCTTACTAGTAATGATAGTAATGACAATAATCATAACAATAATCGTAATAATAATAATAATCATAATAGTAATCACAATAGTCATCATCATCATTATCATCATCATTTATATAGCACTTTTTCCTTAAAAGTCCAAAAGCGCTTTACACAGTGTGCGTAGTAAAATAAAATTATAAAGCTTAAGACAAAATTTATAAGCACATCAGTAGCATAAAATTAAATGTAAAATATTGAAATACAATTAGTAGCTATAAAAAATTGTCATACGCCTGTCGAAAAAGATGCGTTTTTCAACTGTTTTTGATAAATTAGTGTAGGGAAGTTGGTGTTGTATCAAGGTAACACTACCCAGCTGATATGCGTGTCTGGTTACATTGGCTGTTTGGTGGATAAATTTTACACTAGTTTTCCGGTGTTCTATTGCATTTTTTTTTCCACCTGAGAATTTGTGTTTTCTCTATGCCGTGCATGACATTGAAGGAACAAAACGTTTTATTGAGATACAAACGAATGTCAGTGTCGATAATTCTACTTCTATCCCTGGCACTCCCTACCTACTTGAATACCTGGCTAAGTTGAATTCTTATCAATGTTCAGGCTTGGAATCCTGCAGCTGAGGATCAGTGTTTCGACAGATGCCACAGATTAGGACAGACCGAGGATGTTATAGTAACTAAGGTAAATGAAGAGGCTACTTTGTCGGTTAGTTATTCAGTTTGTCTTTCAGGGCAGTAAGAGAGTCTGGCTGTCTATCAGTATGAACAAAAATCTAAGACGTTACTCTGATTTAGAAATCTACCACTTGCGAGATTATCTCCTGAAGATAGGAATAGCCGAAAAAGCAGTCTTTTTTTTTTTGTTAACCCAAGCTGGAGAATGGTGAACCAAGCGAGGACATGGAGTAAAAGCGAGCTAAATAAGCGTTGAGATGGTCGGAGACTGCCTTATCCATAGTCCGAGGCAATCATCTAAGAATTGTTAGTCCTTAGAAAAGTAAGGGGGGGAAGGGGGTTAACAGAGTTATGGGAAGGAGAGAAAAGGCCGTATTAAATACTTTTCCTTCCACCTTCTTCCACTCGCACTCTGCGCTTTGCCGTGAGCATCTCAAATTTGTCAGCATGCTCTCTCTGCAAACTTATCTCCTCCTCCTCGCCGTTGTAAAGTGTTTACCCCATTTAGCTCGGAAAACCTCTGGAGGGGGCGGATTGAAGGAACCGCTCTTATCATTTGCTGGATTTTCTTCTATTCTTCCGAGCAACTTCCGGTTGGCTAGAAAGACACAAAAAAGACTGCCACACAGGCTCGTGATTAAGTAGTTTCCATAATATTGTCCATGTTGTGACAAATGTAAATCCCTCTTAATAACAAACATCTAACGCACTCTCTTGTTTATGTTATGTCTTCAAGTTCGTTGTGAAAGACTCTGTGGAAGAACGTATGCTTGAACTTCAGAAGAAAAAGAGGGAATTGATGGCAGGAGCGTTTAATACCAAATCAACTGCAGAAGATAGACGACAACAGAGAATTCGAGACGTTAGAACACTCATGGACTTTTAGACTTGACCTGTTCTTTTTAGATATTCATATCTCTCGTCTTCATTACGGCCTTACCATTACTGGTTTACACCTTTGATAAGATGAAAAATCACATGGATGGGATGAGATATAAAAACATTTTCTCTCGTATGGCACTACGCCTTAGTTATTTTGTTTTGTTGTTTAACGTCTAAGTATTCTGTAGCTTGAACCCTACCCAGGTTTGAACCGAACAGATGAGTCGCCTCGAGTGGATTTGAGAAGAATCGTGTTTGTGTTTGACCGAGCAGTACACTTTAACATATTTATTTTACTACAGCTTTTCCTGAAACAAATTTTCAAGGGTGAATTAGGTTCAAATTGTCAGGGACGGACCTACGTATTTTTTGACTGGGGTTGAAATTTTGATCTCGAAGTTACTTTTGAAACTTTGTTTCGTGAATGGATTGGCTTGTAGCCTTGCTTAAGGAAAATCTGGTTTTAAATCTTCCGCTCGTTCTTGTTACATTTTAAAGGGTATGAGAAATAATATTTTGCTTCCGAGTGCCTTTTTCTGTCGGTTAGTTAATCTGACCAAAGTTTCAGTTGATTTAAAAAAATATACGTATTTTGATCGTTGTTAAAAAGTTTTGTGATCGACTAGAGATGTAAAGAAATTTTTTCTATCTTATAGAATATGATATTTGCAAAAGTGTCCAGCATCGACTTGATATGCTCTTTATTTCACCGAATTCATAGTGGTCACATCAGACTTAGTATAAAAATTTATGAAATAAGAAATGTTATTGATACAGTATTAAAATAAAACAGTTGTATTTTTGGAATTCGTGTCAAGTTTAGATTAACGTCTAATTATGAGCAATGATTGCAAATGAGGGTGAATGGTGTCTGGTTGCGGCGAGTGGAGCTGAATGATCAGTAATGACAGGAAATGATGGGTTTCCAGTGATGTTCGTGACAGTTCACGTGGAGGTCTGGGAAGAAGTAGTCTAGCGGGATAAGCACGTCATGTAAGCGGTCAGGAACTTGGTGGGCTGTTTCGTTCATGGCTGACTCGGATGACGAGCGAAGAAAGGTAAACTAGGGAGATGTTTGCGGCTTTTACCATTATGTAGTTATGCTTTACAGTATAAAACTTACTTCTTGTTATTTTTATGTTAAATTAAGAAATTTTGGTCGAGTTATGGCTCCTATAAATGTGGAGATCTTTCAAATAATGCCAAACGTACAGCTTAGTCGCTATCAGATTACGTTGTCCTTGGATACGAACAAATCCCAATTAAATTTTATCCGAATAGTTTTATTTTGGACACTGGTTTTGTAATCTTTATATTTCCTCGAAGTGAGATGAAATTTTTGCATCTTCCTGTAAGATGACGAGGAAAACTTTTGGCCCTTGTCAGTTAGATTTTATCTCAAACTAATCACATTTAAAGCGCATCTTTGAGTTATAAATAACCGTATTCGGCACAGTTAATTCTGGATTTCTTTGATGTTTGTGTCGCAAGCTCTGATAAAAACACAAATAGGGGAATCATGGGTTACCCAAAATGAAATGTAGACACCATATTTACCATTACGTTTTGCACATGACTATGCAGTCTTTTGAAGAAAGTAAATGATTTGCAGCTTGTCGTGAATCAACCGTATGATGAAGCTCTTGAAGTAAACGACGACGAAGAAGTAGCCAGTACATTTACTCCAAGTCCTAGACCCGCAGGGGGTAAATCTGGTGGATATAATCCAGGTGAGAAAAATCATAACATTTAAAAAGCTATTTGTTATAAATTGCCTGTCAAAGAGAGATTTGCAAGCAGAGCACACAGAGCATAGCATCAACAAGAATTTGGTTATCCTGAAGCTGAGAAATTTGGTTGACACAAGTTATGATTTTAAAAAAAATGCTGATGATCAAAAATCATTTGACAAGATCAAAGGTTTTACAGTCAGCCATTTTAAGACATCTTCCTTTCCAGTGGAGAATAATCCTCAGTGATGTGAATAAAATTTTGAATGCACTTCACAGTACAAGCCTTATCCAGCAGGACTCTAGTTGTTACTATTCCTTGCTCTGCACAAAAAAGTTTAATATTTTACTTTGAAATCTATGTATTAAAGCCAAAAGTAGGTTTATCTTATAAAAATATTAACTTTGTTTACAGGAATTGGATCCATCTCAATGACTGACCAGAGTGATGATGAGTTTGACCATGATGACCTAGTTGAAAGGAAGGTTGGTATAGAGAGATGTCAAGTGATAGCCCTCGCATTAAGACAATTTAAGATTGGTTGTTTAGTAGTGTTGATAAAATTAAGTGTATTATTGATTTATACAATTAATCAATGATGCATATTTCTTAGTTTGCAATGAAATATACATTTAATAGTTGATCAAGATGCCTTTCTTTCCAGGAGCCTCCAGCAGGAGGATATTCCCGGCCACAAGAGGCTTTACAGGGGGTTAAGGAGAGACCTGGGAGACCAACTGGCCAGGAAATACCTACTCAACAAAATGAAGATGATGATGATGATGAAGGTGATGACCAGAGTGATAGCTCTGAGGAGGATGATGATGAGGAAGATGCACATGGAACTGCACTGGAGGGGTATGACAATATATTTTACAAAAATCAAGATGATGAATTTTATTAGCAGCGTAAAAGCTGTTTTCAGAAAGGAATGTACTCTCCAGGTGTACTTTTTTTTTAGAGTTTTAAGCCAGTTTCCTTCTTCTCTCAAAAAGAGTAGGTGTGAACTCTTGACACTGGTATGTAAGATCTTCTAAAAATCAGATCAGTTATAACCCAATTAAAATCTAATCAAAGAGTTATCAGCCATATTACTACTGATAATTCTTGGTGTGATGGCTTTTTTTTTTATCCTTTCAGGGCCTATGACCCAGCTGATTATGAACATCTACCTGTGAGTCAGGAAATCAAGGAACTTTTTCACTATATCACTCGGTATGTTCTGGTGAAGGATACCATGCCAGGCTTTTGTCTTCAGTTGTTTGAACATGATGGTCTATCATATTTTAGTGTCTCAGTTGGTAAAGAAGAACTGAATTAATCTTTTTAGCACTGGAGATATCATCATTATTAATAAATAATGATTATAATTATGCTAAAAACATTCTAAAAATTATTGCAATTAAAGTATTACATGGCTCCTTTGTGACTGTGTTTCAAATTCCTTTTGTTTACATAGGTATACTCCACAATCAATTGATTTGGAACATAAATTGAAGCCATTCAATCCTGATTTTATTCCTGCTGTTGGAGACATTGATGCATTCCTGAAGGTTAGAAAACCAGGATTGAGATCACTGCTATATGATATTGTCGCTAGTTCAAAGAGTCATTATGGAAAAGTGTAGGATAACACTCTGCTTGTTTGAACTCAAATGTAAAATTCAGAATTGTATCCTTATATTCAGTAAAAAATCTTGATTGCAATTTGTTTTTTAAAAGGAATTATTGAAAGAAGAATGTTATATAAACTAAGGTAACAGAGTTTTTCCATGGAGGTAACCTATCCAAAAAAGGAAGAACCAATACCTGATGAAAATGTAAGTTCTCTGTGCTCTGTGAGTAACTTATTTAATGCTCTTTACACAAATTGTGCAGGTTACACGACCAGATGGTAAACCAGAGACTTTAGGATTGGTGGTTCTTGATGAACCAATGGCTAATCAATCTGACCCAACAGGTATAATAAACTAGTGATTATCCTAATAGTGATAGCTAGTTAATGATAATTAATAATGGTAACCTTTGATGATTCTCAACACTGCAATGTCAGCTTGTAATTGTCAGCTCTTTCAATTTCAGTGCTGGATCTTCAATTAAGAACTATTTCCAAACAAACCAATCTAAAAGCCATGGTAAGTAAAATGTATTTGGCACTGCTGGGTCCATTCTTGATTTGACAGTATTTTGCAATATTTTAGATTTAAATGTGCTGTATTACATTATTTTGGTTATAACAGTTAAGGACATTGCTTGTCTTTTGATAAACCTTTTAACTCCCACTAGTGACTAAGACATAGCTTCTCCTTACAATATCAACTCAATATAAAGTAGACTAGTGATAAAGATGAAGAAAAATGGTAAGTTAGGGGATTATTAGTTGATCTAATACCAAATTAACCTATTCTAAAATATGGCAGACACTAGTGAGAATTACTAAATTAATTAAGATCAGGGAGTGAAAGGGTGAATGTAACACAATCATTTTGAATTTGATACCCTCTCATTTTACCACTTTTCATTATCACTTTACTCTTTGTAAGAGAAAAGTAATTAAGAGAGAAGCTGTCAAGATCATGATACTTTGACTTCTTTTTTTGCAAAATGCATGATTAGCTCTAACCTAGTGGATGGTACAGAATTTTTGTTTGATGTAAGAACATGTGAAAGGCAGGAATAAGCAAGGATGGAGAAGATAAAATGGATTGCAAATGATGAACAAATTCGAAAAATTTATCCTAATTATTTGAGATACAGAAACTATGGTGTAAATGATGTTGTTTTAAATTGAGGAAGTAGTCATAACATTTCAGCTCTCCAAAGGCTTGAATCCCAAGAGTCCGTTACTACATTATATTACAATTATTTCATTCCTTGTTTGTCCAGACTGTACGCAGCATTGAAGATCCAGAAAAGAATCCTAAAGCTGTTGATAACTGGATTGATAGTATCAGGTAAGAATGCCTGTTTATCTCTTTGAATCCTTTCCATGCACATCTGCTGCTATATGATTTTTGGACTGTGCTTCTGTTGTTTGTAGTTTGTTTGTGTGGTAGTGTTCTGTGACTCCTTGCAGCCTCTCATTCAAGAAATATGTAGTGCTTCAATCTTCACAATTTTGGGTGTTGTAAATGTCCTTATGCTGTTTTTAGATGTATGCTAGTTACTGTAAACATTTAAAGAGGATGATGTTGATTCAAGGTGATGATTTTAACAATTTTGGATGTTTCTTTGACAGGGAATTGCATCGTCAAAAACCAGCTCCAACGGTTCATTACCAAAGGTAAGGTGGTAAACTGGTTGTGAGGGAGCACTGCAGTGTAATCCATTTTCAATGATTGTAATTGACTTTTATCTGAAGTTATTTGACAGAGGTATTTGGTTTTAGAAAGGCAAGCTGGTCAGTATAGGGATAACTTTCAGTGGTCATTTAAAATATTCTGTTTTCATGAACTTAGGAATATGCCTGATATTGAATCTCTTATGCAAGAGTGGCCACCAGAATTTGAAGACCTTCTGAACCAGGTAAACTTAAAATTTAATAGAATTTATTGAATTCATTGGTTAGGAGTCCTTAAAATTTTTGTAATATGTGTAATATTAAGTGAGATTCAACACTTTCTGGTCATACACACAATTTTACTCAGACTGTCCTTCTGTCAACAGGTTGGTCTTCCAACAGCTGATTTGGATGTGGAATTGCATCAATATGTTGATCTTATTTGTGGTAAGTTGTTGAATTTTGTTTCCCAATGCTTGTTGTAAAGCCAGGACATAGTAGTTACTGTTATGGCTACAGAATGTGTTAAATTCCATAGCACTGCAGATTTTCTGTCTTAGCGTTCTGATTATAATTACATCTTAATTTTCTTTACTTGTGTTTCTGATAGGAATCCTTGACATACCAGTGCACAATAACAGGATTCATGCCATGCATGTACTGTTTACATTATTCTCAGAGTTCAAGAACTCACAGGTGCGTCACTAGACAGATTGTTAAACTTTACTCTTGAATGCATAATTTTGCATGAAAACAGTTCTAGTAAAACAAGAAGTCTGCTTTTGGTGAATCTCACTGTGCTGGCTCAAAAAATTGGGAAACCAGCATATAGATTTCCTAATGACCCTTTGACCCCAGCAGGTGACTATCATCTAATTTCTCTGAATCACACATTTAGGTCACAGGAATAAAGGAAATGATGATCATCAAATGAAGAAGGTCTTGATTGTTAAACAAATTCCCCTAATCAGCGCCTTAAGAAAAATATGGAGAACAATATGGAGAATATGCATACTGATGTTTGGTTGCAAGGGGTTTAGAGATAATCAAAATGAGAGCAGGGGTAAAAAGAGGATGATGCCTGCCATGATATGATAATAGTGATAAAAAAGAATGTAGATGGATGGGGTGTTTATAAATCCTTTCTTTGAACCCTTGAAAAGTCTACTCTACTTGCCAGGGGAAGACAAGTTAGTCTCCATCTCTTTGCACCTCAAATTAAATCTTCTGTGAGCAAAAAATTATTTCATTTGATGGTAATAAAACTTATCAGCAATCCTTTTCCCTTTTTGCAACCCCCCCCCATCCCCACCCCCAATCATTTTTTCATCCTCTGTTTTTTTTCTTGCACATAACAGCATTTCCATCAATTGGCCAAAGACAACCAGATGGCTAATGAGATGAAAGTGGACAATGGTGATGGCATTGGAGGAATGACTGCTGCAGCAGAACACTTGACTCTGGAAGGAGGAGATACTCAAACCTTGAGCCTTGATTACTAGAACATTATACAACATTTTGTGGAAGAAACATTGCATGCACACTCTCGTGTAAATACAAGTACAAAGCCAAGTGTTTTGTCACTCTTTGGGCTTTTTCCATAATAGAACTGAATGCATATATATCTTTGTGTCCTCAGAAGCTTGCCATGACAAGATTATTTATGACATGTAATTGGCCTCTTTTTCAAAGCTAGGCCTGGTGCTCAACCATTCCTATGAAAATGAGTTCAATTTACTTGTGAACAAAAACAAGAGAGGCCAAAGGTAATTCAGAAATGGGCTATTGTATGTACCACATCTCCTAGTTCCTAAGTATAGTCATAGGCTTCATACATGCACTCTAGACCCTCAGTCTGCAGTGCTTTGCGACTCAAGACATAAACAAACCCAAATTTTAAGCTCAATATTTCTCTGCAGTGCCTGAGTAAAAACACTTATTTTAGGTCTTATATTTTGCTTTTTTGCCTGGGTTCTTGAGAAGTAATGTGCGCCATGAATCTTGGAATATTTGCTGCCATCTTCATCATGTGGAGATGCAAAAGCTTTGTTTTATTTCTTTTTCCACTCATGGTAGTAAGGTACATGTACATTATTTAAGATTTTCAAATATGTAGGTTTAAGACACACTAATATTGCAATTTAAGCATGACTGTTTCCAAGTTTATATTTATTGCACTTTAGTTGTGCAATGTTGAAACTTTGGGTGAAAGTGACTGTGTAGGGTACTGTAAATAAAACAATCATGTACCCAATGCCTTCTCACTATTACTGGTACCTAAATGTATGTAGGATGCATGTGGTAGTTATTCCACCAGCTCTTCATCTATCTACGAATGTGGCTTATATTACTTTCTACACACTAAACCAGGTAAACTAGAAGGGGAAATATTTATTAAAGGTAGTAATTTAAATTTCCAGTGGATTCAAGCCAAATTCCAAAAGAAGCTGTTTATTTTTCTCCTGTATCTCTGATGATTCCATCTCCCATCGTGCCCTGGCATCCTCAACTTTAACAGCCATTCTATCAAAAGCATCCTGTGAAGAATGTGTTAAAAGAAATGAATAAGTACACCACATAGCATTCACTGTAAACACCATTCTTGTGTTGTTTGTACTATTGTACATAGCCATGTAGTTTGACTGTATTGTGAGATCTACAGCAAGTCCTTTACAGGAAACAAGGGGAATCAATAAAATTTTTTCACAGTGCAGCTACATACACATGTGGCTTTGTAATAGGGTAGCTCACAGAGCGGAGCCCCATAATTATACAAAATAGTAGTAACCCATCAAGCTGAAAAAATTTGGATGTATGACTGTATGACTGTATGACCATACAAGGTGCTACTTTTAACATGTGTGGTCAACTGTTCTGCGGGCACGCCAACGCCACGGCTCTATTCAGTAGTCCAGTGGTCAGTGCACTGGGCTCCGAGTTGGACGACCTGGGTTCTAGACCTGGCCAGGGCAAGGTGTTGTGCCCTTGAGACGTGCAGGAAAAAAAATGCGAGCTCTGCTTTTAGGCTTGGCTAAATCTATATATTAATGCCTTACTCAAATCTGAGAGGTTTCATTCCTGCGTAAATTTAAGTGTCTCCTCAACTCTGCTGTCTTATTTCTCTTGAAAGATATTCCTTTACTCTAATACATACATGAAGCACACTTTCATAGGCAGATTCCATGTGATCAATTTTAAACTGGAGTTCAGCAATGATTTCATCTTTTTCCCGCCTGATATCATCTCTCTCTTTCCTGGTCTTCTTCAGTTCTTCTTCTGTAGAGGCTATAAATATAAAGTATGGATTAACTAGAGCATTATCTAACAGATCACTAATTTCTGCCTCCTTGATAATTCAGACAACATGCAGTTTGGAGTTGAAATGATTAACCACAAAAAGTAAAACCTCGGCTGTGAAAATTAGATTTGCTAAATCTATCAAATCAAATATAATCTACTCAAATCAATCAAAAATCATATGGATCTAAGAGAATAATGGCATCTTATTTCAAGTTGATTCAGAGAATCTATCAAATTCAAATCTACCATGTGCCAAATGTTTTTCAGACTTGACAATTGCAGATTACTCTTAAATCAAGCAGATAGGCTCTATGGAATTTGAAATGTGCCTTATTTTAGAGTATACAAGTCTTTTTCAGTGGTTACTATTCTCTACTACAGTACCTGCAGCTTAGACTGTCTGTATGTGCTCTTTACTTAGTTAATCAAAATTCTTGAATGTGATTGGTTATCACCAGACCAATTTGAGCACTAATAAGACAGTGTATGCATCATTCTTGTAATTGAACAGCATAATAGGACAGTTAAAGGGGTACTTAACATGTCATGCCTTTGTCATGTGTGAGCTGTTGTCACATATAACCGATGTTTAGTTTCTTTCTCAAATTTTGTCATAGTTTTTATTAATAGGTAACAGGACTTTGTGTTGTCCAATTCTGCCTGTGATCATACTTGCAATTAACAAATCGAACCCCTGTTTTGTGGTTGTCTGATTTGGTTCATCACTCATGGTTACAGACTGAATTATACTCCACTCAGTCCTATTATCATTTTACCATTATTAACTGGTTGTTGTTCAATATACATCCATGTTGAAATCAATGCTCACCCAACTGCTCCCTCAGCTTATTCACAGTCTGCTCCAACATGTGAATCCTAAGAGCCATCTCAGACTGCATTGTTTTGTATTGACGAGTAAGGTCTGAAAAGTAATGTTTCCAATTTACCAGTATATTTAAATAATGTTTTGTTATGTATTAATTATCATCATAACATTATTTTAGGTTTCTTAGACCACACCATGCCTTTGTGAACTGGCCCCTTAATCCATTAACACATAAGAGTGACTATGATTTAATTTCTCCCCACAGTATTGTCACTGAATCAAACAGTAAGGTCATAAGAAGAAAGGAAATTAAAACCAACTTCAGAAGTTCTTCATTGTTACACATTTTCTCCTCGTCATTGTAATAAAAATTTATAGAGAACAGTGTAGAGAATTAGCACAATTTGATTTTAGGGAGTGAAGGCTCAACTTACACTTAAAAATATAAAAAAGGCTTTAAATGTAGCCAAGTTTTGACTTTCAAATATTTAGGGTTAAGCAACAGAAGTTGGCCAAAGGCTCTGAGAAATAAGTAGAGAGTTAGTGGCAGTTAACTCTCAAAGCTTATGTCTGCCACTTGCTGGGTTGTTAGGTCACCTATTTGCTTTAGTTTAGTGACTAACTTCGCTCTGAAGCTTGAACACAAGCATTGTGATATAATGATTGTCAATTCTGAGCTCAATTTACCTGAAGAAATGTCCAGTTTATTTTGCTGCTCAGTTTCAACTTCCTCCTTTGCTTCTCTCATTCTTTCTTTCATACGATCTGCAGTGTCCTTGGACCTTCGTGCAATTTCAGATCTTGCAGCTGTATTATAATAATGATGACAAATTTTTTTTCTCACATAGCACTATTTCTGATATGATGGTTAAATAGTGCTCCTCTAATTAATTAATATCTAAAGGCATCCTCAACAAAATATAAAGTGTTCACTAATATTCATAAGAATATTATTAAGAGCTGCTTAACAGCTTAAATTTAACTCCCAAGTTACCTGAAAATCGAATCTACCACACACCTAGCTAAAGAAAAATTTTAACAAGTATAGATAGTACTGCGTATTCTTTCTGAGATCTAATGAACAAAATGAACTATTATTTCAGTAATTCTTCAATCCTCACACGCTACAGTGTATGCAGTATTAGACTGTCACTTACTATTTACAATAACTAAATTATTTCAATTGTGGCTTTTGTGGTCGTTACAATTTTTGAGAATTATATTACTAGGTATATATTCTACGAATATTTTAACACCCAGCTATACATTAATGACAAGTATTCATATATGGATCTATGTACCACTTTATTTTTTCCTTCTTACCAAGTTCATCCTTAAGACACTCAATCTCTTCCATGGTTCTCTTGTACTTATCCTCAATCGTCAGTTCGGTCTTCTCTGTGGAGGAAGAAGAATGGAAGACAAATGGTTTTCGAACCTGCTAAATGGAGACCAAGGATTTCCTTGAAAATAGCTTTTATCATCATACCATCCTTCTTCTTTTTTTTCTTTCCCTTGCCCTTTTTCTTTTTCGGTGGCATTTTGAAACGCAGATCGGAAATATGTGGAAACTATTTTACAGAATACTTTACTGTCAATATATGGTTGTTAGGATGCCATGTTTGTTTTCGCACGATCTCATTGCAGCGGTTTTTTTATTGATCATGCGCTTTTGACTTTCTTTTCGTCCGCAATATCCAAAATGGCGTCCCTTAGAGTTTTAGTCGGCTGTAAACGTGTCATAGATTACGCCGTAAAGGTTTGTAAAATTTACTTGAAACTGCAATAAAGTATTAAAAGTAAAATTTTTCAGTCTAAAATTTTCTTTATCTCCTGTAGATACGGGTAAAACCCGATAAAACCGGCGTAGTAACTGATGGGGTCAAACACAGTATGAACCCTTTCGATGAGATCGCAGTTGAAGAGGTGAGAAACCTTTTTATAAATATATATTATCATTTAATATTTTATTCCCTCCCACTATCGGCATTTCGAGATGCAATTGTCGCGAATTTTCCCTCAATTTTCTGAAGATGTTTGGATATTTTTTTCTTAGGCGAAGAATATAATTATTTGTAATGACCTTTACTCTTTACGTGGTATCTTAAAGATAACTCACTCTGTGAATCAATAATCGACATTTGTAATAATTTTTATTAATGTTAGTAAGAGGTGACAGTAAGCTTGATTAAGTTCTTTTCTCCACACCAAAAAGAAGAGATAAACAGGAAAAAAACGAAACATTCGTTCACTTTGTTTGTGGTACAAGTTGCTGTTGGCTTGTTTGCTTAAAGGATCTTGCCTTTGTTATTTGACTTGACCCTTGGTCATTTTACTCAAGATCTGATTGTTAATACTCCCCTTTAGTTGCGACACATTTCCTTGTAAATAAGTTATGAGAATTTGATGTTAGATGAAGATAACAACCTCTGCCTGATAAGTTCAAGTATACTCGTTGCCTTCTGTTGGATAATGTATAGATATTATAGGTAGAAGTTACATGTTAATCTCCTCTGGGATTTAAGGGTTAAAACCCCCCCTCATTGGAGGGAAATTCAGAATTTAAAGAGACAATTTTCTGAAGTGTATCATGAAAAAAACTATTGACAATATATTGTTTGAAAGTATTCCATAGATGATGATTACCATGATATCATGGGAAAATGAGCACTCTCTCTTATTTGTGTTGTTCAGAAGGAAAGTTAACTTTTTCCATTTTGTCAATTTTTAGGCTGTAAAACTGAAAGAGAAAGGTATAGCTTCTGAAATTGTTGCTGTGAGCTGTGGACCAGCTAAAAGTGAGGTAATAATTCAGTTATTGTGCAGAATGGTACTTTTTGAAATATATAATCTTTAAGCTGATTGCATTTTATTTTGCACATTAACTCTTAACTGTTACAAACTAACATGTGCAATTTCACTTAACTCCAAAGGAAACTCTTCGCACAGCCCTTGCCATGGGAGCTGATCGTGGTATCCATGTTTTGTTAAATGACAAAGAATATGAAGGCCTACAGCCTCTTGCAGTAGCCAAAATTTTTGCAAAGATCACAGAACAAGAGAACCCAAATCTGATCATCTTGGGAAAGCAGGTATTAGGTGCTTATTGTTTAATTTTAGGCTATTAAAAAGAAAGGACAAGCTCACTTGATGGAAAGTACAGTTGGGTCAGTTCATAGTGGAGGTGAAGTGTTTATTGCTGTTTGCTTGATATTTGATGAAGTTAGTAAGGAAATACTACACCATGAAAAAATGTTTAATTGTTTTTATACTTTTCCCAACTTTGTGCTATAGGCAATAGATGATGATTGTAATCAGACTGGACAAATGTTGTCTGCATTGCTTTCATGGCCTCAGGTAATAAATGATTTAAAACTTAACACTGGATAAATGCTACCATCCTCCAAGTCAGAATTATTTCATCATGGGTTTTAGTTGCACATTTTAAAATGTTTAGATGCTTTTGTCAGTCTTCCACTTGCATCTATTCAAGGGACCAGGTTTCGCTGACAACAGGAAGCATATTCTCAATATTTTTCTCTACACATTTTTTCATTGTCCAACAAAGAGATATTGTTTAATTATTGAGAGCATTTTTGGTTGAGGATCATTTAATTTACTCTCATTACCCTAATGTTTGATTCAGCAGTGATATTGTTAGGAGATATTATATGTTAGTCACACATAGGGTTTAAAAGTTACGTCCTCGTTGAAGGTCTGCTTATGATACTTTGATGGTCATTGCAGGCAACATTTGCTTCCAAACTAGAAATGAAAGATGACAAGTTAGCAGTGACACGTGAAATTGATGGTGGCTTAGAGATGATTGATGTGAAGATGCCATGTGTGGTCACAGCAGATTTAAGGTAGTTATTGGCTCATAAGTTCCATGATAAAACAAAAATGTCTTTGGTGATGAGTGAAAACTTGACCCTCATGACTGAACTGCAGGGAAAGTGTTATTGCAGAACTATGTAAAGTCTTAATAAGAATTTGGGGTTATAAAATCTCTCAGACACTAGTTGGACCTATTAAGCAACTAGGTGACAAAGCCACAAGTTAGGCTGTTGTCAGTGCATGTTTGTTCCCCAGAAATTTCAGGAAGGTGAGAAAACTGATCAACTTTGGAATGTTAGCGCAGATTATGGTCACTGTTGCTTATACTATTTAGGTCTGGTGGCAGTGGCCAGTGTCCACAATGCCTTTTGATATGCATGTAATTGTTACCTGCTTTACCTCTTCAGGCTGAATGAACCTCGCTATGCAACACTTCCAAATATTATGGTTTGTAATATTGCAATATTGAATATTGTGTTATTGTCTTATCTTTTTTACTTGTGGTGGGTAAAGCTAATAGTGAAAAATATGAATAGAACCAGGGCTTTGAATTTTAGTCATTTTAATAATGTAGGAGGGGGGAGCAGAGCTAACCTAGTCTCTTTAAGCCATGTTAAACTGGGTGGTATACCTAACAGAACAGTTTATCTACTAAAAAGAAACATAATTTTTGCATTTTCTCATGGGAAATTTGTTGTTATGGGGCTGTTTGACTTTGGAGCTACTTTCAATTTTAGATGTTAAAAGTTAGAGATTGCTTTGGTCTAGTGATTCTCCTCACCCTATTAACTAGTCAGATTCAAAACTGAAACCAATTACAGTTTGATTACTCGCATTCCCTTGCACTTAGGGCCATTTCTTTTTTCTTTTAATTTGAGCTCCCTGTGGCTCCTTTTTGTTATATTTCATTGCTCAGATTGGTTGTTGTGATTGCTTTGAGTTTGGTTAAAATGGAAACTCAATCGTTAATCACTCTGAGGAGTACTAAGAGAATAGAGCCAAGATAAGTGTCTTAACTGTTTCTTGTATGTTTTGTATCTCACAGAAAGCCAAAAAGAAGAAGATTGATAAGAAGTCTCCAAGTGACTTAGGTGTAGATGTCTCACCCAGAGTGGAGACACTAAAAGTTGAAGACCCACCTGTCAGGGAGGCTGGAATTAAAGTTGAGACCGTAGATGATCTTGTTGGGAAACTCAAAGATAATGGATTCTGCTGATCAAGGGACTCAACAAATCAATGCAGTAAATTTGGACAATGATGATCTTGTTCAGGATGATCTTGCTTTTTGTCCAGTCCAGTTTTTTTAAACACTCGTGTTTTGGCGGACATGGTTACAAAATTTTGGATTGGCAATAATATTTTGTTATTAAATAGCCCCTTAAGTCTCTTCTGGTCTTTTTTGGTGTCAGTTTATTGTACATTGCCTAAGAAAACATCTGCTGTTGAATCTGCTACATTGGTGATGAAAGTCAACATGATATCATGTTTAACAAGAAAGTAAAGTATTAATACCCTGCATAAATGAGTACAAGTTTTATTTTCAGAAATCTACCCTTTTTTCTGTCATCTAAGTTTGCAGAGGGTCATAATGCTGAGATGTGTTGGCCTGAACACTTGCTACCATCAGAAGGGAGCAAAGTTAACCCTTTAAGTCCCACCAGTGATCTAGACAGAATTTCTCCTTACACCACCAGTAGGATATCAGCCAGACAAGTAATGAGAATAAAGAAAAATTCAATTAGGGGATTATTGGTTGATCCAATTCCAAATTCTCTAAACTAACATCAAATGAATTGTATGGGAGTTAAAGGGTCAAGCAAAGTTAAACTGTTTATAATCTCTTGAATAAACTAATAAGAGCTCCGCTTTTAGGGTTGGTTAACTCCTTATATTATTATACATTGAGAAGCATCCTTAGTTCTGTTCTGGTCATTTGTGTCTTATACATTGCAGATGTAAACCACGTTTAAACTGAGCAGTTTGCCATCAGCTTAGGTGGCCTGTGAAGGCCAAATTGTTCGAATTAGCATTCCTCGTTTTCTCAGCTCTTTCTCTATTATTCTGCTCATGCCAACGGGAAAGAAGTATTGGACATGACTCCAACACTTTGCAAGCAAATTTACAGTTGTTACGTCATCTTTGACTAACTGGTGCGATATCCTTGCAATGTTAGTTGTGTCCCATCTGTATTCCTTTTGGAGAAAGCGCAAGAACACTTCTACTAAAGCTGCAGAGTAAACAGAAAGAAGGAAGTTGATAAATATCTTGACTGGCCTTTAAACGTTCCGTGCTATGCGAGAGCCGTTTGAGTTGGAACGTTGTTAGAGGATGTATAGAAGTGAATAAATTATGCGCGGGGATTTTCCAATTTTTGACGTTTCCAAGAAACCTGTGTTTGTGCCATGACTCGTTAGGAACCGTTCTGTGGCTCTGCAAATTTACATGTCCTCCAAATCAGTGTCTCAACCGTGGTTAAACCTCGATCCTGTCAACTTCAAATCCACCCCCCTCTCCTTAGGGGTCAAACAATAATTTGGAGAAAATTTGGTTTTCTTTTTTATATATATAGGCACGCTCATATTACCGTCGGGAGAGTCAGGTCCACTGACTGACGTGCCCTCCAGTGCCCTCATCAGGTCATCTTCTCTTTCGTTTCTCTCCCGAGACTTCATTTGCTTCACAGCTCTTTCTGCGGTAATCAGAGCATAATGCAAGATGTCGAATATCATTCGCTCTATTTCCAGGTTTCGTTCACAGTTGTTTTTTGTGTAGTTCCACGTCAAGAATGTATGACTTGGCAAGCTATTGGTAGCTTTATATGCATCCTCCAGAACCTCCTTCTTTTCCTCACTTCTCAGTTCGTCGCAGTGAGTAACTACAGTGATGGGTGCAATACCTGTTAAAGACAAAGACAATGAATTTGGAGGTCGCTTAAACACCGTTAAAAACTTCAAAGGGAATTGCAACGTTTTTTGTAGCTTACGAGTTCCGTGCTCCGATGCACTACCACTGAGGTATAGGCAATCTACGGTGGGTTAGGCTATTAGTAAGTTCATGTGTGACACCCGTCCTACATACTGCTGGCATCAGAATGTCGAAAGCTTTGTATTAATAAATGGTATACAAAAGGTGGTAAATTATGAGCTCGGTGATGCAATACCAAATTAAAGAAAGATGGTTTTCGTTTAGTCATGAGCAATTCAAGAAATTGTTACAAATGAAATCAATACCACTTTCGCGCAGGATTCTTCGAATTGGGTTCCAGTAGTCCCTGAAAGTCCCTTCGCTCAGTTTTGGGTCGTTGGCTTTCACAACAATGATAGCGCCATGCAGTCTTTGTCCAAAGTTTGGGCATCGATGCATTTCTTGTTTGCTGACTTGATCTGTTCTATCGTGAGCGATGAATTCACCAGGCTGAACTTTCCCGCTCAAAACATTTTGAAACATGATGATCTCATTAGAGTTGAAACTGTAGAAACCATGGGTGTCCACCAAGTGAAAGAATAGCTCTGGCAGGTAGTCCTGGAGTTCAATGGTTCCCTCATATCCTTTGTCATGGCATGGGACGGTACCCTTATCTGTTTGCCTCACCACTCGTTCAACTGTGTTGATGAAGGAACTCTTGCCTGAACCGGCGGAGCCAAACACACCGATCCTGAGCTGGGTTACATCATCAATTTCCAGTCCCTGGAAACTATCCAGTTTAATCTTGTCACCAAATTGGTACATTTGCAACTGATACCGAAGTCGGCAAAGTTCGGCCTCCAAATCCCGCCTTTTCCGTTCGTCCTCTTGCCTTAGCTTTTCTTCTTCCTCTATTTCCTTTTGTCGCTGTCGCCTGAGTTTCTCTCTGCAACTCTCCTCCTCCTGTTGCTTTTCTTTTTCTATACGTTCTCTCTCTTCTTTTTCGCGTTGCTCTCGTTCATTCTCCAGCCGTCTTGCCTCTGTCTCCTCTGCTCTTCGCCTTTCTTCGCTCGTGTTATCCTCATAAGTGTAGCGAGTCTCCTCGCTAGAACTATTCTGAAGGAAAAGTGTATTTTCAAATGTAATTACGCTGGCTGTTGATCAGGATGCTAGCCAAGCAACATCAAATAACTAAATTTATAAAACAATAAATGTAGGCATGAATGGAAGAGGTTTGTATCAGTATTAGGTTTATATAATACACAAAAGAAGCATAGAAACATATTGGCAATAGTTTATCACAGATGGTTTTTGAGTGCAGTGTTTTTTCTTCGGAGAACAATACCACAACTCGAACCTCTCAATTCGAAGTCCAAGGTATACTGCCTCTCCCTCAAATGACATGATAACTTAGCAACAAACGTGAATCCGTTCAAGCCCCATTCTTGAGTCTGAATGAAGTCATGTAACATAAGTTACTAGGTACCGTCCTATTGACCTTGGAAGAACTTAAAGATCATATATTGCAAAGACAGCGCCACTTTAAGAAAAACGACAGCGAATTTTACTCCGTTAGCCAAGTGACATTAGCGCGTAAATTATGGTGGTCCTAACGTGTGTAATATTGAGTGTAATAGACGTTTTGCAACTAGTTGGATAATTGTGCGGTGTGCTGCCGTGAAGATGGATTGAACGTTCTTGGGATGCCAGGTTGGGTCCTTCAGCCTTCCCGGAAATTGCCCGAAGGTACAACGCACGGATAGTTATTTGTAGCGACCAAAAAAAATCGAATTTGAGTTGCCTTTTGGTTCTAGATTTCCCAATCAGCCGTTCGACTTTACTTCAGGAAGTTGATAAGAGTTTGCTGCGATGGAATGTTAAATCATTGCATCGAAATATGAGCGGAGTATTTCCTTTCAGTTTTCGAGAAATCAACAATTGTGATGGAGTTCTAGCGCAGTCTGCTACGTACAAAAATAATAACGATGACATGTTCATAGCCTAAGTTTAAGACCTCGAACTGTGAGATTCTGTGAGATCTAGAGGAATAGGTAACCATATCTGGCGAAATAATCTGATAAGAGACGGATTCCAATGAAGGGTTCCACGTTTTAATAACACGCCGGCTTCCATCGAGAGTGTAAACATAAACCCCACACTAAAAATTTGGAATCAAAATGTCCTGAAATGAATCGACCATATCTTCATTAGTAAACACTTACCCCCATATTGGAGAAAACAATGGCTTAGTCTGCTCAAAGCGAATATCGTCCCGGCGAAGGCGCTTCGTTGATGGTGATCAGCGATTCCACGAATGAAGCTTTATCCAGCAATCACGTGATCAAATAATTGTTATACGATTTTGTTCAAAAGTCCCGTGGCAAGAGAGGAATTTTATTCTTTACCACTCTGTTTATTGACTTTCACAGAATGCAAATGTATTCCTATAAAAATTATCAATGGTATATGTCAATTTTGTGTTTGTATCTTTGTCGGCCACGTTCCGTTATGTTTTTGGCGTTTCGTGACTCACACCGATAAGAGTCAAACGCTTTCTAGGAAAATCCGGAAGTTGATTTTGCGTGGAAAAATTAGTTAAAAAGTAAAGATTTCCACAGAATGGAATGGAAGGATTTCTGGTCCAATTTTTCTTCTAATCAACGATCATCTTAAGTGCACTTTAACTGCTTGAAGTTTATGCTAAAAAGCAAGGTCTGCTTTTGTTATGGCTTAAAATGAAAAACAATTGAAGATTACCGCGGTTAGGGAGGGACCATTTCTTCTCTGGAGGGAGTGTATAAGAAATATTGAAAAAAACTGTTTGCAAGGTCTGAAAAGACAAAATGAATTGTTTGCAAACGTGATAGGGCAAAAAAAAATGTTTTGCAGAGATGTTAGATCGATAAGATATTAAAAAGATATTACCAAAACTGAAATTTAAAAAAATAATAATAAAACAACAAATTGAAGCATTAGTATAGAAATCAACACAATTTGGGCACTAAAAAATGGTCACTCTGTATTAAGCAAATAACAGATCTGAAAAAAGTTGAATATTTCTTGAAAAAATAGGAATTAATTCTGGCAATTAAATCTCAACATTACTTATCAACATTTTTTCCTACTACAAAACTTCATATATCAGGTATTTTTCTCAAAACTATATTAAACAAATAATATTCTTCAATCTTGGTTTTGTTTATCATTGCTACTTTCAAGTTATTTGGAGTGCCTATGATAACGGCAATCATTTCAAATCAGCAAAGTGCCTGCCTTCGTTCCTGGTAACACAGGCTGGGTGGTACGAGCCGGTATGATGGCCTGTGGGAACATCATTAAAGAGGATCCGGACTTCGGTAATGTGGAATGGCAAAAAAGCCCAATACTCCTATTTCCTGTCGTATGCCCTTTATTTGCGTCAGTAGCTGCCAAAAAATTTTAAAAGGTGAGTGGAGCGTTTATCAACAAAATAAGTGGCTGTAGCACTACTGATTGCGTTCTTCGTAAAATAGTTTAATAAGGCAATGGTAATATTTAGCACAAATAAAAAGAACACTGAAAAAAAAAAACATGGGAAAATTGTTTGCACGAAGATGAAGTTGGAAAAAGATGTTTGTGGAGGCGTATATGCTAAAAAAAAAAAGGTGGCAGGAGAAAATTTCTCATACCCCTCCTCAATCCAGAAAAATGATGATTCGTCCCTCAGGTAAAAGTCTTAGAGTAAACGATTTTTCATCTGTGCTAGTTGTTAATCAGTTGTATGACTGGTTATTGTAAAGTGGCGAGGGATGAGAGGGTGGGGAGTGGGAGGAAAGATCTCTAAACTGAAAGAGAGCTCAGCCAAAAAAATTTAAACTTCTCTTGGTACTTTTCCCTTTTTTGGCTTACCAGCTTTAAGATTCAGATCAAAAAAAGTACTAACAAGATTCAACAGAGTTAGCACTGTTGTCATCAGTTGCGGTGTTTGTGTATCACATTGGGTAGTGCTTTTTACAGGTCCTCCGCATCCCTCTCCCTAAACACCTTTAGAAAAAGGGTCGCATATCACTGCTAAACTACTTTCACACTTTAAAATGCCATCTTTGATTTATTGTACATATCTTGTTTGACACTTTCTAAATGGCAATTACTTTTTCATCCTTGTAAAGAGGTAGGAAAATGGTTAAAACCTGAATTATAAACTTAAGTTAGATATATAAAAGTTTCACTTTTATTAACACAAGAACGCTAAGCTGGAGTGTTACAGTTTAATTGACTCCATTTCTCTGTCTTTCTCGTATACATGGCTCTAATTTGGTCATTAAAAAGTCAATTTACATAATTCTGTTAATGATTAATTAAATCAGAATCACGCTTTCAAATATAGATCATAAAGTGATGAAAAGGTTATTTAATCCTTATACAATTGGAAAATCAGTTGGTGGTCGCCAACATTTCTTCAATTTCTTAATTTTAAAGCTTGCCTTCTTACCACTAAAGAACTCTTGGCTCCATTCCCCCCTCAACATAATTAACGATTGGTCCTTAAATTCCTTTGAATCAACTCTTTAACAGCCAGTGAGAAGTTATGATAAAGTGAAGGGCTGGAATATAAACCAAGAGATCGTAAACTGTTTATAATCTTTTGAATTAAACTAACTAGAGCTCTACTTTTAGGGTTGGTTAACTCTATATATTATTATATATTGAGAAGCATTCTTAGATCCGTTCTGCTCATTTTGTATGGCAAACTATTAAGAAGCAGGTGTTTTCTAACACACGCAGATGTAAATATACACATACGTCTAAACCGAGCAGTTTGCCATCAGCTTGGGTGGCCTGTGAAGACCGAATTGTTCAAGTTAGCATCCCTCGTTCTCTCAGCTCTTTCTCCATCATTCTGCGCATGCCACCGGGAAAGCAGTGTTGGACATGACTCCAACACTTTGCAAGCAAATTTACAGTTGTTATGTTCTCTTTGACTAACTGGCTCGATATCCTTTCAATGTAAGTTGTGCTCCATCTGTGTTCCTTCTGGAGAAAACGAAGAAACACTTCTACTGAAGCTGCAGAGTAAACAGAAAGAAGGAAGTTGAGATGTGAGAGCCGCTTGAGTTTGAACGTTGTTAGAGGATGTATAGAAGTGAATAAATTATGCGCGGGGATTTTCCAATTTTTGACGTTTCCAAGAAAGCTAAGATAACCTGTGTTTGTGTTATGACTAGTTTGGATCCGTTCTGTGAAGTCTGCAAATTTACACGTCCTCTAAATCAGTGTCACAATCGTGATTAAACCTCGATCCTATCAACTTCAAATCCATCCCCCTTTCCGTATGGGTCAAACAATAATTTGGAGAAAATTTGTTTTTCTTTTTTATATGTAGGCACGTTCAGAAATTACCAAAAACTGGTTGAAAGAACAGAGAATCAAAATCGACCCTCCGCAATTGGCGCTTTCATCATTGGGCACGGAGAAACACAATATATGCTTAAAAAGAGGGTTTTCGACGAAGTCCTGCCTTTGATGGAGGAAGGTAGGTGCTAATTAAAACTTCAAATGTCATTTTACCATCGGGAGAGTCAGGTGCCACTTGTCCACTGACTGACATGCCCCTCCGTGCCCTCATCATGTCATCTTCTCTTTTGTTTCTCTCCCGGATCTTCATTTGCTTCACAGCTCTTTCTGCGGTAATCAGAGCATAGTGCAAGATGTCGAATGTCATTCGCTCTATTTCCAGGTTTTGTTCAGAGTTGTTTTTTGTGTAGTTCCACGTCAAGAATGTATGACTTGGCCAGCTATTGGTGGCTTTATATGCATCATCCAGAGCCTTCTCCTTGTCGTTCTCACTTTTCAGTGCGTCGCAGTGAGTAATTACAGTGATGGGTGCAATACCTGTTAAAGACAAAAACAGTGAGTTTGGAGGTCGCTTAAACACCGCTAAAAACTTCAGAGGGAATTGCAACGTTTTTTGTGGCTTACGAGTTCCGTGCTCCGATGCACGTAGGCTATTATTAGGTTCATGTGTGACACCTATCCTACATACTGCTAGGATCAGAAGTGTCGAAAGCTTTGTGTTGATAAATGGTATACGAAAGGTGGTAAATTGTGAGCTCGGTGATGCAATACCAAATTAAAGAAAGATGGTTCTCGTTTAGTCATGAGCAATTCAAGAAATTGTTGCAAATGCAATCAATACCACTTTCACGCAGGATACTTCGAAATCGGTTCCAGTGTTGCCTCAAGGCCCCGCTCTTCAGTCTTGCGTCGTTGGCTTTCACAACAATGATAGCACCATGCAGTCTTTGTCCAAAGTTTGGGCATCGATACATTTCTTGTTTGTCGACTTGGCCTGTTCCAGGGCGAACGATGATATCACCAGGCTGAATTTTCCCGTTCAGAACATTTTGAAACTCGATGATTTCATCAGAGTCGTACATGAAGAAACCTCGGGTGTCCACCAAGTGAAAAAATAGCTCTGGCAGGTAGTCCTGGAGTACAATGGTCCCCTCATTTCCTCTGGACTGGTCTGGGACGGAACCCTTGTTTGTTTGTCTCACCACTCGTTCAACTGTATTGATGAAGCAACTCTTCCCTGAACCCGTGGAGCCAAACACACCGATCCTGAGCTGGGTTACATCATCAATTTCCAGTCCTAGGAAACTATCCAGTTTAATCTTGTCACCAAATTGGTAAGTTTCCAACTGATACCGAAGTCGGCAAAGTTCGGCCTCCAATTCCAATCTTTTCTGTTCGTCCTCTTTCCTTAGCTTTTCTTCTTCCTCTATTTCCTTTTGTCGCTGTCGCCTGAGTCTCTCTCTGTGCCTCTGTTCCTCCTGTTGCTTTTCTTTTTCTATACGTTCTCTCTCTTCTTTTTCGCGTTGCTTTCGTTCATTCTCCAGCCGTCTTGCCTCTCTCTCCATTGCTCTTCGCCTTTCTTCGTTCGTGTTATCCGTATAAGTGTATTGAGTCTCCTCGCTAGAACCGAATAGGATATTCTGAAGGGAAAGTGTATTTTGAAATATAATTATACCGGGCTGTTGATCAGGATGCTATCCTAGCAACATCAAATAACTACATTTATAAAAAAATAAATGTAAGCATAAATGGAAGAGGTTTATATCCGCATTAGGTTTCTATTAATACACAAAAGAAGTATTGGATGGTTTCTGAGTGCAGTGGTTTTTCCTTAGGAGGACAACACCTCAACTCGAAGCTCTGAACGCGAAGTCCTCCCTCAACTGACATGGTACCTTAGAAACAAATGTGAATCCGTGTATGCCTAATCCTTGAGACTGAATTCAGTTGTGTAGCATTGGATATTAGGTACCGTCCTACTGACCTTGGAAGAACTTATAGATCATATAATGCAAAGACAGCGCTACTTGAAGAAAAACGAAAACGAATTTTAGTCCGTTGGCCAAGTTACATTGGACCGTAAATTATGGCGGTCCTAACGTGTAAGATACCGAGTTTAAGAGACGTTTTACAACTACTGCTGCCGTACAGATGGATTAGACGTGCATGAGATATCGTGTTGGGCCCTTCAATATTCCCGGAAATTGCCGGAAGGTACAACGCACGGATATTTATTGTAGCGACCGAAAAAAATCGAATTTGAGTCGACTCTAGTTCAGGAAGTTGATGAGAGTTTACTGAGATGGAATATTAAATTATTTACATCTAAATGTGAGCGGAGTATTTACTTTCAGTTTTCGAGAAATCAAGAATTGTGAAGGAATTCTCGCGCGGTCTGTTACGTACGAAAATGAATAACGATAACATGTTCATAGCCTAAGTTTAAGACCTCGAACCGTGAGGTTCTGTACGTAATGGAGATCTAGAAGAATAGCTAAGAACAGGAAAGGTTGACTAAAAGCGAGTAACCATATCCAGCGAAATTATATCATAAGAGACGAATTCATACGAAGGGTTCAACATTTTAATCGGGCGCCGGCTTCCATTGGAGAGTGTAAACATAAACCCCAGATTGAAAAGTTGGAATTAAAATTTTCGGAAATGAATCGATCATATCTTCGTTAGTACACACTTACCCCCATATTGAAGAAAAACGATGGCTTGGTCTGCTCGAAGCGAATATCGTCCCGGCGAAGGCGCTTCGTTGATGGTGATCTGCGATTCTAAGAATGGAACTGTATCTAGCAGTCACGTGATTTTAAAATTGTTATGCGATTTTGTTCAAAAGTCCTGCGGCGAGATAGGAATTTTACTCTTAACCGCTATATTTATTGACTTTCACAGAATGCAAATGTATCCTAAAGAAATTATCAAATCATCAATTGTGTTTGTATCTCTGTCGGCCACGTTCTGTTATGTTTTGGCGTTTCGTGACGCACACCGATAAGAATCTAACGTTTTCTAGGAAAACCGTAAGTTGATGTTGCGTGGAAAAATTAGTTAAAGAGAAAAAGATTTCCACAGAATGGAATGGAAAAATTTCTGACCTAATTTTTCTACTAATCAACGATCATCTTAAGTGCACTTGAACAGCTTAAAGTTTCTGGACTAGAAATCAAAGCATGCTTTTGTTTCGGCTCAGTGTGGAAACTTGTGAAGATTATCGCGGTTAGTTTAAGTGTTGGGTAAACATTTTTTTCAACTATGCTGGTTGTAAGACTGGTTACTGTAAAGTGGCGTGGGATGATAAGGTGGGGAGGGGGAAGAAAGATCTCTAAACTGAAAGAGAGTTGAGCCAAAAAATTTTAAACCTCTTTTAGTACTTTTTTTCCCTTTTTGGCTTACCAGTTCTAAGTTTCAGGATAAAAAAAATACCAACAAGATTCAACAGAGATAGCACTGTCATCATTGGTTGCAGTGTTGTGCATCACATTTACAAGGGCTTTGCTCTGGTCCTCCGCATCCCTCTCCCCAGTGACTTCTCCGATCTTTTGCGCACTTTTAGAAAAATAGGTCCGCAATGCGTACATGTGTGGCTTACGAAATTGAGCTGCTTTTTAGTGTCTGGTGTCTCATTGGGTTTCTATTAGAAGAGCTAATATCTGATTATCATTAGATAGTTTTCAATATTGATCCTGTTCATCAATAACACAAGACAACTAGCATACAAAGGTCCTGAAATGTTCATTCTGAAGATGAGAGTTATTGGTCAAACTTTGTTATGGAGGTCTCATTTTGACAACTAAAGTTGCAAATGTAACCTGAGGATTTAAGGAACTGAAAAAACATTAACATAATTTCCCATAGTGGTCTGATAGATTCAGTCATGATTATGTTTACGTAACGAAGTAAAATTGACTTCTGAAGTTTGTAGGTTGATTGTCTTTTCCAAAGCAAATGATGTGAAATGAACTCTAGGGTAGAATTTCATATGAATATTTTTGACATTTTGTGTACCAGTACAAAACTTTGGAGAAGGGCAGGGACATGTGGGAAATGATGTAATCTACACTAGAAGCCATTGGGAGCTTGATTTGGTTTGAATGTATGACTAATTTTATACAATACATACAATTAAAGTAACACAATGCTGGGTGTAGGTTTCTTAATAATAATAATGTTTATTTCTTATATTGCGCAGTCTAGCATGCGATAAAGATATGATCGAGTGCGCGATTTTGTCAATTAGGGCATAAAGTTCAACTTTCAGTTGGTTGAGAGCAAAACGTTTACTACAATTATTGTATTTAGGTTTTGTGGGACTGTATTTTCAATAAAGAACACAGAAAAATTTAGTTCAGGTAGGTAGATATGAGGTTGCAAATGGAAGAGTCTAGGGAAAAAAGATAGGTGCATTACAAGATCAGAGCACAAGAAATACTTTAATGAATCATATGTTAAATTAAGTTCTCTGAAGTAACATTACATTAACATTGCTAATAATTTTTAACCCAATAAGATTTACAATTTGACCTGAAGGTTTTATTTAACAGAAAGTTCAATAGAGATAGAGTGTCGCCATAATAGATTTCAGGAACAGTACTCAGAGGCATAACTTAAACACAGCAAGTTCAATGTACAGGCAAGTGCATGATGGTATCATATGATTTAAACTACCAGAAGCTTTCAAGTTTTCTTATTATTGAAATTGTAATTTCATGCCAGTGAGTCTACCAAATTCAAGCTATGTGGAGAAATGAATGAGTGAACTTGACATCATCATGCAAATGGTCAACTTAACATCATCATGCAAAGTGCTAATCTACCGTAAGCAACTGAACTTCATGTATCACTATGTGTTGGAGCATACAAGAGGACTTGTGAGACCTGCTTCACTCTCATTTGCCAGAACAAGATTGAACTTCTGGTACCAATCAAAATTCAGAATGACTGTGACAGTTTGGAACTGATCTGTTAAGACTGTGCTTTTCAGGGGTCTACAGATGTGATTAGAACCCTGGGTCTCTGAGGATACCTGATGGTAATCTAATCCACATCAAGTAGCTCTAACTTTTAACTATAAACGTAACAAATGTCATTTCCATTGAACTGTCTTCATAAAAACTCAACAAAGTCTAAGCTAAGTTAATTAAAGTGTACTTAGGTATTCCAAATAAGCAGAAGTAAATTTTTCACAAATTACAAATGTTGAGCTCATAGCGTGTGTGCAGTTTAAAGTATTTGAAAAATTTACAGGTGCTTATCATAAGAGAAATCATGTTATTAATTTTTCATAATGTATACATGAAAGATACACATTCACAGGAAATCACACAGTGTAAATTTGATTGGTTTCTAATGTGATCTATTGTTGCTGAGCCTAGTTTATATTATTTTGTACATGAGTTATTACTATTTCACTAATGACAAATGAAAAAGGTACCTAGCTATTTTCAGCTAATCAAAAAAGTGTAATTTTTCATGTATATCAGTATTGTGATGAATTCACCAAACCAAACAAGTAACTGAAAAGGAGTTGTAGTCTACCAAATAAAGGCCTAATACACATGTATTGCCACCAAGTATAGATACCAATGCTTATCTGAACCTTTATGAAGAGAATCTAGAAGACTGCCAAGCTTGAAGGAGGTCATGAAATGTTAAGGTCTGAATAATTCTGGCCATAACTTGGAAAACATAACACTAATCACATTTCAGTTAACATTAAAGCACCAGGCTCCTATTCATATTTTAATAAAAGCAAAACCACTTTGTTACTGAGTTCCAATGGATTACTCCCCAAAGTTTGGAAACAATCACAACAGACATTTAGCACTATGTTAACAACAAACTGCAGTTTCAGGTTAGGCGTTAGATGTTAGTGACTTTTATTGGTTTAGCTATGTAAACATGAAAGTATAATTTCATTTAAAGAGGCTGTCAAATTGAATTTCCAGACAACAGCAGTGTTTGATTTTCTAATGGCAACAAAAAAGTCCTATTTTCACTAGTGGCCAAAAATGGTTTATTCTATTTGTATTCAATGGCACGTAATGCCATGGGTGGCAGGGTATTCTACAGTTTGACCAAAATTTTATCTTTGCATGTACTAAAAAGACTGGTTAAGTAATTTTCTTACTGAGCATATGGTATAGACAGAAATTCAGGATAAAAAATGTTCCGGTAAATGACTTACATAAAATGTGACCACACAGAGAGTCAATAATGACTCCTAAGTTTCAAGGTGGCGTGACCTGCACTAAGGGTCCAGACCATGATATGTTGGCCCGTGAGAGCACAACTCCATGCTGTAATCCGCACTTAGAAGACAAGCTGACTGTAGGAAAGCTGGCGTGTGAAATCTAAGCAATAAAGATGAATGAAAAATTAGATAAAAAAACAATCTTTGACAGTGTGTTACAGCCACCATTGCAAAATGGTTGCTTTCTGAAGCCTTGAAGCTTAGGTAACTTAGCCGAGCATAGACTGGAACCTATCTTCGACAATAGTAAACCATGTGACAAGCGCTCTGTTCACTGAGACAAATCCAGCCAGGAATAAGTATCTTAGACCATGATGTAGCATGGTTTACACTTTTTGTAAACCACACAAAAACAGTTATAGGATAAACCAATAATTGCATAAAAACTTAGGCATTATGCAAGCATAAAAAACAAAGTTTATTTCCAACAGAAAGCCTATGTGAACACAATAATTATTATAATTATTTACTATAATTTATTATATTATTATATAATATATAATTATTATAATTATTATGCATCTAGTTTCATTCTGATATTGACCTTGGTTTAACAGTCTCTTCTCTTTACATTCTGCTGATTCATTTGCAATTTTTTGTCTTTGATACTGAGATTGGGTTGCCAGCCTCTTTTTTCTTGATTCAGAAGATTCAATTGCACATTTCTTTTCCCTGTTCAGAAGCTTCTAGGCCAGCCTCTTTTCCTAGATTCCTCACTTTCATTTACCCTTCTTCATTTCTCATATTCATGTCTAGCAATTAATTGGTTTTCTTTTTCTTCTGGTGTTTCAGTTAAAGACTTTTGCTTCCTTTTCATATGTTGTGTTTGGTTTCTTTTATTTCTGAAAGGCAAATGTTCAATTTTTGGACTCTCGTGAACATTTTGCAAATCAAGTTCATTATCTCTGACAAAGACACCTTTAATTTTAAAAGGAACAAACCCTATTTGTAAGCAGGAAATGTTCAAATATGATACAAGGTTTTCAATTCCTTCAATGGTAAGCAAAGTACATTTCCTAAATGAGTGTGGCATCCCATGCAAATCCCTGGAATGAGCATCAAAAATTTTAAAGCTTTGTTCTGAATTCTTAATCACTGCAACAGTATTTATTCCAATCGTTAACAAACAACAATTGTAGTTAAGTTGACAATTTGAAAACACTTCTGTCAGAGAATTTTGAAGAGACATGTATGGCCCATTATTTGATGCCATGAACAAACTTCCTGTTAATGACTCACTATATTCTAATGTGGATACTTTATTGTAAATTGAAACAAAGCATGAAACATCAGTTGAAAGCAAGTAATCATTTGTCTGGACAGAACATCTTATAGAAGTATACAAATTATTTCCAATGGTAAGAATATTATTCAAAATGGAAGAAGTCCACAAATTGATATCTTCTATGTGATGATAAATAATAGCAGTAAGCGACATTGCTACAAATTGCTTACCAGCATTTTCACCAAAGAGAGCTTCATTTCCTTGACTGTAGTCAGCACATATTGTTCTTGTTGGATCGATGACATCAAATATTGTAGGGCCTGGATTTTCCTCTACATCATTTGCCTGCCTTATAAGCAATGGAATATAGGCATTGTAGGAAATCATTTGTGATACTTACTTTTTCGTTTTGAGATATGCCTCCGTGAATTCTCAACAGTGCAAGGAGAAAGCAACTGCAATACAACTTATTTCACTTTCTGGCACTTTCAGGTGGCTTCAGACACTTTGAAACACTTTCAAACACTTTCAGACATTCAGTGGTGCAACCCGCACCGATAGATCATAGTTAATCGAGGGGACCCTCGATTAACTATGGATAGATTAAGCTGATAGTTGTTGTCTTGTGAGAGTGCAATAACTCCTTTCAGAGTGGCACAACCCGTACCGAAGATTCAAGCAGTTAAATATTGTCTTTTAAGAACGTAGAAGCTCTTGCACAAGCTGCACTTATAACACAAGGCGGGTCTGTGTGTGTTGGCTTGTGTGAGGGGAACTAATTCGTGATACGATCACCTGAAAAAAATTACTCGAGACCACGCTTACAATCAAGGTGGCTGACTCAGATTAGTGCGCCGTACAACACTGCGATACTGGACTACGTGACAGGCGCTCGACTCTCGTGTTCAAATAAATAAATAAATCCGATCGTGCCATAGTGTGGCTAAACACGTTGTGTAAGCCACACAAAAAGGGTTGCAAATCATTTTGCTTAACTACTTTCACATTTGAACATAGCGGGAATCATTACCTGAATGACGAGGCTGTGATTGGTTATGGAAACTGAATGAAATCACTAAAATCGGGCATATATAAAGATTCAACGATCACTAACAGAAGGACAAATGCTTTTAATCAACACCCCTAAGTAGAAGGGCAACATATTATCGTAGTTAATCACTAATTATTAGTTACTATGACAGATGCAATTCTTGATGAAACTATCTGAGAAATATATAGTAATGGTTTCATAAATTTTTATGTTCTGAAACACCAGCAGGGAGCAAGTAAACCTATGAACCTGTAGTCAAAATATTTTTCATGATTCTAACAATGTTACATTCAATATATTTTTATCCTAAACATCAGAAATGAAATGTTGTCTTTTAAAAACAACTGTGCGCCCAGCATTAGTCTATTTATTGCCCCTTAAACGTTAGAAAAAAAAATTGGTCAAATTTGCTCAAGAAACTACGGTTTCCTGTGCGTTGAGTCCGTGTTCAGACGCCACCCAATTGTTCATGAGATCATGCCTCGTTTCCTGAGCTCCTTCTCGATCATTCTACTCATACCAGCTGGAAAATGGTGACGAACTTCACTCCAGCTCATGGCTAATAACTTTACACTTGTTATGTCATCTTTGGCCAACTTGCTCGAAGCCGTCATGATACTGTTTGTTGACCACTGATATTCCTTCTGGAGGAAACGCAAAAACACTTCCACCGAAGCTGTGGGGAAAATAATTTTAATGTCGATGAGGACATTTTGTTAATTCATACACACTCAGTTACGTAATAAAATTTTAATAACGCGGTGATAAGAGCCAAAAAAAAGAGTACAAAATATTAGTGGCTATTAAACCTAAGGCACCCAGCGAAAAGCAACGAAAAATTAGTTTTTGCGGTCAGTCAGTGCCAAGTGAGGAAGTTATGCTGCCAGTGCGGTACTGGCCTGTAGAGCAGGCGTAATTTTGGCGAGTGCTCTGTATTTTCTCAGCGAAAATCATGGCCGCGATCTTTGATGTTAACGGTAGCGGAAGGCTAGCGAGAGAAAGAGATTTGTACCAAGGGGGCGGTCGACGGTCAAAAATTTGTAGAGAGGTAGGGGTGGGGGAGTGAGGATTACCGAGTCTTCTCGCCCTTCCCCCACCCCCTACCCCCATGGTAGACTCTTACTCCAAATCAAAGATGGCTGGTCTGATAATTGCTTTATAAGCGATCGCGAACTTGTAACGTTAGCCCGCCCTGAAGGGATGCCTGCAATGCAAGTTAGTGCGGTATAAAAATATACAGCGAGTTTTCAGCTTCATGTACGGAAAAACAATTCTACGCATAATAAAAAATCATTTCTACCTCAGAATTCTCCTCGAACGTTTTCCCCAGCTTACACCTGTAGCTCATACTATTTAATGCCCGCTCTCAAACTAATTTTACTCCCCTGCATTAGCGACAATTTGGTGCCTTTCAGCACGGTTTTGAATTGAAGAAATGTAAAATGGTTTTCGTGTTTACATAGCCTGATGTAAACACGCGGGAGGTTGGGAGAAAACGAGATAAGCGTAAGAAACCACGACGCTAAGCAGAGTGGTTTCCAGTTTATCGAGCGTTCTCCCAACCTCCCAAGTGTTTACATCAAGCTATGTAAACACAAAAACCATTTTACATTTCTTTTATGAAATAACTAATGAAAGAGGAACGAAAACCGTGTTTACATACGCTCATGTACAATGGTTTTATGGCCAATCAGAGCGCGCGTACTATTTGAATTATTTTGTAATGATATAGATTGCACGGAATCGATGACTCATACAGCAGAGGCCTTCGTTCTCAATGTCTTATTGCAACATGCACCATGCACTATTCTAATTAGCTTACCATCAACGGAATCAGGTGCCACTTGTCCACTCATAGTAACTCCCTCGAGGGCTTTCATCATCTCATCCTCTCTTTTGTTTTTCTCTTTTTGCTTCATGATCTTGACAGCCCGTTCGGCGGTCATCAAAGCATAGTGCAAGATGTCAAATGTCATCTGCTCTATCTCAGGGTTACGTTCCTTGTTTTCTTTGGTGTAGTTCCACATGAAGAAAGTGTGGCTAGGAGAGCTACCGGTAGCAGCTGATGCCTCGTCAAAAGCGTCCTTCTCATCTTCTTCAGTTTTCAGTTTGTCCTTATGAGTTATAACAGTTATTGGGGCGATTCCTGTTAAAAAAAAAAAAACAAATGAAAATGGTCACATACTGTCCTCTACCATTTGATTAGTTCTTGTCTGTAGGCCAGCACCGTTTTTTTAAGTCATTGACCGGTTTCAGTGTTCCTCTGTGGGTATTAAACAATACCAGAGCAAGATATTTTTTCGCCACAAGCGTGGGACGAAGAAAAAATTCTGAGACCCCATGAGGAATCGAACGTCAGACCTTGAATTCCGCGCTCTGATGCCCTACCACTGAGCCACAGAGACTCTACGCTGAGCTGGGTCTTTAAGTGGGATTCATAAAATTTATTGTGCGCGGATTCATACAATACCGTTTTTTCTTAGGACATCTCGAACTGGTTTCAGGTAATCCCTCAAGGCACCTTCAGTGAGTCTTGGGTCGTTAGCCATCACGACAATAATGATTCCATGCAGTTTTTTTTCAAATGCTGGACATTGATGCAACTCCTGTGTGTTGTCTTCGTCATTGTCAGGGCGAACGATGTTATCTCCGGGCTGAATTTTCCCGAACAGGATATTCTGAAACTCGATGTTCTCGTTGGAGTTGTAGTTGAAGAAGCCCCTGGTGTCTACCAAGCGGAAGAACATCTCTGGCAGGTAGTCCTGGAGTGTGATGGTTCCCTCTTGTCCTGTTGTGCTGTCCGGGGCGGATCCTTTTTCTGTTTGCCTCACCGCCCGTTCACATGTGTTGATGAAGCAACTCTTCCCTGATCCCGTGGGGCCAAACACACCGATCCTGAGCTGGGTTACATCATCAATGTTTAGCCCCATAAAATTGTCAAGCCTGGTCTTGTCTCCAAACTTGTAATTGAACAACTGATCTCGGCGTCGGCAAAGTTCGGCCTCCAGTTGCAAAAGTTTCTGTTCTTCTGCTCGTCTTCTGGCTTCTTCTTCTTCTATTTCCTTCTGCCGTTGTTCCTTGAGTTGCTCTCTTCGTCTCCTCTCTTCTTCTTCCTTCTCTTTCTTTATACGCATTTTTTCCTCGTGCTCACGTTGTTTTCGTTCATTCTCCAGCCGTCTTTTCTCTTTCTCCTCTGCTTCACGCCTTTCTGTTTCTGAGTTATCCACATACGTGTAGTGAGTCTCTTGACTAGAACCACTCTAGGGAGAAGGGAAGAATAATTTTAGCGTCAATATCATGAGTCATAAATTCGACCATTGATATAGCGCCCTTCTTGCAAGAGCCTAGACAAACTAAAAGAAAAACAAAATCGTAGGATCTGAGGCACGAATCTTTTCAGGGTCTCAAATTCTTTCTTGATTTGTGCACGAAACAAATGTCAGTGTTGTGAAGTATTTCGTTGATTATGATTTTTGTGTTTATACCGCCGAAACTGTGTAAGTGATCACCCTGTATTAAGCGGTCAGATGTCAAAGTAATCCCCTTAATTTTTTCCACTATTAATCACTATTAAACCGTCTCTATTTAAACGGTCATGCACCCCTCTATTATCCTCCACCTGTATCAAACGGTCGGTCAGGACCCTTTAAAACTAAAAAAATTTCTCTCCCAAATTAAATGTTTTAGTGAAATTCTTTTTAATTGTTTCCTTCACCTGTATCGAACAGTCTCTGAAAGCAGGACAAGTACAATTAATACAAGTTCAATCGTATTTACTTAACATTTGAGTTCAAAGTCCGAACTTAGTTTGGTTTTAGCTATCACAGTGAGTTCCCTGATTGAGACTGTCTTGTCTAACTTCCATTTGTGGACGTGCTTAATTTGTCTGTTGACCTCTGCCTTGAACTTAGACAAAGCTTAAGGTTCTTGTTTTGGCTTTGGCTGTTAAAAATTGACTTTTTGATCAGAAGCATAAATTATGTTGTTGTTTCTTGATTTTGTGTAAGTGTTTGGAATCCGAAGGTCTGTCAATGGGATTGATTTTTTCATAGTAAAACCATGTACACTGATTGATTGTTACAAACATTACGCCATCGACAAAACCCTAACAGTTAGGATTATGTTGTTGGTTATTTGCTCAGATCCTGGCTGTGCATAATCCGAGGGTCTGTTCTGAAAACATTGTTTGATCTAAAAACGAAAAAACATCTTTCTCTGTTCAATTGTTTGACCAGCATGCCCATTCATGGGTATATACTGTGAATATATAAGCGTGTACCATAGAGTTCAAAGTAGGAGGGTCGATCAGAGTTACGTAGAAGAGTCACTCAGAGTTAGATCATCTTAAGATCACCGCTTTGAGTCCGAGTGGAGAGGAGAAGCGTGACTTTTAGGCCTTTCCTACGTCTCTTGATCATATCACTCGTAACTAGATCATAAATGAACTCGCTCTTCAGTGTAAATGAAATAAAACTCAGGGTTGTTCACACCACTATTAAATATGTCGATTCTCATGGACGATGAAAAGTCTTTCTAATGACCGTTGGGTAGGTAAGAATTTAAGTCGTTTAAATGAGATGTTTTCTCATTTACATTGACCACTTTCATGAAGTGGGGGTATTTCTTAATCCTTGCCGCTATTGTCTGTGGAAATAAATGTTTTGTGACTTATTCTGTGTTTTCGTGTTGCATGGTTTTAAAATTTGCGTGACTCTACTCAATCAAAACAACTGACAGACTTTCTCGGAAATGTTTGCAGTCGTTTTTTTAATTGACGGACGCGGAGCATTGCGTTTTGTTGGGCTATCAACGAAAGAAATAGAACATAAAAATTCCCTTTGCTAGTGGTAAAGATGTTGTAAATCTAACTGTTCAAGTTCAATTTGCAATGCTCGTATACGATGACTTCCAGGCTGAGTTAGTGGAAATTTTAAACGTAATATTCTTTTAATATCGTGGATCAAATATTTTTAACTTAGAAATTTCTACCTGGTTAGAAAGCTGGTTTTTTTTTTTATTTTTTAAGAACCAGATGGATTTAAAGCTTCCAAAGTGAAAGGTGCAGTTTTTCTCTTTCCCGGAAGTTACAGGAAGTAAGAAGAAACCGCGATTTGAATTCAGAAACTTAAATTATGCCGGCGAAACTTGTCAATTTTCGTCCTTTTTTTTTCAACATTCTCTTTTATGCAACTTGGCTTTAATTCTTTTTACGAAATTGAAAGTTCAGAAATCGATATGTAGAAAGTATTCACTTTCAGTTTCCGAGAAGCGAACAATCTTAAAATCTCTCCTCTGAAGATTTCGGTTGAGAAAACGGCAATTTTCGCCCGCAGTTTGCACAAGTTTAAAAACCATTACCTCTGCGAAGGTTAAACTTTCGGCTTGTACCGTTAGCCGAGAGCTAACCCCATACTTAATGTCTTTTCTATAAGAAATTGTTCCATTTGGAGGGATTGATATTAGTGTCACAGCTCATCCGCATGAAAAATATAACATTTTACACGCACATTTCGAGCACCGGTGAAAGGAAATGACAAGTCAAAACTTGCAGAAGAAGTTGTTGAAAAAAAGGCAAAATTCTTGTAAAACTTACCCCCATTTTGAAGATTTACGTAAAGACGAGCTTACTCTTACTCCAGCACAAGTGAATGTGTTCGTGTAAGATACGAGGCACCAAGTGTAAGACAAGATGCTAGATGGGAATTTTCCCTTTCAAGTGACCTCATGCGTTTTCCGAGAATTCAATCACGTGATTTTACAGATGTTCCCTCTGACGAGGAACTAATTTGCCAAGTGACGACAAATTCATCTCTTGTGCGCCAAGGTGAGTTCGACTTTTATCCTCAATAAAATACGACTCTATTTTCTGAAGAAAATCGTTACTTTAGACACCTTGACGATTTTCTATCTTTCGTGACTGAAGGATTTGCGTGACCTATGTCAATCAATTTCTCGGAAACATTGCGCAGTCGATTTCGTCTGACGCCATCGACTGATGTGAAGTGTTAAATTCTGTGGTTTTCTTTTACAGCTACATTCAAAGCGAAAGAAATTGCTCACAAAGAAAAGATGTCGCATTCAAAAAAGCGAGTTCATCTTTTTAACTGTGATAACACATACAAGCTAGAGCCTGTTGAGAAATTACTGGAGAAATGTGGCAGCCATGTTGAGCGTGTTGAGAAGCACTCGTTCAGACTTGCTAAAATGTCTGAAATGGTAGACATAATTCCAACCTTAGAGATGAATATGGCCTTTTTCGTGGTTCATGCACATGAATCTAGACTCTCGATCAACGAAGACAAAGCTGGCATTGGTTACGCCAAGATATACAGAGCTTTACTGCAAGCAACGGGTAAGGAGCGGAAGTATTCCTATTGGGTAGATTTGCCTTCCTTGAGGTTTTTCAGTTTGATACTTTCAGTTATGCCCATTAATACTTTATTGGGCAGATGGATTTTACAATAATTGAGGTGCATGCACTCGAATGCCTCTTTATAATACCTTTGTAGCAAAGAAAAGTGTTACCAACCGTATGAAACTAACACGATATGTTTCTATAAATAAAGCAGCGGACAATTTGAGCAGAAGCAACTAAGACCTTTTCCGATAATCTGTTTTTCCTTCTTTTGTTGGCAATCAAAATTTTATTTTTTGCCACGGTTTTATGATGTTAAACAATGTGTTTGCATTTATTTCTGAATTTTGATTTTATTTTCCCTTCCCTAAATCGAGACAGAAGCAAACTTCTGGCGACTGCTTATGATACGACAGATAAGACAAAAGGAACTGTTTCCAAGAATCTTTTGATAATTTCGATGCGTTTTTCAAGGTTAAACCCAGTTTGCTTGTGTGTGTGTGTGTTTCTATCGTTTGGTAAAGTGGACTAGACAAGTTAAAATTAATATTCTGTTTTCTTGAATTAGCTGGCTCAATGATGACCACCAGATTGGTGTTATTTATCATTCAAAATCCTTGAAGCTAAGATATGAAATTTCGTTGGTTCTTTCCCTGTCATTACGTTCAAAGCGAAGTAAATTGCGCCAGAGAAAATATGTCACAGTCCAAAGAGCGAGTTCATCTGTTCAACTGTGATAACATATACAAACTAGAGCCTGTCGAGAAATTGCTGAAGAAATTCAGCATCCATGTTGAATGTGTTTAGAATCATACGTCCAAACTTACTAAAATGTCTGAAATGGTCGTCAAAATTCCAACCCTAGAGATAAATATGACTTTCTTCGTGGTTCATGCGAATGAATCTCGATTCTTGATCAACGAATACAACGCTGGCATTGGTTATCCCAAAATGTACAGAGCTTTAATAAAAGCAACGGTTAAGAAGCGGAAGTATTTTTACTGGGTAGTATCGCCTTCCTGAAGGTTTTTCAGTCTGATACACTCAATTTTGCCCAATAATGCTTTTTTTTCCCGGGTTAACACAATGTTCTTTAAGGAGGCAGGGACAATTTAATGAAAGGTGTGGAAAATTTGTTACAAATTTCCCCCAACAAAGCCCTAACAGACCTCAGGGTGAAAGCGAAAGTAAATTAGCATTTCTTTAAAATAATAACTTCTGTTTGGTCAGAGGCGACGAATGTTTTTTTTGTAAAGTTCAGAAGGTAGAAACTACCACGAACTGTTCCATAGGGCTGCGACTTTTTCGGTAACGGTTCTCCATGGCACAAGGGTGGGTGTTTCCTTGGTCCGAAAAATACCCTAATTAATTTTATTTATTACTGCCTCTCATTCAAGTTGGGTATGGGTAAAAGATGCTGGTGTAAGTGGCGTCAACCGTATTGAAAATAAGAATGGAATTGAAGAAAAATTATATTAAAAAGTTGTTTTTCGTTTATGCTTTACGGTGGAGTGAACTTTTAATTCGTTCGCTCACTATGATGAGAGGTATTCATAGATGCAAGTCATCAAATGGTATTTAAAATAACAACGAATAAAGCAATTCAAGTCTTAAGAGACTTCCCGTTTAACTGAGAAACAGAAATTTCTCTCTTTTTATTGAGAATTTTGCCAGCAATTATCCGAAAAATTAAAAAAATTGATACAAACATTGTTATTTGAGCCAGCTAGACACTGACACGCCGTGGTTATGAAAATAGTTATAATAAGACCCTCTGTATTAATCCAAGTGCACATGACGTTCGCTTGATCATGGTTATACGTGTGCTCTGTGTGTTACATTGTATTTGCACCTTGATATTTATGTGATATTTAGCTTTCTTTTCGCATGCAGATAAAAAATGTTCCAAAATTATGTTATTACAACTTCTAAAATGTTTGACCGCTCTTGCGTGACGCATATTGCGCATTTCATGCTACCTTCTTGCTGGATGTATTTACGTTACGACTAAAGATGGCCACTCACCAGACTGTTTAAACAAAACCAGTATTCTAAACCACATCGGAATAGTATTTAGGTTATGACTGAGTAAGAGGGCCGGACGGGAAAAAAGTTGGCTCGAGGTACTCAGTCGATCAGATCGCATGACCATCGCTCATTTTCTTCCTTCTTCTTTTTAGCACGTGGCGCCGTACGGCTTTTCACAGCCCTACTCACGCCATTGCGCACGGTCCTCATATCGGTATTTTTGTCTGATATTTTTCGGTAAAGACGCGCGCGGGGCCGCAAGGATCATCAAATAAACGATTTCCTTGTAAAGGATGATACTCATAATACTCTGAAGCTCAGTTACATTTTAATCTGTTTTGTTTACAGGAGGAGAAGTCATCGTCGTTATCGGGGGAGATGACAACTATAAAGGCGTCGACGAAGAGAATCGAGAAGTTATTTCACGTTGGGCGAAAAGGAAAGTTTCCTCACAGTTTAGCGAAGAGTGTCTTGATGGTAGAAAGAGCTTCATCTTTTCTTGGAACAAACAACATCGAGAGATTCACGAACAAGCTCTACTGCATCACTTTGACCCAAACAAGAAAGGGCAAAAGTTCGAATATCAGCCGGATCAGCGAAAGGAACAACGAAAGGCAGCAACACCACCGCCGTCAAGATCGAAAGAGATGATACCTCCGTTGCGTAGATGTTGTTCTGTGTCAGGCGAACGACAATATGAATCAGAGCCGCCACTTAAACCAGAAAGTTCCCTGCATCACTGTGAAGCTGTAACTGGAGCAAGGGAGATCAAAGAAGAGAAAACTCTTGATAGTAGAGCCGAGGGCGGAAATATTTCGAGGAACGAGGCAAACACATCAACTGTCATTTATCAAGGAGCCCGGTCAGAGGAAATTATTCGTCCACCTATCGGAGAAACCATAGGTTAGAATAAAATCTTAAAAACAGACCTAAAGGAAAAAATTTGGGCACCTTCCCCACTTAAGCGTCGATCAATCGGAAGCTTCAACATCCAGGCAGCCCGCTGTGGATTTAAACTTTTGAAGATTGATTTGTTCAAATTCCCGTTCCGGGCCCAAAATTATTTTTAAATGCCCTCCCCAAGTGGCGGAGTTGATGGTGAATTTTTTTAAAGGCGGAATCAGCGACAGCGACTTTCTACCCATTTACCAAGCTTTAAAACTAGACCTTGCAGACCTTTCCTTCTGAGGAATTCACCTACGAAAGTGAGCTCTTTACCTTCAAACTCTCCCTATTTTTAAAAAGATAAAAACTTGTATTCCGGTTAGTTCCCCACCTCGGCCAAAAATGTTCAAATTCCCCACCCCGGATAAGGATGACAGTTAAATTACCGCGGGTTGCCCGGGGGGAATGTTGAAGTTCCGAATTAATCTGCGCATCACCTGAAAGGTGATAAAGCAAACGAAAGCACAGTTGCTCGGTAACTCTTGTCTTTTTGCCCACTTAAGGTATCCAAAGTATATAGATTTTAGGAGGCACTAGGAAGTGGACTGCTAAACTACTACCTCTGCCGTGAGCATGGCCAAATGGTGCCTTTTTAAGTGCTGAGGTCAATTGCCCATGTGTTTTTAACTCTTTGATCAATATCGAAAACTTTATGAAGATTTTCACCGAGCAAATTTTTGATTATCGTTTACTCATGAAAATTATTAGCGTCTTGTTTCAGCTTATTCTAAATTACAATTTCTGGTTTGCATAATTTTTCTCGTGGGACTTTCTTTGTCGCTGTGTCGGCTTCTCATTTATTGACAGAAGGAAGTCTGTTGAACTTGGTTCCAACGCACTGACCGCCATTTTTGGCAGTCATGCACACACGGTTGAAGGAGAATCATGCTCCAAAAACCATCCAATTTTCATCTTTACCATCGACAGTATCCTAACTTTAAATAATTGTCTTCAAATGAGCTTATAGTTGATTATGGACGCTTGCCATTTTTTAACCTTGCCCAACAACCTGGCCGACCACCTTTCTCGGTTCCAAGTTTCGATTCTCTTCTTTTCATCTCACGGAGATCTGTTCGATCAATCAAGAGCCACACGAAAATAAATTATTAAAAAAATTGTTTTTTCGTGGTGGTTTTCCGTGTGTGGCCAGCTAACTTTGTTAGTTTCAAAATGACGGCGTTCATGTTCGAGTTTTAAGCACATTTAGCCAGGTTGGGTTACTCATTGGGATCTCAATCTGCATACTTCTTCCCTAAGATAATCTTTAAGTGTACGACTTTCCGTCTCTCACTCTTTAGAATTGTCGATTCTTGGCTGTAATGTGTCATGTGAGTCTGTGGATGATGCGGAAAAAGTTTTTGCAAGAGTTCTTCCCAGCCTTCACTTGTCAAAGGATCCTTTCGTTGGCAACCTCCCAATCACCAAAGTTGAAGGATATCTGAGGGACTATCACTTCAGATTCTCTGTGTTAGTGGTGGACGGTTATACCGTGAGGGATGGTTGTGACGATCAAAGATCAAAGGAATTACAGCGACTTGTAAGACTTGCAGTGGATAAAGTCGGTAAGTCTTCAAATTGAACTGATAAGTTAATCTCATAAAAATCCTTCATACCACGTTTTTTTCTCATAAACATACTTTTAACCCCTTGAATTATTTCGTTGTCAATAATTTAATTACTTTTCGATGCATTTAATCAAAAACATTCTCTTCGTCTGACAAAAAGACAATCTTACCGCTGAATGCTTGAGTTGATAAATCATTTTCTTGGAGAGCGGGTAGGGGAGGTCTAGGAAAGGGATGATCATCCCACTGTAGTTTTATGTAGTTTACAAAAAGTGCATAGTGATTACATCCGATCGTGAGCGGCTCCTCCTCTGAATTTTGTACTGAGATTATTTTTTCGTAAAGGTAGATCACCTTTTTGCATTCACTGAACTGCTGTAAACACAGGCATAGTAACAAATATTTGAGGTAGCTCTAAGCCCCCTTTAGACCATGGAACCTGAATCGGCCATGGTTCTTCGAAACACGAGTAATACTAATGCTTTGTTACCTGTATATAGACTTTCTGTCACTACGTTAGTTTTTAACTAATACAGTGACAGAAAGGGTGCTGGTACTGATAGTGTTCGAACAACTCAGCTCAAATCTTGAAACAAAATCCTTATAATTGTAATTGAATTACGGCTCAATTGGTGTGAAGAAATGAACACAGCAGTCCCAACTTGAGATTTTTTCTGTTTTCTTTTCACAGCTGAAAAAGTCATTATCTTGGTTTGCAATGGGCAATCAACAACAAATACATACAATGAGTTTATTGGGAAAATCAATAAACTAGAGAAAACGTTCGTTGCGCAGGTAAACAATGGAAAGCTGGCTATGGATCCAGATATTTTTTGCAGCCAAGTTTTGAATCTTCCAATGACATGTTCTACGCCAAATACACAGTTTATCTCTCAAGAACAGGACGTAAACGCTGACTCGTTGTCCACAAATTCATATAACTTGAGCGAAAACTATCCTCAAGGGAATTCCTCAGAAAGGAAAAGCGTTGATGACATGAGTGCTCAAAATAGTCAGCAGCCGGTCTTGGCGACACAGTTCTTAGAAAGACCCCCTCCTGTTGTTGTCCTAAGAAGCTTCATTCGTCATGGAGAGATATCTTATCAGGAAGGGGACCTTCAAATATGGGACCCTGAATTTCAATTTCCGGATGAGATCCGAAGGAAGCTATTAAAGGAATGCTCTCACATCCCCCTACTTGGAGTAAGAATCATGAAGCTCAGTAATGGGTTAGTTGCGTGTCAAGTTGATCGAGATTTGAAACAATTTAAGTCGCACGAGAAATCACAGCTTGCTTCTGAAAAAAGACTTGTATTAAAAACTCGTGTTCACAACGGAAAGGTATCATTTGAAGACAATGATGTAAAGTATAGATATGAAAATAGCTGTATCCCTAAATACATCCTCGATAATCTGCAAAAGAATAGGGCTGATGGTGACTTGTACATCGTTTCAGATGACTCAGGCAATTTTGTAACTATTGTAAAAGAATGTGGAAAAATGAAGCGAGCTGCTAATACTTTCAAACAATCAATCTATGCCATTTTTCAAAGGACCGAGAAAAATGTCTATTGGCTGCCTCTGAATGTGTAACAGCCAGTCCAGTGCCGATGTTCGTAAGAAATGACCTTAGCTATCAGCAAAAAATCTGATTTTAAAATTTGTTGTGATGTTTATAAATGAAGGTGTAATATTTCATAAATATGTTTATGTATTTACATATGTTCACAGAGTTTGCATGATTCCACTTGTAATGTCCGATGTCAAGGAACAGAAGATTTGTGAGTTTATTGACTATAGATTGTCTAAGAAACTGTTGCACCCTTTTGCAGATCAAGTTTCATTCAAGTTATTTTAGAATAGGTTTATAATTACTCTATAATGAAATAAATATAGGCTAGTCAATTCGTCCGAGTGGAAACATTTTGGACAGTCTTAACGTGAGATTATGAAACTGACCAAGTATCTTAGTAATGGCTAACAACGTACGGATGGACTTGATATAAACTTTGGAGGAAATTTACCGACAAGAAATCACAAAATCTTCAACAAAAATTTAACTCGGCCTTCAAAATCAGTTTTCGGGAATATTATGGCATAAATTATGACGAATCCAGGATGAATCCACGGTATTTCCAAACGATTCGTAATAAATTTCCGATCCAAGACAACCGAATACTGAAGTAAATATCCCTAAAATATGCGTGACGAGTATCACTGTGACTGTCAACGACGAGAAGGTCCTGATAGCCATGTTTTGAAATCAAATGGGTTAAGAAAACGTTGCTGTTCTAGTTTTATTCATTAAACATGTCGTGCGGCCTCCAGTGAACACGCCATGGCAAATATGTATGTGTTTTCTATTGTTGTCACGCACGGCTATGGTGGTGTCAGGGAAGTAAGACGAGAGCGACAGATGCTGGTTGAAAGGTGGAAAATTAACTTCACATCCGTGTAATCTTTCTCAGCTGTTGAGTCCGACCTTTGGTCTCAAGTTGGATGTGGCGTGCTTCCTGCCTTTCATTATTTTTCCCTTTTCTTACCTCAGTTTGCAATGCCATACCCCGTTTCCCCTGATCCTATTAGATAACAAGAACTAAGCTCATCTCAAGATCAGAAGAAGATGACGAGACCAGCATACTGAGGAAGCTTTGCGAAGGCATGACGACGATCGGTAAGAATTTCAGTGACGAGAAGCTGAAAATGAATGCGTGCAGAATTTTACCTGCACGCAAAGAGAGGCAATAATGAAATTCGAAACATATCCTCTTCGTTTTCGTTTTTTCCACTCGGATATAAAGCGGGATAACTTGACTGCTTTCATCTTGAGTTCGATGAGACACAAGACAATGAATTGCTCAAATGAAGCTTGTTAAAGTAAGAATTTTAAGTCACTTGCGTTAGATATAATTTTGTCGGAGCTTAACGTACAATTCGCAATTGAAATTAAAGAGGGCATAGGAGGGTCATATCTAAAAATTAATAAAATGGTTGTCAGTCTTACCTCGACTTACCAGGCTGAGGATAAACCACAGAGGATAAAGGATAAACTATAGAGGAAAGGGAATATTTTGTGAAAAAAGATGATGTCATGTACGAATTTGTTTAGTTTATTAAAAGAAGCGGTAACGAGCCGAAAAAATAACAGCAACAACAATACGAACAACAACAACTCTAACAACAACAAAATAAGTGCAATATAAATGTTAAGGACAAGTCATAGTAAATACCAAGCCCACGCGCGCCAACTACAAAGTCGATATGTATCCGATAAGTATTTAAATCTTATTAGACGTCTTGGTATGTAGTATCGCTGGGTATTTTTACGAGTTTTGCCGTATTTTACGGGCCCGTTGGGCGAGTCTAAATACAAACAACGACTCCGATAAGTTATTTATTATCCAACTGCATTTTTTTCTGCTAAGTGTTTCTGTTCATTTCTCATAAGGTAGGAAAAGCAAAGCGCTGAGAAACTAACGCGCGCAGCCGACTGGTTTGACAGGTTTTTTTTAACAGTACAAAATAGCTAACTGTCCAAATAACCGTATAATATGGCAGGATATTTGTAGTCTTTCCGCGCGTCATTTGTACTCTACTTTTTGCAGTTGGATAATAATAATAACAATTATTCTACGAGGGCGCGTCGAATGTGAGGTGATAAATTAGTTCGCTGACGAATTCGTTGATTGTATTTGTCGGAGCTAAGTTATTAAGTCTTAACCTGGCTCCGTTCAGCCAATCAGAGAGCAGGAATTCACTAACCGTGCTCCACTTTTACCAAGTTTACCTCTTATTTCTACGATAAACCCTGAATACCCATGTAAATTTTATTTTCGCAAACATAAGTTACCTAGGGACTTCACGCTCTAAACTCTGAGATACGTTACATCTATTGTGCGGTCTCAATAAAGATTATCTTCCGAAAATAGTTTGGCTTCTTGACCTCTTGCCACAATATGTCCTTTAAAATAAGTGAATTATTGCCGTATGAGAATAGTAAGAAAGAGCACCTGACCTGTATCCCGTTTTTAAGAACCACACATAATTTTCCAGACAATACAATTGTTTTGTTTTGTAGCGTGACAATCTTGGTTACTAAGTTGAAGAAATTCTAAATGTAGTCTACAAACACCGCCAGGTGCTTTTGATCAATGTAAAGTTAAGACACTATGTATAATGAAAAGGAAACCTTATTTCAGATCGTAGTTCCTCCTTAAGGGAGCCAATCCACTTACCTCTCCCAATGTGCTAAGCACGCGTGCGAAGGTGGATTTTAATCTTGAGTTTGCGAGCAGTTGGCTTCCTCCATAGTTATTTGATCATAGTTAATAGCGGAAACTATGGTTTGATCAGCCCGTAATTGAAAAATTTGTAGAGAGAATTGGCTTGAGGAGTGCTTATGAAATCGCATTGCTTCGAGAATAACCTTCAAAATGAAAAAGTATCCTATTGTAATAAGTATTTTATGTTGTCATACTTAAATATTCTTGCATGGTTTTCTTGGAATACTCGAAAAAACATTTCAGCTTAGGCAAGCTGCACACCGGTACTCTGGGCGGGCAAAGCATTCTTAGCGTGACGGGATAAGAAATATTGTTGGGAAGTTAAACAATTTTATTTTACGTTAGCTTTTTCTAATCATAGTTCTTGATATTTCGCCTTTTTTTGAATGAAAACTCATCCATATTATAATCGTAAAAGGGGTTAATTTATTTGACACAAATAGCTAGCAGGCATTTTCCTCACCCCAATACTCTCAAGATCATTCACCTAAGCGGTGTATGGAGCAATTTTCAACTCAGTGCAGTAAGTAATACGGGATAAGAGAGTCAATGGGGTTAACCGTTAGCCGTAAAACGGCCAAAAAATTCAGCCACTAGTCGTAAAAATTCATAAATTATAACCGTTAGTTATGAAATAGTTAATCGTTAAAAACATTTCTGGTGACTACAACGGAAAGATATTAAGCGTTGGCCGTAAATTGTCTAAAATTTTAACCATTAGCCGTGAAAGCCATCACCCCATCTAGACCCTCAGATAATATTACAATGTGTATTGATTTTTTCTCTATGGGTCAAAAACAAGGCCAACCAAACTCAATGAGTAACACGAGCTTCTGAAAATAAAAGTCACGTCTGTTGTTTGCTGAATTACATTGCCAGGAACATGTCCAATAGCAAATTACAAGTTACTCTCCTCGCGGACGAATGAAAGTCTTCCAAAGGTGGCCTGTCGACCATAAATCGAAAATTGGCGATACAGTTGGCTAAACATCCCAATGTTTCAGTTACTTTCTTGGTCCCGGAATGCACTGAAGACGACAAAAATGCAAGTAGTGCTTGTAACGTGCGTATCGTTAAAGCACAGGAGCATTATGCATTCAATCCAGTTGATCTATTAAGTTTTCCACCGGATGATTTCTCTATAGACATAATCATTGGCCATGTTGTAAAACTTGGTAAACAAGCTCAAAAAATAAAGAAAAGCCATCAGTGTAAGTGGGTTCAAGTTGTACATACTGCCCCTGAGGAATTTTCCATGTTGAAAACGTACTCAGATTGTGACAATGCCATAGCTAAGGGTGACGAAAAACAGTGGAATGAAATCAAACTGTGCGAGCGTGCTGATCTAGTGGTGACTATTGGACCAAGGCTTTGGGAGTCTTACTCACGTTACCTTACCTCATCCGGAAAACATGTATTCAATCTTACACCAGGCATCTTCTCTGAATTATCCTCGTTAAAGCTTTCCATAGTTGAAGGTAAGAGGTTCAATGTTCTATTGTTTGGACGAGGCGACTCAGAAGATTTTGAACTCAAGGGTTTCGACATTGCGGCCAAAGCAGTTGCTCAACTGAATGACACAAGTTACCAGCTCGTCTTTGTGGGTGCACCAAGTGGAAACGAGAAACAAGTGGCAGAGAAATTGCTTGAGTACGGCTTAAGGAAAAATCAGCTGATTGTGAAACCATTTCTTGAAAATCGGAAAGATCTTGCCACCCTGCTATCTACAGCAGATCTTGCTATCATACCTTCAAGATCAGAAGGATTTGGTTTAACCGCCTTGGAAGTGTTATCTGCCGGTCGGCCTTTTCTTGTCACGCAAACCAGCGGATTTGGAGAGGCTCTGCAAGATGCTCTTCCTCAGAGTATCACCTGGATTGTAGATTCTGAGGAACCAGAGAAGTGGGCTGAAGCTATTAAAAGTGTCTGAGAAAAGGGTCGCGAAGCAGCAATTGCAGAATGTCAAACTCTACGGAAAAGCTATGGCAAGAAGTACATCTGGGAGAGTCAATGCAGGGATCTTGTGGAAAAGATAGTCAGCCTCGCTAATGGTAAGCACTTTTCAGTATATCTCCTGTGAATCGTTCTTGTCACGGTCATAGTGATTTTAGGTTTGGCTGCAAAACTAAGCCAACTTACCTGTGTCCCATTTTGTTTCAAAAGGTTTTCGTTCTGCTGCGTGAAAACTCATCTACACTTTTCCTTACTTCACCTTCCTGATGATTCATTTCTATTATTACTGCTAGTTTTTTTTTACATTTTTGTGTTCTTTTCTGCTTAGCTACTTGAGTGAACTGACCAAGGTAAATGTTTTTCTCTATATTACTTTTTTAACGTGATAACATCAAAGTAGTAAGTTAATTTCACATCAAAGGTCAGAGGTGAATTTTGAGCGTAGTAATATAAAAATATAGAGATGTTTTTTTTAAATCATGTAAAGAGCGTGGCACAAAGAATAATTCTGAGTTGCCACAAGGAATCGACCTCATACCAAGGAATTTCGCGCTCTGAATCTCTTACACTGAGCCACTGATACTCTAGGGTCAGCTAAGTTATTATAACGTAATGTCTGAGGAGTGTTTAGCATAGTGCTGTTATCGAATTGGTGGCTCAGTCTCGATGACTCGAAGGTAGAGCGTCGAAACGCGAAATCCGATGGTCTGTTATTCAATTCCTCATGAGAACTCTGATTTCTCAGTTTATCCCACGCTTGTGAAGAGACGAAAACTGAACATCTTTCTCATTTGAAATACATTACATAACATTTGCAGCTTCAGGAAGCAAACTGTCATTGAGTGCAAGAAGTCCTTTACCTGAAGACCAGCGTTTGACTGAACAAAGGCTCGAGGACAAACGTGAGGAGAGACGAGAAGGTTTCACTGCTCATGATTTTGAAACGACTGGTGGAAGAAAGTCATCATATTTTTGTAGTCAAGGAACCACGCCTGAAAAAAATCTTTCCTCAAGTCTTGAAAGACCCAAAGGTTAGAGAATTGCATTCGTATCAGCAATTAACTCTAAAATTATTATTAACATACAGTATTACTACTCTGGTCTTAGCATTTTATTTCGTTTTGAATGAAAAATATTGGAAAGGAGGCTTTACATTTCCTCAGATGATTAGATCCGATGGTCCTGATTGTTCAATTCCACATGAGGACTCTGATATCTTTATTTGTCTCACGCTTGTGAGAAGACGAAAACTGAACATCTTTCTCATTTGAAATACATTGCATAACATTTGCAGCTTCAGGAAGCAAGATGGAATCGTCAGTTACTGCTGCTCCCTCACAAAGTTTGAATGAGGCCTCTACTGTGTACCGTTCAGATGAACAAAGTACCAAAACGCACCCTGAAGTGAAAAATGCACAACTGGAAGACGAGTCTGGACTGTCATCGAGTGCAAGAAGTCCTTTACCAGAAGACCAGCGTTTGACTGAACAAAGGCTCGAGGACAAACGTGAAGGGAGACGAAAAGGTCTCACTGCTCATGATTTTGAAACGACCAGTGGACGTAAGTCATTACATTTTTGTAATCAAGGAATTACGCTCGAAAAAAATCTTTCCTCGAGTCTTGAAAGACCCAAAGGTTAGAGAAGTACATTCGTATCGGTAATTAACTCTAAAATTATTACTAACACCAAGCATTACTGCTCTGGTCTTAGCATTTTATTCCTTTTTGAATGAGCAATATTGGAAAGGAGGCTTTACATTTCCTCAGATGATTAGATCCTTTGGTCTGTTGTTCAATTCCACATGAGGACTCTGATATCTATCTTTATTTGTCTCACGCTTGTGAGAAGACGGAAAATGAACATCTTTCTCATTTGAAATACATTATATAACATTTTCAGCTTCAGGAAGCAAGATGAAATCGTCAGTTACTGCTGCTTCCTCATAGAGTTTGAATGAGGCCTCTATAATTGTGATATCAGAGATAGAAGAAAAACAATCAGTCGCTTCATCAAAATCTGAACAGTGCCAGAAACTCCAAGAAAATAGACCAGAACACTTTGTGGGAGTCAACGAAGGTAATTTTCCTGAACCGAAGTATTGAATCCAATGACTTAGCGTATTCAGCTCTTTCGAGAAAAATCGTCGGAAAAAAGCATAAAAGTAGGTGCAACAACCCCGAAATGTATCTTGAGTAGTTTTCAGGTTATGGTTCCTTTTCAGTGGAAACTGAGGAAGCGTCACATGTCTTTCCTGTATGGTTAATAGATATAATTTACGGTAACTTTTTCACGACTAATGGCCCAAATATGTCAATTTGTTTTTTTGTTTTTACGGCTAACGATTGATCCCATTGGATCCTTCCTGTAAAGACAAGGCAAAGCGGGTTTGATTAATGTAGTGATATATTTCACTTATTAAAATTCATTGATTACCGGATACTCAGATAATCTGAGTATCCGGTAATCAATGGCCATAAGCTGCGTTTTTTGCTCTTGAGACGACTCCTAATGCTTTCGGTATTTTAAAACACACCAATTCTTTGATGGTTCCTAAGCTCCATACTTTTTTATTGTGTTCCTTTATATTGATATGAGAGAAATGCTCAAATATTTCTTAATAAGTTTATTAATTTTCCTACGTAGCAAAAATTAGGGTTGTCATAGCAACGATGCAGAAAAAAATATTTTTCTTCAAAGGTTCAAAAAGCTGTGCGTCCAGTTCAGATCAGATTCCCCATTTTTTAGCACGCTAGTAGCACGGCAAGTGCTACTAGCTGTGTTTGATTGTCAAGGTTTCAGATCATTTGTCATCATTACAAGAAATATACTGCTCCATGTTTCCACAGGGGGAAATGTTATCAATGTTATCGGCGGCGATGACAATTCCAAGGAGGATGGCGAGGAGGACCAAGACTTTATTTCACGCTGGGCGATGGGGTATGTTTCCTCACAGTTCAGCGAAGGGATCTCGCAGTCAATAAACCGAGTCCATCTTTTCAACTGTGATAACACATATAAGTTGGAGCCTGTCGAGCACTTACTGAATAAAATAGCAGAACTCGATGGCCACCATATGTGTGTGGTGAAGCACTCATTTAAACTTGCCAAAATGTCTGAAATAGTTGACAAAATTTCAACTTTGGCGATGGATATGGCTGTTTTTGTTGTCCATGCACATGAATCTTGGCCGTCAAGCAACGAGGACAACCGTGGAATCGGTTTCACCAAGATATACAGAGCTCTACTACAAGCAACGGGTAAGAAAAAGAAGCACTTTCACTCTGTAGATTTCCCCCTACTAAAATTTGCTGGAGTTTATGTGATAATAAGTACTGTATTCTTTCGCGGTTTTCCTAAAGAAAGAGATAAGCGAAATGTAATGCAAAATTTTGGACATTATCTACCATCTAAGCTCCATCAGGCAATAGACTGAAAGTGAAGATAACTGTCGCTCGTCTTACGGATGGAAAAAGTGGAAACCGCGCCAATTTTTTTTGGCGGCCGCGCACAATATTTTCCCGCTTACTCGAATCTTATATACTAGCGTTTGACGTAAATTTTTAGCGAGAAGCTCAGCCCTGATAAAACACGTTGTCTGCGCTGAAGGAAACGGTGACACAGCTTCCGAACATACGTCCCAATATCATAGTTAGTAGTGGGACTACTGATTATAATCGTGAAATTTCTTAGTTTAATTTCGAGATACCTGGGTTCTCGTTCAAGTTGATTATTGGTCAGCTAACACCACCTATCGACTACCAATCGAGGTGTATCACCAGCCGAAGAAAAGCCACGGTAAGTAATTAGTGTGCACCCAGAATCTTCGCTGAAAAAAAAAAAAACCTACCAGGCTAGAATGTTTATTCGGCTTCGAGGTTCTATTGACTTTTGTCGGCGGTATCACAAGCGCATCGTAATTTTAACGTTTACACCTTAGCTATAAAAACATCGTTGGTAGTTTCGTACAAAGCAATCTTCTCTCTTTTCATATACACAGTTTTCCGCTATTAGATACACTCAAGTCACGCTTGAATTTGAGTGTCATGTCACGCATTTCACTTTATAAGTGACGTTTAAAACAGCACAGCTTCAGCGCTGGATCATTTTTTAAATAACATGTTTGCATTTTATGAGGGTCCCCAAAACAATTCTTTAATCCCGCGATCCCGACAGTTTATACCGGCCAATCCCGATCCCGATCTAACAATTCTGTTTTAGTCCATTTCCTAAACTTATGAGGGCCTTTTTGTTGGGGGATTATTTTCTCAACCAGCATTTATCCGTAGAAGTCTACGGTCAGTAAGTTTATCTCTCTTCATCAAAATGATGATATCGTTCATTTTTGAAGTTTTCAAAGTTTTGCTCGAATAAAGTACGCTAGTCACGGTGATGACTTCCTTTCATTAAACTTCGATCACGGACAAACATATGGGTACAGACATGTCAGTATCAAAGAAGCGAATAACAATTTCAACAAGTGCACGAAACACAAAAGTTTACGGCAATCCCATGGTTCCATAACAACGGAGATTAAGAAAAATTAACTCAACACAATTCCGCTGTTGAATCGAATACTTCTTTCGAGTTAAAATCAGCCTCTCGTTCCAAAGATGGAAAGTCGTCATCATCACTCGGGGAATCATACTCTAATATTCCATCTTCCTCTTCGTCTCGTTTCCCGCTATTTTCTTGCTGCTCCTCGAAGTCAGAGCGTTCGAGGCTGACCGGTTCGACTGGCTGAATTTCTCTCTAATAGAAGTACGACGAGGACGTTCCAGCTCTTGCCATCGTTGTTTTCTGTCTGACGGTATAATTCTGAGACTTTCTGTAGGTTTAATTTTCATTCCCGCGCAATAACTGAAGAGTGTCGCCGAGCATCCCGACCGCCTCTTGAATGCTAGAGAGTCTGTGCACCTGGTGCTTTTCATGGACTCTGAGAAGATGAATTTCTTCATAAATTCTCGTCAACGGACATCTCGGTTCTTGGTTCGTTTAAGTGATTATTTCCCGAATCCCGCTCCTCAAAATCGTCGATTCCTGTGTCCCCTTCAATATTGGAATCCTGCATCTCGCTCCCTTCTTACTTTAAATTCCCGGTTCCCGGCTTTAAATAAGTCCAATCCCGGATCACGAAAAACCTATTGGAGACTCTCTTTTATAGCGAAATGGCATAATTGTTCTTTCACATAGGCGATGCATTGATTCATTAAGTCCGCACAAGTGCAAATTACAGAATTACCTTTTTGGATTTGCAATTCACAAATTACGAATTTCCTTGGCAAATTATCGATTTAAGTTAATCTCGCAAGTGACATTTTTTCATTCCGTTTTGTTTCGCATAATTACAGTGAGCCTTTATGACAAAACGACTTCTATATTTCACAATGACTCGTGAGAGCATGAAATCTCTTTCCAATTTCTGAAACAGTCAAAGTTGATAATTGTCTGCTAATTGCAAGCCAGATCAAAATGTTATGCGAAAAAAGGAAAAAAATGGTCAGTCGAAAAACCGCTCAAAATAATTTAAATGATCCATTAAAAACTATTAATCAATAACACTTACTAATACAACTACCTTCCACCCCTCCCTGCGTACTAATAGTTCGTCTTCCACCCCTCCCTCAGTAGCAAGTCTACCTCCCACCCCTCCCTGAGTACCGGTAAATTGCGTCCCACCCCTTCCTAAGTACTAATGGTCTGCCTCTTCCCCTGATTAATTGGTCCAAAAATTGGTCAAATAATCGACGAAAAAAAAGTCCAAAAAATAGTCCAATAGTCCAAAGGCCTAATGGTCCCGTCCATATTTTACCCTGTGCCGCCTTATTTCCACGAGCCCAAATAAAATTTACAGAAATAATAAATAAATGTGACTCCAAAGACGTCTTACGGGCCCTTGCATAAACACTTCGTTAATCAAACAGCAAAAATCATGTCCCTTTCGTGCAATACGGATTAAACATGTATCAATCAATTTAATATTAATGTCAATGCTTGGGATCAGGTTGCCTCGTGTATCCGAGCCAGAGGCTCGTGTATACGACGTAGGACAGTAAGCAACATAAAATTAAAAAACAAAAAAAACAAAAACAAAAAAATAAAAAACTAAACCTACAAAAAGAAATGCTTTACTTAGAACTATCGGTAGGGCGATAACACCAGGTGCTCAATCAAAGGGGTGCATTGTTCCATATTTTACATCTGGCATTAGATTGAGTGTGTCTGACATGGGAGATACAAACATACCGGCCAAAAAAAAAAGACATCGGAAATTGCATATCACGTGTGAAATTATGTACTGTTACGCCTCTTTACATTTGAATCTACTTTATTATCAGGTGGAAATGTCATCATCGTTATCGGGGGAGATAATAAATACGAGGGCTTCGACGAAGAGGAACGTGGGGTTATTTCACTTTGGGCGAAAAGGAAAGTTTCCTCACAGTTCAGCGAAGAGTGTCTCGATGGCAGAAACAGCTTCATCTTTTCTTGGAACAGACAACATCGAGAAATTCACGAACAAGCTTTACTACATCACTTTGACTCAAGGAAGAAAGGACAAAAGTTCGAATATCAACCAGATCAGCGAAAGGAACAACCAAAGGCAGCAACACCGCCGCCATCAAGATTGAAATAGGTAATACCTCCGTTTTCTTTGTCAGGCAAACGACAATATGAGTCAGAGCTGTCACTTAAACCAGAAAGTTCCTTGCGTCACTATGAAGCTGTAACTGGAGCAAGGGAGATCAAAGAATGGAAAACTCTTGATAGTAGAGCCGAGGGCAGCAATATTTCGAGGAAGAAGGCAAGCACAACAACCGCTAATAATCAAGGAGCCGGGTCTGAGGAAATTATTCGTCCACCTATCGGAGAAACCATAGGTTAGAATAAAATCTTAAAAACAGATTTAAAGGAAAATATTTAGGCACCTTTCCCACCTATGCGTCAATCAATCGGAAGCTTCAACATCCAGGAAGCCTCCTGTGGATTTAAACTTTTGAAGATTGGTATGTTCAAATTCCTGTTTTGAAGATTCCTTTTGAAGATTGGTATGTTCAAATTCCTGTTCCGGGCCCAAAATTATTTCCAAATGCCCTCCCCAAGTGGCGGAATTGATGGTGAATTTTTTTTTTGTAAAAGGCGGAATCAGCGACCGCGACTTTCTACTCATTTACCAAGCTTAAAAAACTAGACCTTGCAGACTTTTCCTTCTCTCCCTATTTTTAAAAAAATAAAAACTTTTATTCCTGTTGAAATTCCCCATCCCAGCCAAAAATGTTCAAATTCCCCACCCCGGATAAGGATGACAGTCAAATTACCGCGGGTTGCCCAGGGGGTAATGTTGAAGCTCCGAATTAATCTGCGCACTACCTGAAAGGTGATAAAGCCGACGAAAGCACAATTCCTCGGTAACTCTTGTCATTTTGCCCACTTGAAGTCTCCAAGGTATGTAGATTTGAGAAGGTAGTAGGAAGTGAACTGCTAAACTTCTACCTTTGCTAGGGGCATGGCCAAATGGTGTCTTTTTAAGTGCTGAGGTCAATTGCCCATATGTTTCAACTCTTTGATTCATATCGGAAACTTTATGAAGATTTTCACCGAGAAAATTTTTGCTAATCGTTTACCCATGAAAACTATTAGCGTCTTGTTTCAGCTAATTCTTAATTACAATTTCTGGTTTGCAGAATTTTTCTTGTGGGAGTTTCTTTGTCGCTGTGTCGGCTTCTTATTTATCGACAGAAGGAAGTCTGTTGAACTTGGTTCCAACGCACTGACCGCTATTATTTGGCAGTCATGCACACACGGTTGAAGGAGAATCATGCTCCGAAAACCATCTAATTTTCATCTTTACCATCGACAGTATCCTAACTTAAAACAATTGTCTTCAAATGAGCTTATAGTTGATTATGGACGCTTGCCATTTTTTAACCTTGCCCAACAACCTGGCCGACCACCTTTCTCGGTTCCAAGTTTCGATTCTCTTCTTTTCATCTCATGGAGATCTGTTCGATTAATCAAGAGCCACACGAAAATAAATTATTAAAAAAATTGTTTTTTCGTGGTGGTTTTCCGTGTGTGGCCAGCTAACTTTGTTAGTTTCAAAATGACGGCGTTCATGTTCGAGTTTTAAGCACATTTAGCCAGGTTGAGTTACTCATTGGGATCTCAATATGCATACTTCTTCCTCAAGATAATCTTTAAGTGTACGACTTTCCGTCTCTCACTCTTTAGAATTGTCGATTCTTGGCTGTAATGTGTCATGTGAGTCTGTGGATGATGCGAAAAAAGTTTTTGCAAGAGTTCTTCCCAGCCTTCACTTGTCAAAGGATCCTTTCGTTGGCAACCTTCCAATCAACAAAGTTGAAGAATATTTGAGGGACTATCACTTCAGATTCTCTGTGTTGGTGGTGGACGGTTATACCGTGAGGGATGGTTGTGATGATCAAAGATCAAAGGAATTACAGCGACTTGTAAGACTTGCAGTGGATAAAGTCGGTAAGTTTTCAAATTGAACTGATAAGTTAATCTCATAAAAATCCTTCATACCACGTTTTTTTCTCATTACCATATTTTTGACCCCCTGAATTATTTCGTTGTCGATAATTTAGTTACTTTTCGATGCATTTAATCAGAAATATTGACTCTTCGTCTGACAAAAAGACAATCTTACCGCTGAATGCTTGAGTTGATTAATCATTTTCTCGGAGAGCGGGTAGGGGAGGTCTAGGAAAAGGATAATCATCCTACTGTAGTTTTATGTAGTTTACAAAAAGTGCATAGTGGTTACATCAGACCGTGAGCAGCTATTCTTCTTTTGTACTGAGATAATTTTTTCGTAAAGGTAGATCACCTTTATGCATTCACTGAATTGCTATAAACACAGGCATAGCAACAATATTTAAGGTAGCTCTAAGCCCCCTCCAGACTATAGAACCTGAATCGGCCATGGTTCTTCGAAACACGACTAACACTAATGCTTTGTTAGCTGTTTATAGACTCTTTGTCACTATGTTAGTTTTAACCTGACATAGTGACAGAAAGGGTGCTGGTGCTGATAGTGCTCGAACAACTAAGCTCAATTCTTGAAACAAAATTCGTATGATTAGAATTGAGTAACGACTAAATGGGTGTGAAGAAATTAACAAAACAGTCTTAACTTGAGATTTTACTTGAGTAGAATGAAGTGTTTTTGATCCCCTTAACTAAGTAAATATCATACCGTATCGAGCGACTTGCTTAGCTTTCCTTTTTTTTCTCTTCACAGATGAAAAAGTCATTATCTTGGTTTGCAATGGGCAATCAACAACAGATACATACAATGAGTTTATTGGGCAAATCGATAAACTAGAGAAAACGTTTGTTGTGAGAGTAAACAATGGAAAGCTGATGGTAGATCCAGAAATTTTGTACTATGTTTTGAGTCCTCAAATGCCATGTTCTACGCCAAATGCACAGTCTATCTCTCAAGAACAGGATTTAAACGCTTACTTGTTGTCCACATATTCATACAAAGTAAGCGAAAACTATCCTCAAAGGAATTCCTCAGAAGGGAAAAGCATTGATGAGATGAGTGCTCAAAATAGTCAGCAGCTGGTCCTGGGGACACAGTTCTCAGAAAGACCCCCTCCTGTTGTTGTCCTAAGAAGTTTCGTTCGTCGCGGAGAGATATCTTATCAGAAAGAGGACCATCAAATAGGGGACCCTGAATTTCAAGTTCCTAGTGACATCCAAGAGAGGCTGTTTCACAGTTTCTGGAACAAACCTCCAGTTGGAGTAAGAGTCATTAAGCTCAGTAATGGGTCAACTGAGTGTTACGTTGATCACAATTTGAAACAATTTACGTTGGATGAGGAAATACAGCTTGATACTGGAAAAAAGCTTTTATTAAAAACTTGTGTTCGCAACGGAAAGGTATCGTTTGAAGACAACGATGTAAAGTATAAATATAGAAATAACTGTATCCCTGAACACATTATCGATGATCTACAAAAGAGGAAGGCTGATGGTGACTTGTACATCAGTTTACATGACTCAGGCAAATTTGAAGCTATTATAAAAAGAAGAGGAAAAATAGAGCAAGCTGCTAATGCTGCTAATGCTGCTAATTCTGCTGCAAAGGCTATCAAAGAAACAAAGGAAAAAGCACTAAAAGCATCAAAAAAAGCATTTGGGTTTCGTTCTCTGGGGCGTAATTCAGAGAACTGAGAAAAATGTCAAATGACTACCTCTGAATGTGTAACAGCCAGTCCACTGTCGATGTTCGCGAGAAATGATCGTAGCTATTAGCAAAAAAAATTTAATTTAAAAATGTGTTGTGATGTTTATAAATTGTATGTGTAATACTTCATAAATATGTTTATGTGTTTACAGTTGTTCACAGAGTTTGCATGATTCCACTTGTAATATCCGAGGTCAAGGAACAGAAGATTTGTTATTTCTATCTACTATAGACTGTCCAAGAAACGGTTGCACCTTTTTTTGCAGAGCAAGTTTCAGTAAAGTTATTTTAGAATTACTCTTTAATTAAATAAATATAGGTTCGTAAATTCGTCCGAGTGGATACATTTTGGACAGTGATAAGGGTGAGTTTATGAAACTGACCAACTCCTAGTATCTTAGTAATCGGGTGAACGTACGGATGAACTGAAAATAAGCTTTGGAGGAATTTTTTTTTACCGACAAGAAATCGCATAATCTTCAACAGCCATTAAACTGGGCCATCAAAATCAGTTTTCGGGAATACTATGGCATAAATTACAACGAATCCAGGATGTAGCGACGGTATTTCCAAGCGATTCATATAAAATGATGAAAGTCGATTGCGTTACATCCGATCCAAGACAACGGAGTTCTGGAGTAAATATCAGGGTCGTAACAAGATATATTTTTCATAACTGATCCTGTATTTTTGCCCCAAATTTTGATCCCTGATCACAAAAACGTTGAGAATTTTAATCCCTGATCACAAAAACATTGGGAATTTTGATCCCTGATCCCAAAAACGTTCACAATTTTGATCCCTGATTCCACTAAAACACTGCTGATCCCGATCCCAAGTGTTGTGATCCCAGATCCCGGGGCTGTGATCCCTGATCTCATATACCTTGTTACGACCCTGAAATATATGCATGACGATTATCACTGTGGCTGTCAACGACGACAAGCTGTAAATGAACGCGTGCACAATTCTGCTTAAAATCTCGGCCTTTATATATTTCAGTGAAGTCTAGTCCTGATAGCTATGTTTTGAAATTGAATGGGTTAACAAAATGTTGCTGTTTTAGTGTTATTCAATAAACATGTCGTGCGGCCTCCAGTGAGCACGCGATGGCAAATATGTATGTGTTTTCTGTTGTTGTCACGCACGGCTATGGTGGTGTCAGGGAATTTAGACGAGAGCGACTGATACTGGTTGAAGGTGGAAAATTAACATTAACGTTATGCCATTGCAGTTTGCAATGGCATAACCCGTTTCCCCTGATCCTATTAGATAACAAGAACTAAGCTCATCTCAAGATCAGAAGAAGATGACGAGACCAGCATACTGAGGAAGCTTTGTGAATGGATGACAACGATCAGTATGACTTTCAGTGACGAGAAGCTGCAAATGAATGCGTACAGATTTTTTTTTTGCCTAAAGCCTCAGCCTTTATTTCTGTGAGGTTTAATCCCGATAGCTCTGTATTCAAATCAACAGCGTCAATAAATTGTCCTTTTGCAGGAAAATTTAAAGGGAGGCAATTATGACATTCAAAACATATTCGTTTTCGTTTATTTCACTCCGGCATAAAGCAGGGTAACTTGACTGCATTCATCTTGAGTTCGATTAGACACAAGACAAAGAAATACGCAAATGACGCTTGTTCATGCAATAATTTTCAGCTTCTTGCGTTATTGTCTGAGCTTCACGTACAATTGGCGATTGAAAGATGGCATAGAACGGTCATTTCTAAAATTAATGGCAACTAATAATTATTGCTCGTTTAAAAACAGTATCTGGAGGGAAGCTGTATGTTGACTTGTACGTCATTTTGGATGTCGCTGGACGGTTTGATCCTTGGTAAAAAGTGGAGTAATGGATACAATGGCAGAGTTTTTTTGCACAGAAATAGGAGTCCTTTAACCGTTTAAGTTAAAAGAGGCTTTCAGTTAGCAACTTATAGGTTAAAGGAACTGATAAAATTTACTTCAGTGTATAGGGAGACTGGCTGATAACGAAGGACGAGTACTAAATTGATGTCTTCCTTTTGACTCTTAACCTCCTGAAATAGTTCTTTTCGGTTGCGATGCTCATCCAAGTTGATGTGATGGCGGACGTCTCGATGCAAGCGAAAAGCGAACTGTTCACAATCTTAAAATCCATTTCTTCGAAAGGTTTGAAATGTGACAAAAATATCATGGTTTAGATCGTTCAAAGAGTATATTCGCTTATGAGCTCATGTTGTGTTGTAATTTTGTTTGATGAGAGATAGCGATAAGAACTCGGTTTTATTTAGATGAAGAAAAAAACATTATAGAAAAGGAAAACGGAAGAGAGAGACCATGGAAATGAATTAAAAGCTCTACCGGTGGACAGCTTGATTATAGACCATTTATAGAATAAGGATGGCATCTCGGCGGGTTTTTTGAGTTATTTTTTTAATAAAAAAAAATAACTCTATGTTAGCGTGTAGAGCGTATGTTGCTCGCACCAATCAGATCACACATTTTGGGCATTAGAATATCTTTCTCTTGCTCGATGTATCTTAATTCATTTATTTGCAATATATGTTTGGCCAGGTCTATTGAAGATAACACAGAGTTTTAGTTTGCTTTTCTTAGTTAAATTACGTGGAATCATATTTTGAGGCAGCCAACTGTAGACGAATCATTTTTATTTTCTCTCTGTTAGGAAAAACGGCAGTAAGTCGACTCTTTCGCAAACGTTATTTGGTCTCGTTACGCAACGCACTCTCTTTCCAATGGGGAAGATAGGGTGTTGTGTGGCAAGACCAGACAATGAATGCGAAGGAGACTACAGTAGGCGTGGCAATGATGCATTTCATTTTTACTTAGAAGTATTTAGACAATAAAGACAATAGACCACAAAGAACCCGTGAGAGTTAAGATAAATTAGCGCTTTTGTGTCTAGTGCGTTAGCACGCAGACACAATGGAAGAGTGTACGGAATTCGAAAAGCACTTTATATACGCCACATTTGAGCACGAAATATGATGTTTTACTCATAGTTTACATTACGTGACTGATAACATGAAGTGTACACTGATTTCCAACCAGTGGAATGTGTAACCATGTCGATATTTTATCGTTATAATTTCGGAAACTGTCGGTTGACCAATTGGATTCAATTAGAAAACCGCAAGGAAGAGTCGGGAGCAATTGAATTCGGGGACGAAAATATGACGATGACTCTGATCAGAGGGGAGTTACTAAATCACGGGCGACGAGCGGGGCAGGAAGAAATGACCGAAATACAAGTGGTCAGCGGGAAAACAAATTTAATAATTCATATAGAGACATATCAGTTGTAGTTACAGAAAGCAATAGTGTTGTAAAGCCGAAATGTGAACAGTATACTTCGCTCAATAAAATGTGAAACAATTTTTCAAAAGTGTTGATGGTACATATATCTTTTACTGCTATATTAAACAATGCAGGTATCGGGAAAGGCATCGGTTGCATTCGGAAAGGCACTAAGAAAAATTATATTTACGTTTTGTAACTTGCAAAAAACAATCGTGTTGTAAAGCCAAAATGTTACCAGGTTATACTTCGGTAATTCAAAAGTTAAGCAATTTTCCAAACGCTTTGACTGGAACAATATTTTTACAGCTATATTAACCAACAGAGGCATCGGGAAAGGCATCGGTGACACCGGGAAAGGCATCAAGAAGAATGATATTTACCATATGTAACTTGTTGTATGACGAAAAACAGTATCTTGACTTGTTTAAGGCATTAATCACAGGTTTGCTTTTCACTTGAATTTTGCAATCTCGACTTTCGATTCCGGAAAAATGAAAAGCTAAGCAACTCTAAAAAAATTTCGTTCTAGATTTTTATATTTTTAGAGTCATTTATAAGTTTGTATCCACAGCCTTTAGATAAGAAATTTTAAATTTCCACATGCTGTAGTTCTTTTAGTATTTATTATGTATATTCAATCGCCTCGTTTCACGTGAAATAGGCATGTAGGAAAACACTGAGCTTCGAGAAACAGCCAAGTTAAGGTTAATGTATTTACCATGCTTAAATATTTATAATCAGGGCCACTCGTTTAGGAGACCTTTTTTCAAAAGACCCAAGCGTTAAAATAATTCTGTTTTCCGTTTGAAGTGTTTTTTTCTTTTTTATTTAACAAATGAACTCGGGATGAAAACTTTCGAAGCGAACAGCAGGTGAAATGTTGTGTTGGTGTCTCAGCCCCCCCCCAACGTCTCTGCGAAAGTTACATCCAGACAACCTGCATGGAAAAACTGACCACAGCTATCGCACCACATTTTTAAAAAAAATCTTTAAAACTAAACTGGTTAGCAGCTCTCTGCGAACGGTAGTTGTAAAAATTTCTTTATTCTCCGACGCGTTTCGTTTAACTGTAGTAGACTTCTTCGGGGAGTTTTACAGTTTAACACTAAATAACTGTATTTATAAGCCATAGTTAGAGGCTATACGGGAGCCAATGACCATAAAGGCTTGGCCGGACCTACGAATAGGAACTGGTGAAGTTGCGGAAAATTTGAAAATTTTTTGGGGCAAGGTGGGAGAATTCATTTGGGGACCACGGTTTTGGTTTTCTTTTTTCGTCACGCAGCAAGTTACAAAACGTAAATATAATTCTTCTCGGTGTCTTTCCAGATGCCACCGATGCCTTTTCCGATACCTCCATTGTTTATTACAGCAGTAAAAGATATATGTGCCATTAACACTTTTGAAAAATTGCTTAACATTTTATTTAGCGAAATATACTGTTGACATTTCGGCTTTAGAAGACTATTGTTTTCCGCAACTATAACTGATATGTGACTATATGAAGTATTAAATTTGTTTACCCGCTGACTACTCGTATTTCGGTCTTTTCTTAATCCCCCACTCGTCGCCCGTGATGTATAACTCTGATCTTTGACCACCATGTGCTTTTACCCGTGCCTTGAGGAAAGGAGGAATTTCACACTTGTGGATCACACTTCGGAAAGTTGGTGAGTGTC